TTCGCTCGCGCCGGAAGGAACTATTTGCTGCGGAGCGATAAAACATCCCGACGCGACTGCTACGAGTAATTAATTGCTAACCAACGGCGGAGCGATCTATCGTCGAGCTCGTGATTACGATGAAGCGCGTTTTATTCCGCGACGGTGGAAGAACCCGCGAGGATAAAGGCGAGGTTCTTGGCTAACCGCGTGGAGTCCTTCGACTGGAAAGGGGCGGTTTTTAAAGGAGAAGTCGCAGTACGAGAGCCGGCTTCTCAAATCGATTCTAATCATTTCTCACGAGCTTCGGGAACGTCCCGACGGGTAATCTTATTAGTTGTACGTATGAGCTTCGGGTGTTTGCGCGATCGGAAAGGTCGCGAAGCGAATTACGAATTCGCTACCTGAGTTACGTAAATTAGAAAGCATTTTGCATTCTCGCAAGTAATTCGAAATGTTATATCGTTATGACAGCCGCGATTATACGGTAGAAAATAAAGTGTTAACTTAAACATTCGTTGCGTGTCCCGGAAAGTCCACCCTAATTTGAAATCGAGATAACTCATTTGTCGTGTGTTGTTTGTTCACAAATTGAAAATATTAATGAACTGACACTGATACATTTCCTCCCGACGCGTGATATTAATTGTTTTCATTTAAATTGTATTCGTAATAGTAACATTTGATATTGATTAAATTGACATATATTTATAACGTCAATATAATAAAATATTATTTCCACGCTAGAAGTAATTTATCTTTTTTAATCACTTTTTCTTAATCGCTTCCTTAAGATGTCGCCAGTGACCGTGCCTGAAATCTTTTCGATTATGTGCCATTTAGTTGTGTCGAAAGAACTCGAAGTAACGTTTCATTTTTAAATGATATAGAAAAAATGCCAAGCTACTACACTGATAAATATAAATATAACGTAATAGAAACGCGACAAAAATCAGCTGTGTGTTAATCTTACTTTGACGCCGTTGGATAGATCGTGCTGAAAAACCCGTCGCAAAAGTATGAATCGCGCTGCGTAGGTGGGCGTCCAATTATTCGCCAGTAATTATTCAAGCTCGATGACGGATTCTTGGTCGGTAATCGATAGCTGTAGATCAGTTGGAGCGAATTGCAGAGCGTCGGCTCCGTTGTATAGCGCCTGGGTTATTCTACATCGGGCTTGGTGATCTCGTTAATAATACATACATGGCATTTGGGTATTTCGTAGATAAATACACGACCGGCCGTTTACACAGGTAACCCGCTAACCGGGAATTCCGTTCCCATCGCGCGGCCGTCGTAAAGCTCCGCCGTCAAGGTGAAGCGAGGGGAGTTAATAAATTTCACGAGTGACTTAGAAGGCATATATCGCAAATTTTATGCGGCGCTTACGAGGTATAAGCTTTTGCCGCGCGTCTCTTGATCCTCATACATATTCATGAGTTCCTTCGCTTCGCAGGATTAGATTTACTAACACCTTTTCTAAAGCGACGAAAAGCGTTAAACACCTTCGCATAAACCTCAAGAACTGAGCATCCGAAAATAGTCTTTCTCTCTCGTTTATATTAAATCTTATATAAGTCACATTTCTGTATACCGTATCTTGTATATTATACTTACTGATTAATGCACGTTCGATTTGAAGATATCGTTCCTTAAGCATTTAATTAACAATCCACGCGGAAAGGGAAATCCGGTTGAATTTATCTGACAATCGACACAAACCGAACGTGATTCTACTCGAAGGAATTCCTGCTTCTCATTACCAGCCGAATTTGATTCTCACAACCAGAGATTTTCTCCCAGCCAAGACCGGCTTAACCGGACTCTTTTTTCGTGCACTGTTAGGTAACGACGCCTGTGAAAAAGTTAGAACAACACCGCTATTCGCGAGCATCTCCTCCTTTTTTGCATCATCCTTACGCCGTTACGCTGTATTCTTACGATATCGCGACCTAAATTCATACACTCGCACTCCGAACGACCGCGAGGCAAGGTAGTCGTGCGAATAGTTGCCCGCATAAAATCCACACTAACGCGACTAACTAAATCCTGTTGGGAATTCTCGTTCCGACGACGAACGAAGAGGAGGAGGAGGAGGAGGACGAGGAGGAGAAGAGTCGGGGTGAGGGAAAGATAGGGAGTGAGGTCGACGGTGTTACAAGGAGGCACTTTTGATCGAGTGTCCCCTCGAAAGCACTTCGTAGTCGTTGAAAGCCTCCACGCGAGGCGACCGGCTCGTGCTGCGAATGTTACTGATACACCCGGTACGTACCGTACATAAGCCGGCACATAGGACGGTATATATTTCACAACGCGCTGAATGCAACAGGACCCACTTCAGAGATCATACGCTCGGAGGAGTGCATCAGACTCTTCGCGAGATCCCCGGGAAAGGATAGGAATGGCGGACAGAAATGGTGTTTCAGTTACTTGCTGCAGGCCCGCATTATTTCAGCGAACTGTTTCGAGTCTCCGCGACAGTTCATTAGTAATCACGAGGGTCCTTTTTATTCGCCTCTACAGATCGGCCCTCCGCACGACGCTTCTCCCGTCGTTTCTCCGCGGAAGTTGGACGGTGTCGCTCAAATGTGAATTTCCGAAGACGATTCGAATCGCACCGCGGATCTGCGCCGTCTGTCGATACTCGGAGCCCGAAGCGGTCGACGATATGACCCATTGTATCGATTAACCAGTTAACTGTGGCGATCTCTTTGCAAAGCGCCCACCAGTGTGTGTCGCGATAATCAAGCGAGTTAGCTCTCAGGAAGTTATAAATCCAACTCAAATTATTTATAATTTTCATTTGTTTGTTTCATTTCGTCTTGACCTCCAAACATTTTATTCCTATTAAAATTTACGAATATAATTTAGTTACCGCCAGAATTACAATTTAAATATCAAATTGTAACAAAATTTTACGCATGACGGATATAGTCGTCATGACACAAGATTCTGCCGCATCTCCATGACGGATATAGTCGTCAAACACACTTAACTGGTTAAGTTAGCAACGTGCTGTAATCGCCGCTTAATTACTACTCTCGGCGTCGCGTTGCGAGACGATTAACCGCGATATCGGCCGAATTTTCCTCGACACTTTTCGACATCCGGACAAATCCGTCAAGCTTCGCCGTCGACTTCATCGTTGACTTCATCGTTCCTTCGCTGACGCGTTGTAAAATCGGACGTAATGCCGCGAGTGTTCGTCGCCGTTGCATCGCGACTCTGTCGAGTGCTCGGCGATCGTTAGCGAACACTTGTGTCCTTTACATCGGATCGTTAGACGATCATCTTCGTTTAAGATTTAAGAGATGCCTGGTAAGCGAGTCGCCGGTGCACGGCGGCGGGATAACGATCGTCCTTGCGGCCCTTCTCTCACCTTCCCTTCTCCCCTCCCTTCTCCTCGCTCGACCCCTTTCGCTTCGTGGGTGTCGCGATATTACGGCGGCCGCTTGGAAATTTTATGAACCCTTCGCATCCACGTCGTATTACACCGGCGTTCGCCGGGCCCGACATCCGCGATCGTTCTCCGTGCCGAGGAAACGATCGTCCCACGGAATAGAGCGTTTCCAGGAGCATCACGCGTCGCACCGGCGGCGATAGTAGTCGCGATTGTTGTTCGGTAACGCTAGTTGGTACGTTAGAGTGATATTCCGGCCGGCTTACGCTCATCAATACGCAATCCGACAATGATCCTGATGCAATATTGCAGCTCGAGACGAGTCACGGATCGATAACGAGCGTCGACCGTCGTCTTCGTCGTCGTCCTCGCAGGAGCAGCTGCGGCACCGAGACATCTCCTCTCGTAACGAGAGATTCATTTCCCGGCGCTGTTCGCACGACAGATCTGACCGAGGGTCTGACAAACAAATCGACGCTCGTTGACTCGCTAATTACACGCGCCGGTTAATTGGATAACCACGGTAAGGCGTGGCCCCCGGCGATTACCCCTCGCGGCCTTTTACTGCCGCTCACCCTGCCCGTTGCGTTTTCGCGAAGGCCGCATTATACGAGCCCGAGAGCACAGTCTCCGCGTTGTTAATAACCCGTCCGTAATTTATCGGCCAAGTTTAAATGAGCCGACACCGTCGAAAAACTTCCGGGACGCCCATTAGGCGTGTAATGCGGATTTACGCGAGCGAGCCGTCGATTACCGGCGCGCGCCCGTTCGCCAACCGTGATTCACCGCATCGGCCACATCACACGCAGCTTTCGCATCGCGATTTTGTCGCACGCGTCATGTCGCTTAATACCGCGGTAATTTGTCGCCGAGGATCGCTTTCTCCCGGTTGAGCCCGCCGTTAGAGTGCGATTCGCGCCCAGCCAGTGCCGTTTATGTGAGCATTAGATGCATATTGGTTTAAAGTGGGTTCCTACTTCGGACGGCCGGATTTTCAAGCCATTTTTAAGAATCTTATATGTATATATATATTTACCTTAACTTCGCTTCAAATTAACGTTTATTATTAGACAGTGGAATAAATATATAGGGATATAATTTCGCTTGATAAATACGAAATTTATCGTAACGCTGAAAATATGACACTGATGGGTGATACGTTCTTGATGAGTCACCAACGAGACAGAGAACTCACGTTTTCGTCGAAGAAGCGCCGCGCACACTCGATCCCGACCGACACACTCCGACTTTATGTCCGCGTCGAAGTTCAGGCTGCCCAAATTGAATTCGGCAAGTGTGGATCCATCTCGTTTATCTCGCGTTTGACATATTCAATCCGCACGATTGTTTGCGAAGTTACACCACGAATGGGAAAAACAGGAGACGTCACTTTGTATCTGAGGAGACAGGGAGAGAGAGAGAGAGAGAGAGAGAGAGAAAGCGCTGACACAAAACCGCGAACAAAAGGCGCTGTCCGAGCGAAGGAAAAAAAAAAGGGGAAAAAAAAGCAAGAAAGAAAAAGATGCGAGAGATGAGGAGAAATGTATATCTTTGCTATAACGTGTCACGTTCCATTATGCAAAAGAATAATGCCTCTTTTCTTTCCTCTTTCTATTCGCAGCCGACAGCAGCTTCCTACTGGCAAACGCCCAGATCGTCGACTTCCCGATCGTCTATTGCAACGAGAGCTTTTGCAAGATCTCCGGCTACAACCGTGCCGAGGTATGAGCACCTTATTAATAAATACGATCGACACTCGATTCCCCGATTTTTCCTTCATCTTTCACCTTCAACTCAATCTCGCTTTGATGTCATTTACGAAATTGCCTTCGTTTCTATATTTCGAATTTGCAGGATTCACGTGACGCGAGAGGTGCGCCTCTCGCGTGCGACCTCGTGTATTCGATTAATTACACGGCGCATCGCGCGGCCGTCACGAATTTGTTTAATTTGCTAACCCAACGACAATGGTCCCTCCCCGTTGGATATCTCCGAAAACCGGGCCGTCGCAATCTATCGGCGTTGTAACATTTCACGCATCACAACCGCTCGGTACGAGAGCCATCCGAGCGCCGCGCGCGTCGTTGCGCATCGACGCTCGGTTTTCGCCGTTAAAGATCCGATACGGTGTTTACAACATTGCCGTATATCCCGAAACAACCCTGATGTCCACCTGGCGGCGGTGGTATGAGCGATGGCTCACGGTTATCCCGGTGCCATCGCTCACTCGCCAGGACGAGAGTGGCGCGGCCGGCGCGGATAACGGGATTCAGCGACTGCTGCGAGTTGATTCATTCGGCATCGATTTATGGCTGACGCACGCGGGGATAAAAGTTGGCGCAAGGCGCGCGCGAGGCCGAGAAGTCCGCGAGATGATATCGCGCGACCAGCGAGCCGTGATATCGGACTTCAGGCTAATGGCTAATCGCTAATTTGCCCGATCGATACGGCTCGGCCGGACCCCCTCAATAATTTAACTCTCGGTTTAAGGATTATTACCGGATATTTGTTATCGTGGAACGCTGGATCCCGCGCCGATCCCGGGATTTACGCGAAATTAAAAAGGGGAGATCCGGCCGGCGGTCCGATTCTCGATAAGAAAACGCGCGATGTGTGTGTATGTGTGTGTGTGTGTGTGTGTGTTGCTGTCTACTCGTTATTTCGAGCGACTCCTTTCGGAACGATTGCACGAGCAGTCGTTAGAATTCGCCGCCTAATAGTGAAGATATCAAGAAGGGCCGTAATGTTACTTTCTCCTCTATTATTAAAATTCACTTGAAAAATTGGCGTATTTGTTTCCTTTATTTTCGTATTATATTCTTCTTGCTTATCTGTTTTCTGGGACTAATAAAATTATTGTTATCTTTTTTGCTTTACTTCACGACACGCATGCTTTTATTGGTTTTTTTTCAAGGAACCTCAGTTAAAGAATCTATATCGATCCGCACCGTTTGGTGAAAGTTCGACATGGGGCGACTTTTCTCCGGAAGAAAAAAAAAAGGGGGAAAAAAAACGACCGTAAATCATGTATGCGGGAGTAAACAGGATACCCGGGGGAGGCTGGGGGGAAAGGAGGAACGATCGTGAAATGGCGTCGCGAGGAATACGCGAAAATTGCTGTGCTCCTACTTATATCAAACATCTTGAATTATTCGATCGACGCGACGCTCCGGCCGAACGTCTCGACCAAAACGGCGATGTAGACGGGGGGAGGCAGAGTAACTACCGTTTCTGTAAGACTCCCAATGTTCCAATCCTATTGTTCGGGAAGATACATGGATTTGGGGTTTGCAAACTCCATTACTGGAAGCCGGATTGGGGGTGCTTTTGTGGGAAGGTTTACGCGGTACGGGGAGCGGCGGAGGCGACGACGACGACGAACCGCGGGATGCGCGCCTTCGACCTCGTTCCGACGTTTCGCCGGCGATGTAGCGGTCTTGTACGATTTTTTTCTCTCTCTCTCTTTTCCTATAACAATTACATCGCGTTAAAAAGGGTCGTCGGTCGCGCGAGTTCGTTAACGTCCGCGTTCTCTCTCTCTCTCTCTCTTTTTTTCCTCGTGAGCGTCGCGAAGCGATAAATCTCCGCTGCCGGAGCGCGCGAAACAGAAAACTACGCGCGACCTTTGGCTCCGTCTGAAGTATGTTTCCACCGACGTTACTAACGACGTTATTAAGGAAAATGACGTCTCCGGTCTGATTACCCGGGGCGGCCCTCAAAGACGGGTAATCGGGTTAATGTAATCGTACAATCGTAGAATCTCTTTCTCGCGTCTAACGTCCTCCTCGCGAGGAGGATCTCCTTCTCGTCTTTTTCGCAGCGGCATCACGCCCGACATTTCGCCCTCATCCGGGAGCCACGCTCTCCCTCCGTTACCCCCGAAGTGCGTGCACCGCTTGTTCACACCCGCCCGTTTTATTTCATCGTACACACAACACCCGAACCGCCAGTAAAATAGAACGAAAAACGATGGAAGAAAAACAACGCGGCCTACACACAACAGACCTATTGCTATTGCACGGGAAATATGGCTGTTGCGTTATTTCCGTGCCGTTTCATCGCGCATCCGCACGCTCGCGCAAATATTGAAACGAGAGATACGAGCGCGCGCGGCATTGTATCCCGATGGCGGCGCGGATTATTCGAAACAAATCTGTCTAATGCCGCAGTTCGCGGTGCGAGTTAATGGCGCGGCGATGAAGGAAAGTTCTTCCCCCTCCCCCTCCCCGTGTTCCCTTCTCTCCGTGATCCTCCTCAACTTCGCTGTTTCACGTGCGCGATCTATATGTATGTACGAGATGTTACCCGCTCTCTAGCTCGCCCGCTCGCCCGACGACGACGACGTTATCTGCGCGGTCTGATCGCGCGTCCAATTAAAAAATTGCAGGGCGCAGGTTGAAGCACGGCACGAAAGTTATATCGCTCCCTGTTGCGTCCGCGTTGGGCCGCGCGCGCGCCGGGATTTAAAGGTCAGCACTACGGGATTAATAAATCTGTTTCGAGGTCGAAAAACACGATATCGCCCTACGCCCGATATCCCGCACGAATGGCCGTTTCTCGCTTTCGTCGGCCGTTTGATAACAAAAATCGGGTCAGCCCAATCTATCCGCCCTTATCGATCCGCGGGATCGCTGTGCTTTCCAAGAACAATTTATTCGGAATGACTGATGCTTATGGCGTTTGACGCGCGGCCCGAGATATATACGCGGCATTCCGCATTCTTATTCCCGAGACGGATTTGAATTTCATGCCATCGATCCGCGGGATCCGGCTATTTAAAGGAAAATCAGCTTACTCCGGCGAGCTCACTGATTTACACCGGCCGTTATTCGCAATTATACCTCCCTTCTTTTATCGTCACACCGTTTGCCTCTCGGTTTTACGCGTCGCGGGAATTCGCGAGCGGGCGCGGTCGTCGGAACCCGACTAGAATTTGTTATCAGGTATATATTTGATACTGCAACAAGGTCCTAAATTTTCCCAACTAACAAGGTGAGTGAGCAAGATAATCCTTACTATGGTAATTACTATGGCAATCCTAAATCATATAGTGAGAAAAATTGCACAAGGAGAACTTTTAGAAGATTATAATAATTAGGCACGTATTAGGACTTTAGTGTATCGTCCCAATTTTTGTTATTTTATACATTTTTATCAGGTCCTTTTTGGGATCTCATTCACTTTATCTATCATTCGACTAAAAATTTACTCCATGGTTCAGCACACACACACACACACACACACACACACACATACATATAGATTGAACTCAACCGGTTGTTGGGTCCACCTAAAATTATTCTATCGGGTCCCGAGAAGTCATGTAACGCTGCGTGGCAATCAGAATCTTAATCAAATTCCATTATAATGTGCATATCAGGTTATATTATCGAGTCTCTATTACGTTTTATCTCGGATAACCGAAAGAATTAGGACGATAAATTTTGTTTTTTATAATTATTTCCATAAAAATATATTTGTTGTTTTTGCAAATTATTAAAGTCGAAAATTGTCGAATGCTAACGACATCTGCGTTTCGATTTACACCTTGCAGGTACTTTTCACTAGTTCAGCACTCCCTGCTTCTTACAAATCCCGATCTAATCATAATCCTTTCCGTTATACGAGAGGTAAAACGTGATAGGAATTCGATATAACCTAATGAGGGCATTATAATGAATCCTATGTAATTAAGATTCTGATTACCAGGTAGCGTTACATGACTTCGTAGAGCCCGATAGTATAACCTTAGATGGACCTGATAACCAGTTATTCATATAACACACAAAAGCTTGCGGTAACACTGTTGCAACGTTGCAACAATGTTAACGTTAGCTTTTGTGTTATATGGATAAGGGTTCGAGCCGAGCTGGGATAATAATAATTTATAAAATAATTTCCAGTCGGGAACGAAGATGAAATCGGAATGGAAGTCCGCCTCTTCTTTTCTTTCCTCCTTTTCTCGGCAGACGTTTGAAAATGTCGCGCATTTACGTTTAAATCGTAACTCACGTTACAGTCTTTATTATTACGTGATGAGCGCAAAGTGCTTATTAATAATAGGCGGGCTGTTCTAATTATGAAGCGGACTCATCGATCCTCCACCACTCATGGCCGTCGCGCACATTTATCACCTATCCGTGTATCCCTTATAATTACTTATCTGCAATGAGAACGCACATTACGAACACGCGCACATGTACACACGTACACACACGATGCATCTCGCGGACGAACAAATGGATCGTGCGTTTCATGCGTTCCCCACTTTGTTTCCAGGTTATGCAAAAGTCATGCCGTTGCGGATTCATGTACGGGGAACTGACGGACAAGGAAACGATCGCCAGGATCGAGGAGTGCCTCGAGGGCCAGATCCACGATCAATTCGAGATCCTACTGTACAAGAAGAACAGTAAGTCTCCCGACCGTCCGATCTCTTGCATGCGGCGGCTTCAATGTGGCGTCCATGGCTTTTTCATGGAAATCGATGGTTTCGGGCGTCGCGTCCGGCCGTATTAGCGGGGCCCGATTTACGGGGGGGGGGGGGGACCCCCAAAAANGGAAACTTCGGGAACTTTGTAATTCTCGGAGGCAAAGCGTCGGTCGTTCCTCCATCAGAGAGCGATATCGAGATCGTTTCGCTCGCGGAAAGAGGAAATACCATCCAATTTACGAACGGTTTTGCCGTGCGAACGAAACAAAGATTAATTTATCCAATTGCCGAAATTGCTGGAGAGCGAGCGCCATGCCAGCTATCGTTCGCCGCGGCGTCATTTAACCGTCGGTGCGCGATTCGCGCGATCCTGGTGAGATTCGCGGCTGAAATCCCGCCGGGTAGCGCGAGTACGTTTTTCTTCGCGCATTTGTCACGTACGGTAATTGGATGGTCGTGCAAGAGAGGGGGGTGGGAGGTCGCGGAGGGATGCACGCGCGGACGGAGAAGGGAAAAATTCCCCCGCGGAATCCCTCGGTCGGCGGAATTATTGTGCGAAATTTGCATGCGCGTGTTTATCGGGCCGCATCTAGTTTCCTATTGCGCCACCGTGCACTTTATGCGCCGTGCACGCGGAAACGTTCGAAGTACCCGGCAATCAGCGGTCTGTGTGTTTAATGGAAAACAAAACGGCGTCGTTTTAACCGCCGGTGAGCCGACACCTCGCCGGCGGGACTCCGTCGAATTAATCGGCACACCACCGCCGTAAATAACAGCCGTTGGCCCGCAATCGCGACGATCTCCGCGGACTTTCCCGATGTAATCATCGATACATGGTATACTGGATGGAACATGCGGCAAGATTTCTTGATCTATCGCGTCGACGGATCCGGAAAAAAAGAGAAGCAGTACGTTTGTACGCGAATCTCTTTCTCCGCGAAATAAACTTTATATCCCGCAAATAGATTTTTAAGTATCTTTTTATCAGTGCACTATCTTTCCATCGGTTGAATTTTGTCTGCGAAAAAGGAGCAACAAACGAATGTTTATTTCAACAAATGGAGCTGTTTAGTTTCTCAAATAATCAGTGTTTCTTTATATATGGGCGCATCAAATAACATATTTATTTGATATTTTCACCTTTAATACTTTTTGTATTTAATATTAAATTATGCCGTTTATATCGAACCCGGGTCAAACGTATATTAAACCCAAAGAAACACTTCTCTCGGTGTAACGGGAGCGAGAACAATACGGTATTCCCAGACAGCACAAGGCTTTAAAACCGGCACCTAAGACTCCGAGCGTAATTGAATGTTCGGTATTTTCGCGACTCGCCGTCGCGGCATGTTGAATAATTACGATACGAGAAACACGAAATTAATCCTTTGATAAAAATCGAGGCGGTGCATATCGCGAGATCAAAGAGCCTGCTGCTTTTGAGGACACGTCGCCGCGAGTGGTTGCCGTTCTTTGCGCCGCGATGTCAAAGCAGTAACATTTTTACGCGCGTATTATGCGCGGAGCGTGACGCGTGATAGATAATGTTTGTCGCAAAACCCTGAAAATTTATACGCTGCTTCCCGCGTTAGGGCGCACACACACACACACACACACACACGCATACACGACAGTTCCCCTCCGTTCTCTCGTATCTCGGCAACCGTAAGCGCGTTCGAGGGATTTCCGTTGAGAATCGACGAAGGAAATCTGAGAAAATCTGTCTTACGTCACTGTGGCTCGAGTGGTCTCAATTAATCGCACGAGCACGAGTTAATTATCTTAATATATACCCCGAGCAGACGCGCGTTTAAATCGCGACGACGACAACACAACAACAAGAATAACGATAACAACAATCGCCGATAACGAAACCATCGATCTCTCGGGAAACACTTTGGGTAAACGCCTCGAGGCACGAGATGTATCATTGTGCATGTGCAATACCGATCGAACATCGAAACGTAAGTGTTCGTATCACCCGGCGACACTAATACGATACAACGACCGGCAAGATCCGTGTTATCGCCGCTCGTTATTCCGTCACCCACATCATCTCGCTCGGATGTTCGTGTATTATCTCTCTCTCTCTCTCTCTCTGTATCTCTCTCTCTTTCTCTATCTCTGTGTCTGTTTGTCTTTCTTTCTCCATGAAAGTTCTCGTCCGCGCTATTCTTTCCGGTCTTGAATTTTTATCCGTAGAGGAAAACGTCCTCCCTTAATAACGACGCAACGTCTTAAGCTCAATAATGAAAGATCGTTCTGTTTAAAGGTACCCCACGAGGTATGTCTAGCACAGGTTCGCAAAAGCGTGCTCGCAAATGCCACCAGTAAGTCACCCACGAATCTAAAACAGTATATAACAGACACCATACGACAGATATATATATATATATACCTTACCATACCGATTTACATTCACGCGGGACGCATCGTCCAAGAAGCATCGCCGATATCCGAGGCGAGATATCGCGCGGCGATGCTTCGGGAACGACGCCCTGCATGCGTATATACACCTGCTTCAGCGCGATCGACCGGTTGGCCTTCGAGGACCGTCGAACGGATCGTTGGATAATCAAAAGCGCTATAACTATAACTACTCGCTCTAACGAGGGACAGCTCTGTCTATCTGAACATTATTCGGCTATTCGGCTCCGTCCTTTGATTTCGTTTCGTGTCTCGTTTCACCTCGATCCTCGATTCGATTTGCCCCGCGATGTTAAAATCCGCGTGCGAGTACACAAGTACGCAGTGGAGTCTCGTCGAACTTACGTTCTACACTTGGAATCTTGAATATTGTTAAATATATCTGTAAAATCGCGCCGTGCGTGTGGCAACGTCGAGGAACGTAATGACCGGAGACCGCGGGAGTGGTGGGGAATTATTTCGGATCGGGAGATACAACACGGAGAAAAGAAGCGCTTGAACCGAGTGAACGTAATTACTTGTTCTTCAGCCTCTCGAGTCGAGTAACATTTCGATCGATTTCAATATATTTCAACGGCTTGTAGTTGAGATTAATTTGAGCGCAGTAACGCCTTACTTTGTAAGTGCCTCGTGGTGCCCCACTCTGCATAAGTTGCTACCATAGTATACCACTATAGTCGCTACTATAATTGACAGACATAAAGACAGGATATGTGAGTATACCCCACGTCTCTACGTCTATCAGCACGGTTTCGATTCCATCCTCCGTCTAGTTCTGTATTGTATGCCGACGGTTAGACCGATCTCAGATGTTCACGCTTCTCCACCGCTTATCTTCAGCGCGTCGATTTCAATTTCACGAAACTTCGATTGATTTTCATCAAGTTCGCGAGAAAAAGTGAGTCACAGTCCTGTCGCGCCGATTCACCCCTCGATACACCTTCACTTCCTGACATATATTTAACACCGCCGCGAGAGAGGCGTGTCCGTGAAGTTCGTCGATACAGATTCGCCGTTAGTCTCCCTCGTCGCGCGGTTGACTTTGGCTTTTTTCGAAATTCCATTTCTAATGTACACACTCGTCGCCTTCGTTTCCCCCCGTGATAGTAAGTGGGGACCACCCACAGTCTCCTCTCTCTCTCTCTCTCTCTCGGTGGCCGCTAAAACGGAAAGGTTATAGCCTCGCAATAGCGCCATAGTTCGCCGACGGCTGTAAAAATAGATCACGGACGATATTTTCGCGCGACATTACGCCCGTTTGGCGAGTCTAAGTGCCTTTTTGCCGGACAAAAGGCCCGGCCAATGGCCCTTATCGTCGGAAGGGACGGATGCAACGGCGCTCGTGTCCTCTCCTCGCCGGAGAGAGGAAGAGCGTTACCTTGAGTAGATTATCAAGCCCGCGAGATTGATTAACCCCGCGAAGAGAAGGGCGTTATAAAGAGCGAATTAATTAAACGCCATGTTGTGATAAGCGAAAATTTTTACCCCCCGGTAAGTTTCGCTTTTATTCGCGCTTTATCCCCGTGTGGACGGCTTGTACATAATATACAGCGTGAAAAACCGCATATTTAGATGGCAAATTTGGCTCTTATCGCGTCAACGGACAAATTGTACGACACGGAGATCTCGCTTGCGTATCTCTTATCTATCTTTCTGTAGATTTCGTTGTTTTAAATGAACGCTCGCGCCGGAATTAAACGCAAAATCGAAATATTTCGATTGTCATTAGCGAACTTCATCTTTCGCTTGGGGGTCTCTGATATACCGTTTCATTTATTAATGTTTAATGCACCACACACGTCGCAAGCACAGCGCAACATAATTACGTCATTTACATTCGAGAGTACGAATCGGCATCCGCACTACGTTTAATATCGGAGCAATCAAGGTAATTTTGGTATTGCAGTGAATGTGAGAGACCGCAACGTTTCCCACCGATGTAATTGGTAGTTATCACTTTTGAGCGCGATGTTCTCCGTACAATTCACTGCTAATTTTTATTCGTAAATATTATCGTTCGTCGATATTTCACACACACACACAAACACACACAGCGATTATTAGATCTCTCGTCTCTTAAATGCTTGCTTTAACGTCGCAATTATCCCCGGACGACGACGACTACGACGGCTTAAACAGACTCCGTACGTGTCGTCGGCGAAAAATGCAAAAATCGTCCGTGTGGTAGTTACGGCGATGCTTTGAAACCGAGTTTTTTTTCCTCTCGGAAAAAAACTGGGTTTCAAAGCATCGCCGTAACTCCCACACGGACGATTTTCGCACTTTTCGCCGTCTCTCGAAAACACGGAATTTCCGGTCACGGCGATGCGCGCGTGTATATACCGTCGGTGCATTTCACAGCAGCTCGTACGTACGTCGACGTCGCACGGCAGGTTTACAAGGTTACTTAATTAAGCCGGTTGTCGGTAAATATACATATAGATAGACAGCCAAAATATTATCGAGCGGTTATACGCCGCCTGTATTCCCACGGGCCCGAAATTTCGCGTGTCCACGTTCGAGTCGTCTCGTTCTCCTCGTCGATGCGGCACAGTACGAAGACGAACGAGCGACCGTAAAAGAAAAAAGAAGAAAAGAAAGAAGCGAGAAACAATTCGCTTCGGACGAGGCGCATTCTCCGGCGGGATGCTGAAGGACGGATTCCCGCATCATACGCGGTGCGAGAGATTATACACGATATGGCATAACGAGGAGAAATAATTTTGTTCCGCCCACTCGCTTTTCGCAAATTTCCGATATCGCAAAAAGTACCGTTCCCTTCGACACGTCGTAGGTGCTCTCGACATCTCGATCGACATACCTGTCTTTCACCCCACTCTCTCTCTCTCTCTTTCTCTCACACGAAGCCACTTTACCGACTACTCTTCTCCCCTCTCGACTTCGACTGAAACTTTCTCTTTAGTAGTTCTGTTCATCCGCATGTGCTCGCATGCTTTGCGCCGCAAAATAGCCGTGTATATAGGTGAATCCCCTAATTGGATTCCATCGGCCTGAACTCGCATACAGCTTCGATCTTGCATGTCCATCGATGCGACAGCTGCAGCACAATATTATGGCGCGCGTAGTGCGACAATAATTTAGAGCAGAGCGAGAGACTTATGAGTTGCGGTTGAGGCATCGCCACGCCACGCCACGGGGATTGAACGGCAGTTTAGAAGCGCAGCGTGTTGCTCGTGACAAAAGTGTTATTATGCCTGATCGATTTGGCGGAGCTGGTTTAGCCGAGGCGATGCAGTAATCGATGGTAGGATATAATTCATCGTTGTCACGTAGAAAGGAAAGTTCCCAATGACATTTCTTATTCATAGTATCCGAGGGAGGATCGCATCGGGGGAAACTTTTTATCCTTCCACAACGCAGCACATCTTACTTTCATATTTCTATAAACTCCTTCGCTCTCTTCCCCCCTCTCCCCCTCTCTCTCATGCATCTTGAATTAATTATCATTTAATCGCTTTATCTTTACCCGACGAGACGATTTTCGTCGCAGGCGATTATTCTCAGTTATCCCCCTTCCCCCATCCTATAATCGTTTTACATTCCACGAAATTTGCTTGAGACGCGTAAGACTGCCGTGATTAGTCTCTCACACTTTGTCCCCTTTCGCTTCCGAACGTCTTTATCATTGTACGTAGCACGAACTCTCTCACCAGCGCGCTTCCGGCACGTAGCATGATAGAACACTCTGGAGTACGGCAGCAGAAAGATTTCCAGTAGAATTGACGACGAGCCGAGCCGCTGACTCATCCCTCCGCTCTTTGACTAAGATTCGCTCTGATCTCCCTGCGACCGATAGTGCTTGAAGGCGTACATACATATGTATATACCTCGATAGATCACCGAATTAGGATTTAGATTAGATAACCGCGAGCAGCGCGCGTCGCCTTTCCGTACGCGGATAATAGCGGCGTCATTCCTCCTTGCGATGTACAGAGACACCGTTATGGCTGCTCCTGCAAATAGCGCCCATCAAGAACGAACGGGACCTCGTGGTCCTGTTCCTGCTGACGTTTCGAGACATCACCGCCTTGAAACAGCCCATCGAGACGGACGACAGCAAAGGCGGCCTCTCCAAATTCGCCAAACTCGCCAGATCGGTCACCAGATCGAGATCGGTCCTAGTTTCTCAGTTCAGCTCACACCTGCCGGCCCTGAAGGATACCGCCGTGCCGACCACCGCCAAACAATCGCACTTGGCTCATGTAAGTCGTCGATTGATTCGTGCCGCGATTCTAATTGAAATTCTATCCGCCCTTTGTTCCCGCATACGAGGGCGGTTTGCGAAGTTCACGACCTGGTATCTCGAAATAGCCGTTTACCGCAGCTTTCGGCTCGTTATTTAAGGAAAGTCGCCCGTTAAGGAATTTTTCAAGCTTTGGATACGAATAGAAGTCAGATGAAGCTAAATCAGTCGAATAAGGCGAGTGTGATGGCAGACTGATAGCTGAAACCGAGCAGGATCTGTCATTCTAATGTATTTAAACGGAACAGACTGCAGATCCTCGTTTATTTTCTGCCGTCAATCTGCCGTCAGATTCTATCTGTGTTCTGACAGAACGCGAGTCGAATGCGGATATGCAGATGACTGTCCATGTCGGCAGATTCTGATCGAATTTGCCGCTAATTTGTCGGCAGGCTTCCGACAGATCGCTTACTGAGTTATTTTTTAATATTTACACTTTTGTTAAGGTAACACAAAAATTTGGGTGCAGTAAAAAATTGGTTACCATGTTGTGACGCTGTAAAAAGGTTAAAACATAGTAATAGTGGTAGATATCTCTACGTCAGGCCGCGAATTTTTCAAACTGCTCTCGTATCTGCATTTGTATCGGCAAATTTTTACTTTTGCTTTTATACACTATCGTAGTTCTATAAATTATATATTTATTTATCTAATTTATTTAATTGATTAATTTTCTTTTATAAATTATATTATATCGCTATATATGTGCGAGCGAGCGCGACCATTATTTTTATAGCTCTTATTTACATATGTATATCTCGAGAAATATCCGTCTCGATATTCTCCTTGCCGTTCGTTGAAAGTTTCTGGATTATTGAATCACTTAAGAACAGTCAATATGGACAATAGATAAGGCAGTGCTGCTACAGTCAACTTATGAATTCTCATTTAAATCAATGAAACAGAAACGCAGTTTCAATATTGCCCGACTTCGTCGAGTAACGGAGAGCTGAGAGCACATCTGCATGAACGTTCCTTCTACCAACAGAAGGCTCATGCATTTGAAAGCTCTTCGAAGCGTGAGAAGCTAATGGAGCCCGGACTCGGGGTGTAAGGAAAAAAAGAGATATCAGATAAATAGTACGCGCGATAGCTAAGGGGTCGATATAGAGGCGGTAAAACTTGCTTATACCGTCAAGATAATGTAATTCGCGAAACGACGTATATCTTTCGAAAAAAGGAAAAAAGTATTAAAAAAATGCGAGGAAGCATTTGCGTGAATCGACGAATTATGTGTCGATTTCGATCGACGGTGAGACCCCCGAGACGTTTCAACGTATCTCGTGTCTTACGGTTCCAGATGATGTCCTTAAGCGGCGATGTTATGCCGCAATACAGACAAGAAGCCCCGAAAACACCACCGCACATTTTACTGCATTATTGTGCATTTAAGGCGATCTGGGACTGGATCATTTTGTGTTTGACCTTTTACACAGCCATCATGGTGCCGTACAACGTCGCGTTCAAGAACAAGACCAGCGAGGACGTCTCCCTCCTGGTCGTCGACAGTATCGTCGACGTGATATTTTTCATCGACATCGTACTCAATTTTCACACAACGTTCGTCGGCGCCGGCGGCGAAGTGGTGTCCGATCCGAAGGTAAACTCAGTTTCCGCCGGGTTCTCCCACCCCTCATAAAAAATTCCGCATCGCTCGCGGAACAAAAATCATAATCAGTTTGTACGCTTAAAAACGGCGGGAAAATGGCCGTTTTTATCCGTCCGGCGGGAGCCCGCACCCACACTGTCGCGTGTTGAACATTTTATGAAAACAGTTATTCGCATCGACGGCGATTTTCTGAGAATAGCTCGCATTTCCATACACACGATAACTTCGTGTTCCCATCAAATAACAACGACAGTTTTTGTTATCGCGTGATCGGGTAACCTCGATGCCTCCAGGTGATCAGAATGAACTACCTGAAGTCCTGGTTCATCATCGATCTGCTGAGCTGTCTGCCGTACGACGTTTTCAACGCCTTCGATCATGACGAGGACGGGATAGGTAGCCTGTTCTCGGCCCTGAAGGTGGTACGGCTGCTGCGGCTCGGCAGAGTCGTACGCAAGCTAGATCGGTATCTGGAGTATGGAGCCGCGATGCTCATTCTTCTGCTCTGTTTCTACATGTTGGTTGCTCACTGGCTGGCCTGTATCTGGTACGTCACATTAAGGTGATTCTACCCTGCGTACACACGTCCAAGGTAACACGCCGCCGCCACCAGGGTACGGTGGGGGGTAACGTCGCGTGCACGATCGTTACCATACGACCATCCATACACACCGACGTCGTCATCGTGACTCTCTTGCTGTACCTCGCGATACGTACGCTTCGGGTCACCGCACCGATTTACTTTATTTCGCCCCCTCTCGCAGATTCTCTCGAGTCGCCACCGTCTCGTCCTCGGGAAACGCGCCGAACCCCTCGATGCGTGTGTCGCTCCTCATTGATAACCGAGTGTCACTGCATCGGCAGAACTTGCGCCGAGTAAAACGCTCGGGATCACTTCTTTATCATAATTCGCAATATGTTTCATTGAACGGAGCAAAAACAGTATCAATTCAAGACTCATATTCTTAAGTATATATAAACAAGAATATAGCCCGGCGAGACAAACGACTCGTCGAATTGAATTGAACTTCGGTTATTTCGACGTCGATTCGATTCGTTAGTTTCTCGCTGGATAATCATTTTACAGGACGATAAAATTTGTTCTCACATGAAGAAATTCCATATAGTTCCGCTAAAAACATCACATTCCTGTCATTCAAGAATAATTTTCATGAATTGAGAGGAGACAAAATATTCAGTGAATATCACTTGCAGATCTTATAAAGAAAATCTTCATAGATCTTACATGAAGATTATCATATAAGAGTATCTTCATATAAGATTATACATTCTTGCTTACATACGAGAATATGAATTGATACTAAGTTTTTCCTGTGTACGTGTATGTATACGCGAAAGAGCAGAGAACGAAGCGATATCACCGGCGAGATATTCCGATGAATCGACGAAGCGCAGACAGAAAATCGACCGAGAAGCGATTCTAACGTAATATCCAAACATAAGGCATCGATTTTTAAAGTTAAACGCCGCTCGACCTCGAACGGGGATAAGTTCACAACGCGTCATCCACCTGAGACCGCATTATCTCTCTCGACTTCACATCAATATCTGCCGTCGATCGGACTCGACGCCTCGTAAGAAATCCCCTTGCGTTAAAGGTATTCGATAGGGAGATCGGATGCCGACAATGGGGTACAGTATTCCTGGCTGTGGAAGTTGGCCAATGTTACCCAGTCACCGTACAGCTACTTGTGGACCAATGCCAGCACCGCACCCGAACTAGTAGCTGGCCCGTCACGTCGCACGATGTATGTCACTGCTCTTTACTTCACAATGACTTGCATGACCTCCGTGGGCTTCGGGAACGTTGCGGCCGAGACCGACAACGAGAAGATTTTTACCATCTGCATGATGATCATTGCTGGTACGGATACAATACCCCGTAAAACTCTATTCTGCGCCGAAATCGGTAATAGAAGGGAGATAGGACACGACCGCGGGAAAACACGTCCTCCTCGATCTGCCTTTACCGTTCGCGATAATGCTAGATTTAGAGACAAGCGACTCGCGGATAGCGTAATAAGGGCTTGAAATCGCCATTTTTTTTTCTTTCTTTCTCTCTCTCTCTCTCCTTCTCCCCCTGGTCAGCCTTACTGTACGCCACGATCTTCGGTCACGTCACCACGATCATCCAGCAAATGACGTCCGCCACCGCCAAATATCACGACATGCTGAACAACGTGAGGGAGTTCATGAAGCTACACGAGGTGCCCAAGGCTCTCAGCGAGCGCGTCATGGATTACGTCATCAGCACGTGGGCGATGACGAAGGGTCTAGACACTAACAAAGTTCTCAACTACTGCCCCAAGGATATGAAGGCCGACATTTGCGTGCATCTTAACCGGAAGGTCTTCAACGAACACGGTGCCTTCAGGTAAACCATATTCTTCGTAACACCGCGCGCTCTCTTCGCGAGAGAATCTGCAAAATTTACAGCCCTGTTTATTTTTCTAATATTCTTTCAACCATTCCTACAATCTTCAACTTAATCCCCTAGCTTCCTCTGGTTGAGGATCCACCTATGTAGACAAGTATTATTAAGCGACTCATATATCTTCCTCTTGCTTTTTAATCAAGGATATAAGAAACCCTCCCTCTCTCTCTCTTTATGAAAAAATTTCCTTGGAGGTCTTAAGGGGATCCTCCTAGAGAGAGTCGTCCTATTTTACCGTGAATTTGTTAATATTATATTCGTTACTGCACAGAATTAAAAATTCTTATGCACAAACACATTATTTTAGACAAGGCCGATTGACCTTATTCGAAAGACGATGAAAGTTGACAGATTAAACAATTTTTTTCGTTTCTCGAATAAAGTCAATCCGTCCTCGTCCACATTAACGTGTGCGTTGTAATTTTGCGGGAGAATTTTTTATTCTGCGCAGCCAGTAACGAGCACGGTGCTAAGGAATTTGCGGTGAAACAGAACGGTCCCCGTAAAAAGGAATTCGCGAACTCTCGGCGCGCTTTGATCGCTCGCTAAGCGCTATTCGTGCGCCTTTAATTCATGTCCAGGTTAGCGTCCGACGGGTGCCTGCGCGCTTTGGCGATGCACTTTACGATGTCGCACAGCGCGCCTGGCGATCTGCTCTATCACACGGGCGAATCCATCGACTCCCTGTGCTTCATCGTGACCGGCAGCCTCGAGGTGATTCAGGACGACGAAGTGGTGGCGATACTGGGCAAGGGCGACGTCTTCGGCGACAGCTTCTGGACGAACTCGTCGGTCGGCCAGAGCGCGGCGAACGTCAGGGCGCTCACTTACTGCGATCTGCACACGATCAAGCGGGATCGGCTTCTGGAGGTATTGGACTTCTATCAGGCTTTCGCGAACTCCTTCGCCAGGAATCTGATCCTGACTTACAATCTGAGCCATCGGGTAAGTCCGTTTTCATCATGTGACGTGATATCGCGCTTATCTCTTATCAAGTCGGTGAGAAGGAGATGCGAACGGAAAGGGGAAGAAAACGCACGCGGCGTCGTAGATTTTGATTGTTTATTGAACTTTTAATAGATTTTATAATAGTGCAGAAAGTTCTTCCCGCTGACTTGCAGTCGGCAAACGACTCTCGTTGGCGAATATTTGCGCGGTGATATACATCCCTTCTTCTCCATCCTCGTACGACACGATTATACAGTCTTAGTTAACAAGAGCAATTTGTATGGCACACATGAGTTCGTTTATATATGAATATAATCAACATACGGAGAATGATAAATTAACGATTAACAATCGACTCGTCAGGCACTAGACAATAGGCATTCAGGCCACGCAGCGATTGGCATGATATTATTCCTTTAATATCATAGCTGAATTCATAAATATACACGTATACACGACATAATGAAGTTACACGGGAAGTGGAATCGAGTGACCGAATGGAAATAATTGCGGCAAATTCAGACTCGTCAGGCCGTTTAAAAAGGGACAAAAGTCCTAATAATGCGCACGGGGGAACGTTCGGGAACGTGCATTTGTCTCTTCCTGATCTTTGATCCCTTCTAGATATGTCGATGGCACGTGTGTCTAATAGAGATAAAGAAACAAAACACGTTGATACAACCGAGCCGCTACGATCGAACTCACGCGTTAGTCGTCCTTGTTTCTCTTACTTCGGGTAAGATAACGAAATAATCTCATTTTTCTCCCGGTGAAAAATTCGAAACACGAGAGACATCAGTTTTCGAGATATCCACTGTTACAGATGACGATTGCGTTATATCCAATTGCAGTTGCAATATATTATTATATTCGAAGTTCATCAAAATCGGAGAGGATCACCTCGAAACGTTCCCTCGTTAAGATAAATTACAAAACAAACAGAAGTCTGTAGAAACGTACACAGAGAGAGACCGCTCGTACACATAATATGGACAGACGTACTATTTGTTTTTTTTTTTCTTTCACTCAATCTAACACGCAGTGGCTTTCGTAAGTGTAATTCGTTTCCGCTTCGCGCTTTGATTGCCTCTCGCGGCGTTATCACACGGATTCCTTCTAACATACCCCGAGGATATGCGCTCGCGTAAATTATGGATCGCGAGGGTTCATCACTCTTCGTCCCCATTCTTCTTATCATGTCGCGACTGTCAACGTATAATTACGAATCTATAACAGTTTACTAAATACATCTTTTATACCCGCGTATTCCATTATACAATACAAGATCGATAACAGATTTTACACAGACTCTATTCGAAATCGATTAACGTCTCAAATATTTGTAAATATCTTTACAGCTAGTCATCACCCCCTCTATCTCGTTTTTCTTTTTTTCTCCGCTTACAACCTACGACTTCCGTAAAAATCTCAAAATTGCACGTCACAATTACTGGTCCTCCTCGCGAAGTCCCTCGCTGTGCAGCTTGCGGCCGGACAGTTCCAGCATCATCTTCGATGTCGGGTCTTGATTCAGCACGGACTTCATCTCGCGCACGTCCTCCTGCGCGTCCAACGGCTTCGGGCCGACGCCCCACACCTCGCAGTGTTTGATTTTGAAGTCCTCCTTACCGCTGAGTTGCACGTAATTCTGAAAGGTCGTGCACGATACGCTCGACTTGCCGGCGCCGTACTCGCAGTCCAACCAGAGGCCGGGGTAATTAAGCTGCCCCCCCATGAGCAAGCCGTTAGGCATCGTTTGTTGATGGAGATTCAGATACTGATAGTGGCTGTTGTAATTCGTCGCCGAGAACGTCAGTATGTCCGGCTCGAGCTTGAACAGAAACGAGGTTTGATTGCCGATGAAGTTCGGACCCAGCTTCCAGCTGTCGGAGGCGAAGCCGCCGAACACGTGGTCGTCCATGTCCTGGAGTATGATTATCGTGGCGCCCTCCATCATTACCCTGCCCAGCATGGTGGAGAACGACTCGCCGTGCACCTGGCTCGAGAACAGGAACCGCCATTCGTCACGGAGCTCGTGCGGCAGGCTCAGATTCAGGAAGAGAACGTCCCCCAGCCCGAGTATACTGGGGAAGTGCGGTGTGTTCTCGAGGCCGCCGCAGATCGGCAGGAGATTGAGGTCGCTTATTCGCGCGCTCGTATTCTTATCGCCCTTCTTCTGAGAGACTAGATAGAGGTATTGGAATACGTGGGACTGGATGCTCTTGAACGTGGCCGCGGTGACGAACCAGCTCTCCACCTGGTCGACGGTCAACACGTCCCCGTACTTGATGAGATCCTCGCAGAGGCTACGGGAACGCATCCCGATGCGCCTGGTGTTGACGGTGCAGCCGATGTTGCTCCAGGTGAGGTAGTGCGCGTTACAGGAGTTCTTCTGCAGTCGCAGGTAGGAATTGATCGTTGCTTGAATATATCTGAGGAACGTCTCGGTGGGCATCTCGTATTTGTGCTCCTCCTCGGAGAAGCCGTTGAAGATCAGATTCGTGCGCTCCTCGGGGCTACCCCGCACGGCGAACACGTAGAGCCGGCCAAAATTCTCGCCGTTGACAGCGGAGACCCTCTTGCCCGGCTCGTGGCAGAGGAAACGCACCACAAACTGTAGCAGCACATCGTCCAAGTGCGTCGACCAGTGCTTGAATATGTCCTCGCGTTTGATGGAACCCGAACTGCGGGACATGGACTTAAACAGGTTCTCCACCAGTGTCAGCTCCTCCGCAGACAGGATGTTCGCTGATGAGGGTGAACGGCTCGACCCATGACCCATCTGAAACAAGCCAAGTTTCCAACTTCATTATCTCTCCGAGCTCACTCGGAGCGATCGCACGCTGCAGGCGACACTTCAAATTCAAACACGGAGCCTCTGCGCGAGCTCCTCCGACACGTATTCCTCAGCATTGATTGAATCGACCTGATATCGTATCGCGCGTTATCTTCAAGTGGCATTTCGTACGCACCTTTCATGCGGACCAGCGATCTTTCCCGATAGTCCATATACCCCGACTTTCCCCGGGTCGTCTCGTGGACGTCGAGAGGTAAGGATGCGAAGAGAGACCGCCGCACCACCTTCGCGACGCCTCGTCGTCGGCACGTGTACACCTCGCACGTCACGTCACGTCACGTAACGTCACGTCGTCGCGCAAACGACGACGACGGCGACGGTCGCGATCGACGTTAACGCGCTCAGTCCGGCCAATTTCGAGGTTATGCGCGAACGAGCGAGCGAGCGGCCCGCTACGTGTGCGCGGACACCTATCGACTGCCGGCATTGCGCCTGCGCCGCTGACCGCCCGGTCGCGCGCCCCGATGCATCGTCCCCGTGCGCTCCTCGCCGCGGAAAATACGAGAATCGACGCTGAGTCCGCTCGGATAACGCACGGATGAAGGCCGTCCGTGAGCCGGCCAGCAGAGGGGCGGCGAGAAACTCCGAAATGCGGTCTCGCTCAAAGGGAATACGCGCCGTGCATGGGCAATGCAATTTTCAAGCGGCGGATGAGATGACCCGCATGTGCACAGAGCGCATTCGGGATGACGCGCGTGCATAATACGTCGAAGCGGAGCAGCGGGGCCGGCTGCTTCCGCGCGATCTTCGCCTCGGCGCGTAAACACCTGGCCGTTAAGTGTCGTTTAAGCGCACATCGCGCTCCTAATCCTCTTTGCGAACCGGCGTTCGTCGAGGTTTCTCTTTGAAAACGCTTCTACCTGCCTGATCTCTCGACCGGGAGAGATCGTTGCTAGATACCGCTTCTCGTGTACTTTCTCGTGACCTTTGCCGGACTTCGTGGGTTCGCTAATGAAACTGACTTCTGTGTGCAGCTGATCTTCCGGAAGGTCGCCGATGTACGCCGGGAGAAGGAGCTGGCTGAGAGGAGGAAGAACGAGCCGCAGCTGGACCAAGCTCAGGATCATTTAGTCCGCAAGATCTTCTCAAGGTAGGAGAGACACACCCGCCAATAGTTTTATCATTTAACCCGGCTGCGATCGAATGCGAATATCGGTGCCAGTTGCGCTCGTAAACTTGCGAGCGAGCAGACGAATTAAAAAAGGACAGACGAATCCACACACGAATCTCCTGCGAGAGAGATTGCATGTCTGATCTTCGAAAAAAATCGGGGATTGGCCTGAAGAGATCTCTCTCTCTCTCTCTCTCTCTCTAATTTCTCGATAAAACCACTTCGATATTCGCCGGCGGGGCTTTAACGGCTGTCGAGAGAGATATGCGAAAAAAAAGGAACGGAAGAGAGCGCAGAGTGTTTCGTATATATTCGGAATTTATCCCCCCACACACATACACACACATACACACGTTCGCTAGATATAAGGGGGACGTGTAATTTCCGATGTACGGTGAATTACATAAAGTTCCGCATAATGATTCACGATACTCTCTCATGTATGGGATGTGTGCGCGCGTACGGTGACACGCTGAATCGTCGGTTCTGAAATTTAAATTGCGGTGGATAATCAAAGCGCGGAATTTAATCGGGCTCGTAATAATAGCGCCGCCGCCGACCCGTATTTCCCAGATGTTCCCGTACGCGTAAACACGAAATCGTACGCACGGAATCTCCTGCGTGGCATCTGCGAAAAAAAGGGGGGGGGGGAAATAAAAAAAAAGCGCGCGAGAGATCGAGCGAGAATAAATGTGGGCAAGAGTACACATACGCGAAGGTACACATACGCGGAGAGAACGACGGAATTAATCGCTCGCGATGTTTACATCTACCGCGGCTGTTGCTGATGTGACTGTTGATCGTTGCTTGGCTGGCCTGTTGTTCCTTGAAAGGTTCAAGACCGACGGGGAAGGCCAGATCGGCGTGACCAGGACCGTGAGCGGACGGTCCCAGCAGGATTCCGACGAGGAGCTCACCGTGAACGTCCTGCCGCCATGGCCGAGTTTTAGGCAATTTCATTTCTCTTACGTATTTATTTCTTCTCCAATTCCTTTTTGCCGTTCCTTCGCTATACTTATTACGTACACGTCTTCTTATATATTATTATTATTATTATTATCATTACTGTTATTATATATATATATACATTATATATACATATATATATATCTATCTATTTCTCTATCTCTCATCATCTCGTGTTATCCTTTATTACCGTTGAACTTATATTTATTATCATTATGATTCTACATATATATATATATATATAACCGTTATATTATTATACATTTATAAATATTCTTATTGCCGTGATATATATTATACGACCGCGACCATTTTTTATTACTGCCCACTATATATCTGCGATGTATAATATATTATACTATATTATATTTTATACACACATAATTTTCCAGAATACCCGTTTCAATATTTGTACACACACGTGTATATATGTAATACTCATGAATACCGTATATATACCACACAGCAGCGCGAGTGATGCACATGTCTCTCTGCGGTTTAATCCTGCATTTGCATTTTGATGATTCGTTAATTAAAAGCCTCGTTGCGTGTTTTCGGTCTCCACCGGCGGGCTTGACACGACGATAAGAACGTAATCGTGATGAAAGCGTACGCGCGCGCGAAAAAGTCCAAGCGGACGTACTCCGAAGAGCGCGCCTTTAGCGCACGGTCTCGTACGCCCCGGACGTTTAATAATTTTATAAGCAATTTACATTCGGGGCCACGCATCCAATTTTCATCGTGGCCAAACAAGTGGAGGATTAAATCGCAAGCGCACCCTTTCGAAGCCGATGTAACAGGATGCTGTTGTGCAACATTGACAAATCTCTCGGTTCTGCCGACGCGATTCCTCGACACCGGCCTGGTGACGTTGATTTTTTTTTCCCTTAACTTCGTCGAAACAGTTTCATCGGCAGTTTGTCACCTGACTCTCTCTCGTCCCGAGAGAAAGAGAGCGGATTTTAATTCGTCAAAGTCTCGGTTCGAGATCGGACGTGTTGTGTGGGTCGAGGGAGCGAGAGAAAATCCGAATAGACTTCCATCCGTGGGAAGAAATCGATCCCGGCTTGTTCGAAGAGAGACGCCGCGAAGGCGAAATTTGTCATTGTCGGCCGAGAGCACCCTGTACACATGTTCTTCGGGCGCTTCCCTCCGCATTCGCCGCGAATACCGTAAATGCGTCCCGTAATGTGCCAGCCGGAAGGTATCACGTACGTGCACTCGCTGTACACACGCTTGTATGTGAACGATAAATTTTCATCGCACGTATACGTCGAAACGCGAGCAAATCGAGATTGGTCCATCGACCGCTGCGGCACTCCTCGGCTTCGCGTTTGTTCTTATTGAACGTGTATTCACTCTCTCTCTCTCTCTCTCTCTCTCTCTGTATTTCGTTTTATAGAGTCGTATTTTGCTAATAAAATATCAATACTGTCCATCCGCTGATATATATCGCGGTCTTGCTGATATCTAGATGATACCGAGATAATAAAAATGAAGAGGAAGCTGTGCGAAAAGATCTTTGTCTCGTAGCCATTGACGTTGAATCTCGTCTCTTTCGTAAGTAATCACGAAATCTCTCCTGTGAATATCACACGTCGATGAGAATAATGCCACGAAACCAAATCTTCGATTTGTTCGTCCTTCCAGCAGCATTTTCACGAGACGCACATCTCACGCGGTATCATCCTATACCATCATCGTCATCCTAACGGTCACTGCAGTTTCTAATGAATGCTAGAGTGCTGTAAAATATACGGCTTTAGACGGTTATGCGCATATTTTTCTCACATTATATATATATATATATTTTTTTTTTTGTAATTAAAATCCCGAGTTACATAGAACGAGTTTGCAGGATTTCGTATAGTTTCCACTCTTGGATGTACAGCTTCGCAACTCTTTATCCGCCAGCTTTCAGTCCACAGCTAGAGCGAAGTACCGTCGCCATAATGCGATATACAACAATCGTAACGTCGAATCAACGGCGACGGCTTGCAATGCTTGTGTCTCGTAGAGCGCAGAGATTGTCCGGCTTAAGTCGAACAACGCGACGTAATATACTTGACAAAAATTATACGTAACGACAGTATAGACACATGTTTATAAGTAACGCAACAACTGTAAATAATAAGCATCACCACATATAGTGCAACGTGTAGTCCTCGTAGAAAACGATAAAGCGGACGATACCTCACCGACGGGGTAATTAAAAAAAAATGACAATCAGCCGGTCGATCGCGCGCACCAGCGAGCGCGATTTATCGGCCGGGGTATCCGCGCAGTGCTGTCGCTGAAGTGAGAGATTACCGAAATCCTGATCGCGTCTCGAAACATCTCCTTCGGCCTTACGCAAAAGCGAAGTGCATGCTACGAACACACACTCTAGGATTCAGAACTTCTCTCTTTGTCTCCTACCTATTTGAATATCTTCACGAGTACGCGTCACGTACGAGACGTTATGAAATTACTGTCATGCAGCTGCCCGAGAAACTACCGGAATGCCCGATATAGGGAATTACCTGCGGTGCACTATCACCGTTTTCGCTGCGTTTCTGCGACTGACTTATTTACTACGGCGCTATCTAATCTTCTTTACTTTCGTGCGATGATTATCGGCGATTTTTGTATCTGTAACTTTCGCATTTCTCGACTGCCTGACTTTTAGACATGTGTATATATATATATATATATTTACAACGTGCTTTCGTCACTAATAATTCCACTTAAGGTCTTGACTTACAACCTTATTACGTTACTTTTCTCTGTAGCAATAATTGATTGACATTACATTTACCATACTTACGATGGTTTCTTTTTCATAATAATTATTACATTGCAACAGTCGGAAGGCACTGTTATATATATATAACGATAGTATAATGATAGATTATTAGTATAATGATACATTTATTAATTTATATGCATGTACGAAATCGAGTTTTTCTTTAGAGATAATGACAATGATAAGAGATAATACACTCGAGTTTGCTTACCTTATTATAGTAATCTTATATTAGTAAGTTCTGTAATCAGTAAGAAACTTCTGTCTAATTGAAACACGAAAGAAATCCGAGAACGTTTTTATCTCTCGATTTTCGATCGACTGCATGGAATAATATTATGATACCTTAGTCTCCATAGAATTGCATATAGAACTCGAAGAAACACTTTTACGTATGGACCGTTTCCGATAGTTGCGTTCGCGTGGCCGAGCCATCGATTAGTCGCAACCGCGACGTCGGCGCGCCTTTGAAGAAAGTAACGAAAGTTCTCCGGCCGAGTTGTAAGGTCGATCAATTTCCGGGAACGACGATACAGTACTCTGACACGTAACGCGATATTAATAACATTTCCCGCTGCCTACGCGAGTCACGCTTCACTGAGGCGCGACAGTGCGCCAATAATTAATAGTTAACGGCGCAACTATTCGACGTTTAATATATTCAACAATGTGGCATTCCCGAAGTTTGTCGGGCAATTTCTCACCGTTGTCGTTACCGATGTACCGATGTACCGAAACGTTGGTCGACGCTGGCCGGTGCCGCGCGATATCCTCTTTAAAAACCGGCGTTGGAGAGTCATCTATATATGTATATATATATACATACACCATTAATTCGTTAATTTACCCAATGCCGACAGATTCGATATCAGAAAGATGGAAAGAGGCACACGGGCGTAAAGACAGATGTACTTGCTCTCACGAATGCGAAAATAAGCTTCCGTAGTGTGCGTAAAGCACAAGAGAGAGAAACACACAGAGACCCGTAAAATCCTCATCAAATCGTTACGACGTGATCGGTCTTGGCGAGTTACTGCGAAGACGTGTAAATTAGACGAGTAGGTCAGGGTGTCGCGACGGCCCCGCTATTAGTATGGGCTGACGATACGGAAATTCGCGAGAGAGGAGACAAAAACGTCCGAGGATCCTTACGATCGCGTTAAGCGGGAGAGGTCGGAATTAAAAGTTCCAGCGCGTGAGAAGCTTCTGTAATTATAGCGCGAATTATCGGGCTCCGGGGGTGATTCGGACGTTACGCCACGAAGGAAACGTGTCTCGATTCTGGAATTCCCCGGGGAGTCCCTACTCGGTATGGTTATTTCCCTAGGAGCCGCGCTACTTTCGGCGGTTGTTCTATCTCTATCTCTCTCTTCCTCGGAAAACTACTAATACTATTACTACCACCACAACTACCACCGCCGTCGCTACCGATGCGCTAAATGACGCTGATGCGGTAAATTAACCGAGGCTCTACGTCGGCATTTACCAACGTTCCCCGTCCTCTCCTCGTAATGTTGTCGGCCGTCACCAACACCACTGCCGTCGTGCCGGGTGTCCGTAAGCACGTCACCTCCGTAGGTCGCTCAAGTATAACCCACCATCGGTGTCGTCTCCTTTCTTCTTCTACCCCAGTAGGTGGCCGTGTTCTACGCTACGACGGTAACTCGATTAGCTTGATCCCGGGACCGATCCGAGGGTGCGCCGTGAATTAACCGGTGACTACTGCAAAACGGCGAGATTGATAGAAAAAAACGGGCGGTCTGGTTTTCACGTCAGAAAGGTCTTTGTCCAGCACCCCTTCACACTCGCCCCTCTACATGCATTTGTACTTTTGCCGCCCTGGTCCGAATGTCTAGGGAATAACCAGCCTTTTTATCGTATCTTTCCTTCGTATGTACACCCCCCATCGTGTGAATGGTTTGGCGCCGAGAGAAGTAAAGACGAATCTTTCTTTCTCTTCCGGCTATCCCGCGTAGGTTTCGCAGAGAGAGGCCGCACACCGATGTGGAGAAGGGCGACGGCAAGGACGCCAAGGATGGCGAGACGTCGCACTCCAGGAAGCAGTCCACCACCGAGGAAGGAACAACAACCGTGACCAAGGCGAGACCAGGCAAATGGGGTCGTTTATTAGGTGAGGCGCGACGAATCTCTACACGCAGAAAATATTTCTTAAATAATACACAAAATTGACTGAAACATACCAATGGCATGATTCGCTAAACTTGTATTGCGTGATTCGGATACACTCATATAGAAGCGAAAATTTATACACGACAGCAATATACTAGGTGTACCGGTATGAAGTGAGTGTCAAAATACAAATGTCTCGATAGGGAACATTTATTTTGAACGGGCCTTAATTTTGTTTTGTTTGGTTTCTATGACATCTATCAAACATATTCAGTTTACATCAAGTTATTGAACAAACAACATCTTTTTTCATCGTGTTAAAAATGTCGAATTTTGTACCAGAAAATGATGATTTGCGGAAAGCATTAATTTTTTGTTTTCATTTGAAGAAAAGTGCTGCAGAGTCGCATCAAATGCTTGTCGAGGCATATGGTGATCATGCTCTATCAGAAGCAACATGCAAAAGATGGTTTCAACGGTTCAGAGATAATGATTTTGATGTGAGAAATAAAGAACGTGGAAAACCACCAAAAAAGTTTGAAGACACCGAATTGCAAACAATATTGGATGAAGATGACACTTTGAGTCAGACACAAATGGCAGAAATGTTAAATGTTGCACAACAAACAATTTCTGACCGTTTAAAAGCTATGGGAAAGATCCAAAAGTCTGGAAAATGGGTGCCACATGAATTGAATGAAAGACAGATGGAAAACCGAAGAAACACTTGTGAAATTTTGCTTCAAAGACACGATAGAAAATCAGTTTTGCATCGAATTGTTACTGGCGATGAAAAATGGATTTATTTTAAGAATCCTAAACGGAAAAGATCATGGGTTAATCCGGGACAACCATCAACTTCGACTGCAAAACCAGATCGATTCGGCAAGAAGACAATGCTGTGTGTCTGGTGGGACCAGAAAGGTGTGGTGTACCACGAGCTCCTAAAACCTGGTGAAACCGTCAATACAGATCGCTACCGACAACAAATGAGCAATTTGAACTATGCATTGATCGAAAAACGACCAGAATGGGCCAGAAGACACGGCAAGGTAATTTTGCTCCATGACGACAATGCACCTGTACACAAAGCAAAACTTCAGGATACGATCAAAGCACTCGGCTGGGAGCTGCTACCCCACCCGCCGTATTCACCAGACTTGGCTCCTTCCGACTACCATTTGTTTTCATCGATGGGACACGCATTGGCTGAGCAGCACTTCGATTCCTACGAGGAAGTCGAAAATTGGGTGACTAATTGGTTTGCTTCAAAAGACGAACAGTTTTATTGGCGTGGAATCCACAAATTGCCTGAAAGATGGGAAAAATGTGTAACTAGCAATGGCCAATACTTTGAATAAAATGTTTTTTACTTTCCCATTAAAAAATAGTGTTTTGATTTCACAAAAAAACGCTCACTTCATACCGGTACACCTGGTATATCCTGTATCCTAACCGAGCCAGACTACTATAGTACTATTCCGGTTCATGCATGTTTATGTCTTCGAGAGAAACTCTCTGCGTGCGGTAAATTCATTAAAGAGAAACAAATGCAATCGTAAAAATGTAGTGTACAACTTATCTTTATGCAAGCGGATAAATCGAGAAAAAGGAAACTCTTAACGCCGCAGGTAGCTCGAGTCTGGACTCCGGCAGCGAGTCGGGCACGGCAGCCGACACCTTCAAGAGGTCCCTCAGCGCGAGGGATCCGCGTCCGAGTTCCAGCGCCGGCACCAACAAGGTCTTCCCGAAGCTCGGCAAACTGAGCGGCACGATCGAGGAGGGTGGTGACGCCGCCGAGAACCCGAAGGACGCGCAGCAACCGCAGCAACAGCAGCAATCGGCGCAGCAGCAGACCCTCGCGGTCGACTCGAAACAGCTGCAGCTGCGCCGCCTAGAGAGCTACGACGGCGGCCTGATCACCGCGCAGCCGAGCCACGAGCGCGAGATCCTCGCTGCAGTGCTGGAAGTGAAGGTGGACCTGAAGCTGGAGGTGCAGAGGGTGAATCAGAGACTGGCCAAGATCGAGGACATGCTGCAGGCGTTGATGAACAGGCTGCCGGCCGCGGGGACGCCGTCCGGTGGCGGCGGCAACGGCGGCGGCGGTCCCCAGAAGGGCCCGAATTTCGGGAACGGCGCGCCGAATCAGTCGGGCATCACGTTCGTCCAGTCCGGCACTCAGACCACCGAGTACAAGCCGTCGATCGCGACCACGTCGACGTCGACGACGCCGAGCGAGGGCTACCGGGAGCAGTCGACCGCGACGGAGCGCATGCCGAAGAGCCAGGAGCACCACCATCATCATCACCATCACCACCAGTCGGCGGAGCGGCTCAAGGAGACCGCCGACCGGCTGGCCGGGGCGTCTTCGAGGGACGTGAACAAGGAGCTGCTGGAGCGGCTGGCGCAGGCTTCCACGTCGCGCGGCGACGACTCGAACGCGCTCGGGCCGCTGATTCTGCGCAAGCGCAGGAGCAAGTCGCGCAACAAGGGCGCGGCGCCGCTCGCCCCGCTCGCCACGCAGCCGGTCAGCCCGTCCGAGGCCACGGAGACGACGCAGATGTTGGAGTGCACCGACGACCGGGAGCCGAGTGCCGACCGGACCGAGCGGTCCGAGCGCAAGAGACCACCGCCCCGACCGAGGGAATATTTGTGAAAGTTCTTCACGCGTTGCGACCGGACGCGGCGATTTCTCTGCTGCCTCGTCGCGAGGCAGCTCGCGAGCTTCGCCCGGCGCGAATCGCTGCGAAATCGCTGAGGCGATTGCGCCTCGCTCCCGAATTGTACACATCGAAGAACAGCTACCGTTTCGTTGCATTCGCTCGCACGTGGGATCGTTCGTTCGATCGATCGATCGATCGGCCAGTCGGTCGGTGGGATAATCGGTTTTTTTCATGACGGAAGATTCACGGCCGGTCGCTTCGCACACGCGATCACGCCGGTTCTTCTCGCGTGTGTCCGCGTCCGCCCGGTGCAAACCTGGAGCTTCGGGAGCTTCTCTGCGTGTCACCGTCGACGAATAACAACTCGTGCCGATGATTATGTCCATACCTCGGTAACATGTACGTATATTTGATCCTGGAACACCATACTTGGGTGTACCACACTCACGCTGTTATTGATATGCCCGTTGTTTTTATGTAATGAGTGGTAGGGGGAATTGGAATTGGCGGGGGGGAAAACTTCCATTTTCCCTCTACGACTCCTCATACCGCGCAAGCCCCATGCTTTTGCGTCATACCACTGTTTCTTATTTTTTTCTGAAAAGTTACGTCCTTTCCATCTTTGAAAAGTGACTATCCCTTTTATACTTTTCCCAAAATTGACTCTTTCTTAAACGTTGATCGTGATTACAGTGACACAAAAATGTCTATAAATATCCACTTTTCGAAGAGTCATTGATGGTTGAATAGTGTTGGGTGCAGTACATCCGGTGTGGCGAGATCAGGACTCGCAGGAAGTGTGGTGTTCTGGAGTTAAAGAAGGAGGAAGAGGGAGAGAGAGAGAGAGAGAGAGAAATACATATATATATAGAAGAGCTCCATTTTCGCTAATCGCTTTTCAAGACGCGAGTGGAGAAGCAGAAGAAGAGCAAGTAAGAAAAGGAAGAACAAGAAGAAGATACGGAATAGAGACGGTGGTTTTGGGATAGCAGACGAGAGATGAGCTCTCGACAGCGGCTGTGAGGAAGCCGCTGAGAAGTAATTCCGCGGGATCGGAAAGCGACGACGAACGGGGTAACGAGGTAAATAAACGCAGTCTTAAAATACGAATTACTCGCTTGCGACGGCTTCTTCGAGACATCGAAAACTCTCCGAGGGGGTATTACTCGCCTTGTACACACGACGTAGACGTAGGTTCACGCGTATCGTAGCGGACTTCGCGGTAGGATCATCGGCGATTACGCGATTAGATTTCTAAGCCTCCGGTCACGGATCGGAATGTTCACGTGAACGTTCGCGTTCACGGCACACCGAGCCAGCGACGTCTCTCTTTTTCTCGAAGGGGAGGAAGAGAAGAAGGAGGAGGCAGCGTTTTGTACTCGTTTGGTTGTGCGGGACGTGCTCGGACGTTCTGAGATCCGCGAGAAGAAAAAGACAAAAGAAAACTCCCCACGAACGCGTACGCGTCTCTTCTTTTTCTTCCCTCATTTTTTCTTTCTTTTCGGACACGCATGACGCGAACGACGACGACGCCGTCGGGATAATTGGGGCGGAAGCGGGAACGACCGGGCTCGAGCGCGAAAAATCGGGGATAATCGAGTCGTTTTCGACGTTCACACTCAAACAAGTCAATGGAATTGCAAACGATCGTCGTTTCTGTCCAAGATAAAACCGCGAACTGTTGCATATTGCACGCGCCCCGCGATCCTCGGTTTTGAAAACGAGCGCCGAGCGAGTGCGCGTTCGAATTCACCCCGCGTCGAATCCGATCTCCATTTTTATCGTCGCGCGCGCTCTGCCCTTGTCGACGCTTAATCAAAATCCAACGTTCCGCATCGTGTCACTTTCGGTGTCGCGCGAATCACCGGGACACGTTGGGGATGGTCGTTACGACCTGAAGTACAATCGCTCTGTTATCGTTCCTGTTTGGCCGCTTCGTCATTAATGTTGATGATAATTGAGTCTTGTCGCGATTCACGCGACGACGTGCGCCGAAGCTCGCAGGAGGGAAGCTCGGATTTCGGGGGAGTCTGTTCGTCAGAGGTTGACGAGGGTAAGCGACGCGTCTCTCAGGAGGAGGATGAGAGAGAGAGAGAGAGAGTGCAGTCTCTCCCGTGCGAATAAATATTGTTACGCAGGAATGGTGCTACGCTCGCAAATTCGTATGACGCGCATACGGAGCCAAATAGCAATATTAGATGTATATATTACCTTGTAATATGACATGTATATATATTCGCATTATTATATATTGCCCATACAAGCGTGGGAGAGCCGGTGAGAGCTGCCGGTGAGAATAGCGACGAATCCGCCGACAAGTTAATAAATTAATAAGCCGATGAACCAATTAATTAATTTTTGGCGAGCCCTCGTTTTGATCGAGCCCGACAAATTGGAATTATTCACAACGAGTTACACGCGGGAGTCCAAAGTAATTAGCTGGCGTCGGTAATCGTGGGATATTCTAATTTCATAATTTTTCTCTTTGATACAATATCTCTCTTCTTAATTATATTTCTTTCGCCAGGGATCAGTCGGAACGCGGTAGAAAGTTTGATCTCCCGGGTGACGGTGGAAAAACGAAAGCGCGATTCTCATCGGCGATGTCATTCGATCAAATCGAAAGTATAGTGGCAAACACGCGTACACACACACACACACACACACACACACACACACACACACACACGCATATACATACACACACACATGCGCGTACATATATATACACGTACACACACACATACACACACACATATATGCGTGTGTATATATATAAATATAATAAGAGAGAGGGAAGAGCAGTAAATAGTTATATAATTTCATGTTACGGAGGAGATGAATTATCAGTCAGTTTACGAGGACTTTGTTAAGTAGATTTTAGAGACAGAAACGATATAGCTGGCTCTATCGTAGTTTATATACTTATACGCGCGCAAGAAGGTTTAACACTGTTGAAACTGTAGCGACTAAGCCACGTCTATCGCGCTCGTCGGTCATGTTATAAAAGCGATACGCTGAGATTTTTCATGCACTAATCATATCGCGCGCCGGCCCCGTTATATACGCTAGAAATGCTCGACACTTTGCAACTTCCTCCGTAACTTCCGTCGGGGGATGAGAGACAGAATCCGCGACGCGCCCGCGGAGTTCACAGCGCGAGCAACGGGGTCGTTATCGAGAAAAGCGAGACCGAAAAGTTGTTGAGCGTCGTGACAAGGAGAGAAAGAGAGAGAGAGAGAGAGAGAGAAAGAGATCAGGCAGCGGAAGTCACTCTTGCCAAAGCGCGATTCTTCGTACGACGCTCGTGATTCACCGTGAGACAATTCAGACGACGAGGATATGCTTCGCGCAGAAAGTGCCGGTTTCACTTCAGATTTAGCGTAGCAAATGGAGCGACAATTATGAATCGACGGAGCCGAGATGGAGAAAAAGAGAGAGAAGGAAAGAAAATCGTGAGGGGATCCAGCTTGTTGTCAATTACTGCCGCCTCTTATCTTGTCATGGCGGAAGCGAGCGCGCGAAAGAATTAGAACGCATAACGCACGATCTCCTCTCGACGATGAGTCGCCGCGCTCCATCGCTTAAAAATGAACAATTGTCGTCGTCCATCGATCGCAACGGGTTTATCGGGGATTGCCGCAACTTCCGTCGGCCGCCGTGCGAGACACGGGAGAAGATCCAACGAACTGCAAGTTAGCAGACACCTCAACAGGAACAACGACACGAGAGGAGGCGACACGAGGCGGGAAAACACGCCTGAAACACGTTAGCTGTTAATTAGATACGCGGTATTGACGAGTGGCGAGGTTTAACGAGGCAACATCACCTTCGACAGCCCGGGGAAGATCATTCCCGTACTAAGCCCGAAGAGCACAATCGAATTCATGGCGCGGGAATTAGACGGGGGGAAAAGAGAATTTCCCGATCGACTCGCTGAAAGAAAAAAAAGTGCTGCGATCAAGTAAATAATATTGTAACGCTACTGCGTTTTCAAAACAAAATGGTTAATAATTCTGAAATTTGTGTGTAATGTCTGCACTGAAAAAGATAATTGCTGCGTCCAAGTAAACATTTGCCAAGAGATATTAGAGTGGTTCATTTTATTTGGATTAAGTAAATATTGCTTGAATGTAGCACTTTTTCTCTCTCAGTGTGCTACGTTCAAGTAATATTTACATAATCTAAGTAGAAAATATTTACTAAGTAGTATTTACTTAATCCAAGTAAAATAATCACTCGGATACTCCTCAACAAATATTTACTTGAACGTAATAGTTTTTTCCTTCAGTGATAAAATCGTCATTACCGTAGTTAGCACAATTCATTAGCGATACATTGGTCCAATATTGGACCAATATTGGACCAATGTATCGCCAATGAACTGTGTGCTACTAGGATAATGACCAAGGACTGATCGACTGAAGATATTTGATTAAGGAACCAACGTCGAAGCACGAATACACGATATACGATCGTTTCCGTAATATCGCGATTCTACGAGCAATAAAATCTGGCTGCGTCGCATCACTTAAATTCGAAGTAAAACGTCATCGGTCTCTGTTGTGCTCTTTAGCGGTAACTGAACCAACAACGCTCGCTAGAATCTATCTTTAATAATGACGCATAATGTGATATTACGCGGCTCTCGATAAGTACTATCCTAAGTATATTCAATAAGCAATATCTACACACCTTGGCAAGGAGGCGGAAATTGCACGAAGGATTGCCCGTTAAATGTCGCGCACAGTTTCACCGAAGAGAAATCGGGAAAGAGCAGCGGGGACGTAAGCGTGTACATAAGGACGATGAGCATTGCGTTATCTTGATGGTGAAAAAAAAGAAAAAGGAGAAGGAAAGAAACGAAAGCGTCAGGATGTAATAAAAAGAAACAGTGCTCTCCGTTCGATCTGCCCCGTTCGACCCAAATCGTCTCACTCTCATTGTCGTCACGTGGTCGCGCGGCGATAATTTTCTCCTTCCTTTTCTTGTTCAATTGCGCCGGAAACGATAAGAAACCATTGAGCGAAGTATCTAAAGCAAACAATACGGATATCTGAGACTTGAATTAAAAATAATTAGATATTCCCCGAGCGTCTCGCGCGCGTATTTCACTCGGCGCGACTCGCAACGGGGGGGTCGTTCTTGAACGTAAAACTCGAGATTAAGAGGACGAGGACGCAACATGATATTACAATTTTTTATATCAGCTGCTTGATAATCACGAACAACCGCCAATTGAACGACATAATTGTACCGATACGAGTCGTCGTCCGTGACCTTGCGTGCTGATTCCCTCGCTCGGGGAACGAAGTTTCACAGAAAGAAAGAAGTCAGTCAATCGCCGAGACTCGTTATCGAGAGAGCGGCACGTACGTATCACGAACCCACGCGCGAAAGTTGCCGCGCGCGCGCGAGTTACTTCGCCGCTCTCGCGATCCGCCGTCGCTGGAAAAGTTTCTTGTGTTATACGCCCGTCATAATTTATATCGGAACGCGACTTGTATCTCCGATCAAAAATGAAGGAAACACGCGCGTTCGAAGGATGAAGTGTGGCGGAGTCTCGTTATCGCGAGGCGATTTTTGTCAGAGCGAAAGTTAGCCCGCGCCTCACACGTGTCTCCCGTATAAATTATATATTTTAATCGTGACCACACACACACACACACACACACACGTGCGCGGCAAAGTTGCGATAACGATAACGATGAAGTTCGAATCGCGGTACCTTCTCATTATACCGTCGTAGGTTAAAACAAACCCTTCGAAATGATACGATTCGCGTATATTTTATCGTTATGTATATTATTGTTACCTGTACAGCGTTAATTAGCCAAGACACGCCAAGTAGCATGTTAGATCGCCGCGCGCGAAAGCTTTAAGCGTGTGGAAATTCAATAGGATGACGACGGTGACGACGACGGCGACGACGATGGTGTTCGCAACGACGACGATCGAAGAAGCCATGATGTACGAATTTCATGAATAATGTTGGTTGAGAGAGTCTATATATATATAGCTATCGAAACCAGAGAGTCTATATATATATATAGCTATCGAAACCAGAGGAGAACAAAATTATAAATATATAAATACAAATACATATATTGATAGAGAAGGGGGGACAATTTTTGCTATAACACTTCGTCCATTTTTCTATATAGGCAGTTCGTTGCACCGTAAACAAGTCCTATGCCTTTGTAAATTATCGTCCTCGGTCATTTCTGAAGAGGTACCCCCTTGGTTTCGCGATGCCACGGCAATCCACGTCGAAGAAATCGAACGGACACCGAAAGAGAAAGGAAAGAAAAAGATAATTTAATTTCTCCCGTTTCGACCGTTCCCTCCCTCTTTCTCTCTCTCTCTTTTTCTTTTTCTCTCATCTCCCCCCTTTTCCCCTCCGTCATACAAAATCGCTCTAGTCTAGACTAACATTCGGTCCCTCGAAGTTCGATTTCTACGATAGCGCGACACTTTTCGCGCGACGATAAGGAGAATTCTTGCGAAGCTTCGTGAGATTCGGCTAAATGATCTCAGGAGGTGAGTCGAACGTGAGAGTTCGCGAGCGAGCGAGCAAGAGAGAGAGAGAGAGAGAGAGAGAGGAATTTCTGCGCCGATAACTTTAAGTTGGAACGATCATTGACGACTGATGGAGCGGATGACGCGTCGGGTGTTCCATTGTCAATTCTCGGGAATGGAGATCGGTGAATCTGTGTCGAGCATAGTCGGACCGGTTCTAAATGAGAGGATCGTGAAAGGACGATGGCGAAACGTCACGTCTTATTCGTGTAGATCGCGATTCACGCGTGGTGGAATGTTGATTCGCGCGCAGCGTTTAGTCTTCCTACCGACCCAAATCGTTTATCCGAAACATCGATTGCGTGAGAAATTTCGAGGGAGGGAGGGAGAGAGAGAGAGAGGAGAAGCGAAGGGCAACGGGGGTGAGGAAGCGAGCGGGCAGAAAATTCGTCCAAAATTACCCAGCAAAAATCATCGTCAACGATCGCTCGGGAAGGTATCCTTTGGGAGATCAAGTTGTAGCATCGAACAATGCCTGGCTAGAATACTCAATGAAAAGCTGCTTTCAGACTTATAATAAAAAGATTAAAACTTATCCTCGTTGTGTGTATGTATTATATGTCTCTCATTCGAAACACGTTTTTCCCGGAGACCAGGACCTTCCCTCCATTATTCACGTCCCTTTTTGTTCCTTTTGTTCGATACATTTATTTTCAACTGCATTTCGATAATTTTGCAAGTATAAAATTTATTGTACAAAGTAAGTAGTCTTAATATATATATGATACATTTAATTAGTCTTCTTCGCTTATTTAATAAAAAAATAAAAGGACAGAAATGTCAAACTTTGCGCGAATTTCGAGATGAGCAGACTCAACGTGTCGAACGACACCCATCCGGCTCCGTGCGATGGCGCATCCCGATGAGCCGTGGCACACAGAAAAACGTAAGCAATAAGGATCTAAGCAGAATGACCGACTTGTCGGTTAAAGACAATGTCTTATAACAGTCTTATAAAAGTTTGACGTTTTGAAATATATTTCAATAGATAAATATAACCTAATTTCTTCGTGGAAAAAGATTCATTTCATATGCTTTAAATGTATACATTTAAACATATATTATAATATTATTAAATTAAAGATTCAATTTTATAGTACGTTATATAGCATATTAAATGGATCCTTTTCTCCACAGTTAAATTATATTTATCTGTCAAGATATATTTCAACACGTGAAACTGTTATATATAAATATAATATATATAACATGATACATTTAACACTCATAAATGTATCATGTTATATCTATGAAATATTCATATAATATTACACAAGACAAGTATTGTGCGTTACGAAAGACAAAATCTTAAGGCATAAAACATTGTCATCTTAAACCGATAAATCAGCCACTAAGGGCCCAAGTCTCGATCTACAATAATGTTCTAAGCCTTAAATCTGAAGAAACTGACCAATCACAATCGATTATTCTCCTCGCATTCGGCTGTAATTGGTCAATTTCTTAAGGCTTAAGGCTCAAAACACCTATCGTAGAGCAGAACCGACATCGTTCAGAAAACAAATCGCCACATACCGGTGTCGATCTATTTCTAACGTTGCTTCTCCAGCACGTGGATGTAAAAGCCGGGATCCTCGATCTGATTAAGCGGCTTAAAGTCGCCGTAAATGGTGTGTTTCGCCCCGTGGCCGAACACCTCGGTCAGCATATCGCGGAAAACGGTTAATCTGTGAGGATAGTACGATAGCCGAAACTCGTTGACGGACTCGGGATTGCGCGGATTCTCGCTGTCCAAGGAAATCATGTAATCCAGAATAACGATCGCCGGCTTGCCGGATACGTACAGTACCGACGTCTTGATGTCCGTCATATGCTGACTCTGCAACACGGGCAATCCTTAACGCGAGCTTCTCGATGGGTTGGCAGTTTCGAGACTAATGGCTCTCGCTTGCACTTGGCGAGCGGTCGTCAACGTTTTTGTATTTGACGCGATAACGATAACGAGTAACAAACAGTACCGTACTAAAGAGAGCAGTATAACTTACATTGTAATATATACACTTCGGAGGAGTTTGACCGGTTCGGATGATGTAATCGTAATTCCTGTGATCGATGAGAAGCAAACCTCCCGGCTTCACGCAGCGTTCGAAGTTCGAGAAAGCTTGCCTGCAACGATAGAATATCTCATGTGCGGACTTGTAACTTTTGTGTTTCTAATACATATATCTAAGGCATCCGTTGATCTAATCGTCGGAGTCAGACTCTGGCAAGGCCGGAAATCGATCAGCCGCGATAAATGCTCACGTTCTCGGCGAAACGAAGCGCTTAATAAGCTACCAATCCAGTCAATACTGAGCATCAGTTGCATTACATCTGTGTTACAATTTCGCACTCGATAATGTGAATAATATAAATGTTATATAACACTTAGTGTTAGTATAATATACTAAATCTGAACAAAAAATCATGTAAAAGTCAAGATGACATCGAGATTCCAAAGTCATAATTTTCTGTCATGATCCAAAAATGACTTTTGGAAGTCATTTTATTGTCATTCTGACGTTATTTTGACGTTAATATGACTTTATGTTCTGCTTAGAGATATAACTGATGCTCGGTTACACGACTGGGACTTGACTGGCAAATGACTCGGGAATTCGATTGATCTTTCTATCTCGCCAAGATCTTAAAAATAAAGACCGCTTATACTTTGGATAATACAATCGCTAATCCCAAGTAAAACGAAAAGTCATGGTATCATTTTGACATTATCTTGACTTTTATGTAACTTTTTTAAAAATGGCTCATTACGTCTTGACTTTTATGTAACTTTTTAAAAAAATGGCTCATTAACGTCTAATCTCGCTAGATAAACGTTAATTGCTCATTGAGTCTTAATAACGAATATACCAGACGAGCTTGATGAGAACAACCAGCGTGGCTCGAGCGGTGGGCACACAAAAGTATTAGTTCTAATTCTAATCTTCGAAGCTGCGCTTTTCTCTACGCGAGAAGCGCTGCCCGAGAGTCATTGTTCCGGCGCGTATCACAGTTTAATCTAGTCGAATGTGCATTAAGAATACGAACGTAAATCAATATGAACGGATTTATCATACTTTTGTTCCCTCTGATCACCGAAAGAATCAGGCATATGGGCGAAACTGTTTCCCAAACATATCACCGCGTCGAAGCCTTCGCCGATGAGGTGACTGATGTCGCTGGACAAAGTTAGCCAATTCGCCTCTTCGATCACTGTCACAAATTACGAAAGACACTAATAAGTACGGTGATTACGGCTGCAACGTTGAATGTATTTCTTTAATCGATTATTCATTATTCGTTATTTATATTCGATTGGGAATATTCGACGATCCTTCTGAAAGATGCGTTCAGATCGTGTCGTAATTTCCAGCTCAAAATCGAAAGATCGGCGGCCGGAGGGGAGGAGGGGAGGATATGTAAGCCAGCGACTGACCTTCGCCGATAAGGCGAAGACCCTTCCTGTTAATGTTGTATTTCTCCTCTCGCGCTTGATAATGATATGCGTACCATCAGTGGCTGTTTTCGTTGCGGCGCGATATACACGATGAGAACCGTGCGGGCCTTATCTGTACGGTCGCATTGTACCGTATTATATATGCGATCATATGTGCGAAATCGGCATACACGCAGCGATTAATCTGCACGACGGGATCGCGAGTGAACGCTCTGGCGACATTGAACTTACGATCTTGCCGACGTTATCGCAAACATCGAACTTTCGTAAAACATCAGTCGCTGTATCAGCGTGACGTCGTTGATTCCGATCGGGACAAACAGATACACGTGACAAACACAGTTAACGTTCGATCGTTAAAAATTTGCCGGAGGTTGCGACAGACGATCTGTTTTTCTTTCGCTCCTCGCGTCACTTCTTTCGAAAGAAGAAACCCTCCCGTTTCGCCTTTTCTTCCTACTTTTTTATTTTCCTTTCCTTTCCTTCCTTTTAACTCATTCCCTTCCGATTCTCTAATGGGAAATCCGATTCTCTCGTGACGACCAACGAACGTCAAACTTTCTCACCCCATTTGTCAAAGGCGGGCTCCTTCCTGCGATCCCATCTGGATTTCAGCGCGTGTTTTAGCATCTTGTCGGAGGCGTCGACGCTAACGACCTCGAAGCCTTCTTCCAGCAGCATCACGGAGTCAATGCCGGTGCCGCAGGCGACGTCCAGTATTCGATGGCATTTCTTCTGCCGCAGCAAACCCACAAGGAAGTCCCGATAATTCTGCGTACGCAGCTTCTTGTCGCCGATGAAGACCTCCCAGACCTTCGCCGCCTTGCCGTCCGCATATTGATCCTTCACACCTTCGGCTGGCGTGCCGAGGGAACGAGTGCGAAACACGGAGTCTACCATTGCGAGGGGAGCAGATAAAGTCGCAGAGTGAGAAGGAAACTGCGGAATCAAATGCGTAGTGATTGATTAAGTCGAAATAAAAAGAAAAACGGAAAAGGAAATCGACAAGATTTGTTTATTGCGGAGAACCAGAGAGAGAGAGAGAGAGCTGATATTCTTTTTCCAACAATTCGAAGGGATTAATTTAAACTCAAATAACACAGCGAATTCTTAAAGTATCCCTAAAGTTTTCTCCTTTCTCTCGAATTTTTTGTAAGAATCTATAGAAATATATTATAAAAATGATTCAGGAAATTACATGCATGATTGGAATTCTTAATAAATTTTTGGAATATTCGTATAGAAAGATAAGTAAAGAATTATATTATACGCGGTCATAGGTTTCACAGGTTATAAAGTAACGATTTGTAGAAATATACGAACCCAATTCAAAAAATCATATTCTTACAATTCAATGAAACGTCAATGGTGCCAATTTTCTTTTCTTTATGTCGAGATATCACTTATTTGTGAAGAAAGTTCCAATTATGATATACTGCACACACAAAACATTGAAAATAAAACACGAGCATCTGTTGAACGCAGCCACAGAAAGCAATTGTAACAAACAAAACACTCGCGTGACTCCGCGAATTCCCAAAATATTCGAAGTACCGGATCACGAAATATTCGTGATAACTAATCGTGAACTTTTGAGGAATCCTTCAGAACGAATTCGATCGTGATTCATTCTTCAGGAATCCTCCGGATATTCATTTTTACAATATGGTAGGTATTCTGCAAAATTAATTCTCCAAAAACCTCTATTCACCGTTGCGAGCTACCTGGGAATTCAATTAAATCGTATGAATTAAGCGCGCGAAAGGAGAACCGGTTAAAGCGCGAATGCAAATCGGAGGCTACGTTTCCTGTCGAAAATCCGGATAAAAAAAACGTAGATTCGCGCCGGACCCTTCGTCCCTTCGCCGTTCACGCGCACGTGAGATATCGTACCTTCGATCCGTAGGGCGGTTCGAGCGACGATAACGAGCGCAGGCGACTATCCGCGTTCGACACTATAGGAAGGTGACCACTGCACTAAAAGCGAATGGAGACTGCTTCGCTACTATTGCAATCGTCGCATTTATATACACTGTGACAAATAACTAACGTCTTCGTCATTGCGGCTATATGTTTGCGCGCATATGTGTGCGTGCACATGCTCCGCGGATCCGAGCGCACATGCGCGCACATACATACGCGTGCGCTCACTGATATCGCCGCCTGTTGAATTTGCTCTCTCGATGTGATGTAACAGTTTTCGTACGAAACTCGATTCGGTTTGTAAATTCGCTTGATAAAAGCGCGTGATCCACGTTGACACATTGCGACTATTGTGAAAGATCTCCGAGACGGTCTCCTCGATCGAGCCGGCGCGAATGACGTGCGATCACCGCTCGGCGATCGTTCGGCCGCTTAACAGGTGCTCCGGCCCCTCGTCCGTTTGCTGGATCATTGGATCACTCCGCTGTATCTCGGAAAGGGAGAGATTCCCTCCGGAAAATAGAAATCTATTTTTCTTCCTCCCTTTCTTCAGTTTTTTCTTTATCATTATTCTTTATCGTTATTTTTACCCTTTTTCTTTTTATATCGTTGCCCATATGTTACATATGTAATGTACACTGAGAGATATTATAGTTACTTTCGTTTTCAACTGTATCTTTTACGTGGTTTCTACTACAAAAATAACAGTAGCAATATGCGTGTGAGATTATTATCATTGATATTATAGTAATTTATTAGGAAAATCTTTAGAAAAATACTTTTCTGCTGACTATAATTCTTTTATTGTGATGATTGTAATTAGTTAATATTTTTCTTTCAGTTTTATTCGCCGAAGAACAATACCGATTTCGTTTTATATATATAATTTTAGACAGCACAAAACTGAGACCATTCTCGATATACATAAAAACGTTTTATAAACGTTCCTCAGGACATTCTGTAGGTTTATTCTTTAACTTTAGCGTAGGTAATAAATGCGTTAGAAAAACCGCGTAACAACAACGTTACGATAACAATATAATCACTAAAGATTACAGAAAAGATTAGACGCGTTCAGAATGGTTCTGGAACGTCTTGTATTATCTAGGATAACTGTAATTTGTAACAAAATGGTTTATTTAATAAAATGGTTTATATTTGAAGCAGTGTAAAGCTTTTATCTTCAGGAGACAAGCGAAGAGATGCCCTTTATTTGTAAAATTCTTACGCGCGTTTTGACTTTATTGCACCATACTTTCACGACTGGTAACTAATTACTCACCAATGATAATTGAAGTGAATTGTATCTGTATGACGCAATGTTCGATGACTTGTAATTTAAGTTAATGATTCGTAGAACAATTAGCAAAGCAAATTTTCATAGATAAACACGCGATCACGGGCTTCCTCGTGGACATTTGCACAATTTACAATCGGACTCGAATAATTTTCAGGCTGATGTTTATTAAAAACTCGCTGGGATATGCCCTTATACACACGCCGGAAATACGGGGTAGGGATTCTTAGCCGTAAATGAGACAATATCGTAGAGCGAATGCAACGATAAATATTGTAATTATTACAGCAAAACGAAAAATACAGATTTCAAATAATTAACACTTAATTTAGAATCGCTATAAGAATTCCTTGTAAATTCATCTATTTGCGGATGCCGGTTTAAGATATCGATGCGAGTTCCTTCGTAACGAACGCTTTATAAGAAACTATTAAAGCATGCCCCCTTAAATCTCTCGGAAGGTCCGTAATATTACATATCGAGAATAATGGATTCTCTATTGAAAAGCCAATGTAATACTATACAAATACTATCGTTTTCATATCTTTACAGTTATATAAACATACAACAATGCCGTATGAATCAATTATTCTCAGCTCGGTAATTTAAGTACTATGTATATTTTTTTTATAAACATAAAAAAGAATGTGCCGTCTTAATCATTAGTCCTCTCGTATCAAGTCAAGTTACAGATAGCTCAGCACAACGGAAATGAATAATTGCGATGCACGTTTGCAAGCGGGGAAAGTGGAGAAACCGAGTCTGTATAAAGGCTGTACGTGTGTGTGTGTGTGTATATATATATATTTATATATGTATATATATAACGTTCTCCGCGCTTTTTGTCTATACAGTATTCTTAATTTTAGAGATTACATACGATACACACTCAACTATATAAATTGGCAGTTATTAGTAGTTAAAGATTCTGCGTTATTCAACTTGGTAAATTTTCCAGAACTGCTTCTGTCAAGAAGGGCACGTATGACGCAGCACGTAAACATTTAGTATTAAATGCAACAAAGTGTGCGAGTGTAGCGAAACGCATCGTTCTCCTCATAATTCACAATGAGGAACTAAGATTCGTAACAAGGGAACGTCCTCCGTGTGCGAAACGCGATGAGAATCTTCTCGTGTGTAACAAGTTGTGAAGAATGCTCTTATCTAACACGCAAGAAAATGAATTTCAAGTTGTTCACCATCGTTACAGCGAATTCGGCTGGATACGTGTTGATCCGCACTAGAGACCGCGGTGTACAGACTGATGTAAAAGCGGATACATAATGTGCATAAATAATGGAACAATAGAGGAGTTAGTGCGACACTTGGCGCAACAATTACAAACGCTACTCGGCAGAATGAGCGTTCGGCATTTTGTCAATCTAAAAATTGTTCATGTACTATATATATATTATATGCACTTGCATTCACTATTCGTGTTAATCGAATAACTTTCTCTTATACGATAGTCCTTAAAATCGCGCCGTAACAGCACTTCGGCGCATCCAATCGAATTCGCGTGTGCGACTCACTTATATGTATATCACTCTATATATTCTCTCTCGTTGTAACATAAACAAGAATGCTACTGCATTACCCCTTACATCGAAATACACTCCCTCAGAACTGCGCTATCAAGTTTATGAACTTTATTTAGAAACATACACAGATTCAGATGTAATAATTATGCTTATGTGAAAAGTATTGACTATATGGTTCATGCGGAAAGTGGTTAGCCTTTTCCCTTACAAATCAAGGTTTTTCCATAAGCAAATTATTCAATTACGTCTAATATTCTGAGTTGTGCACACAACAATTTGTCTCCTTAAGTGCGCGATAGATCAGTTAAAACACTAACAAGGTTTTAATTTATTTTCTGAAACTATGCAATGATCAGGTGAATGTTGAACTATATCACTTTGTCAGTTGCAGCAATTTTTCTCTGCGCTCTGCCCGGTCCACTTCACAAAAGTTCGTACCCTCATATATTCTTTAAATCATCTGGCAGCTCGTTCTTGGGATGTTTATTCTCAAAGTGTTGCTTGTAGGTCTTGGGGTCTGGCATTTGGGCCTGCGAATCCAAAAATGTTACACATTATAATATATATATTAGGGGGACCGGAAAGTAATGTCGTTTCTGCGCATGTCGATATTTGATTTGATTGATTTTTACCGCTCCGGCATTGAAAATTTGTATACTAGATGGCAAAAAGTTGTTGATAACGAAGGTGAATATATTGTTGATTAGAAATAAAAACTTGTTAAAAATGTAGTCGTGTGAATTTAACTTAAGAAAGCATTACTTTCCGGTCCCCCTAATATATACACCGTGAGTGAATGAATTTGGATAACAGAAAGGAATGCAAATCAAAAGATAACGGAGATATTACCTTGCACACAGTACACACGTGTACAAGCGCTTTCTGTGCTGCCTTTTTCTGATCATTGGCACTGTGTCCTTGTTGTTTCTTTACTTTTGCAGCTTTCTCCGCAGCTTTGGCTTGAGATTGTATTTTTTGCTGTCCACGAGCCATTCTGGAAATAAAAGAAGCCATACATAAGCAAATATGTGACGCATCTTGAGTGATAATAATAATAAAGATATACTAGAACTTGCTTTTTTTGGAATCTACGGTAGAATCTAGAACCTATGAATTGTATCATCAGTGTCGCACGGAACACCCTGAATTTAAAAATAACAATATTCAGGAAGCGACTGTTGCACAACTTCTGAGTAACGATTCTTCGTGACCAGAGGGAGGGTGCCTCTAAACTTGTCAAATAACACCTGTTTTCCAAGAGTTGATCGACCAACTGTTGTGTTCACTGAACACACGCTGGCCACCATCGGCCATTTACGCTGGCCAACTGCGTCTTATCTACTTTGACAAACTTGATCACACTTAATTCAACAATTACGCCAACATTACACTGTCAACTCAATTCAACTAGCCCCTTCTATCTCCCGCACCTGTCTCGAAATAACATACGGGACATATTGCGGTCCGCCTAACGACGCGGCACCGAAAATATCCGCCGGTCGTACTCGCTGAACCGTTCACGTGCAACGGCGATAATCGCCTTCGCTGTGCCTGGAGAGCATTGTAGGACGTAGTAAGCATCAGGTCGGCTGGAAGATTGGGAACAGAGAAAGATAGAGAGAGAAATGCGGAGAAAGCTCTCTAAACCAAATACGCATGCCGCGGGCGACCGAGAGAGCAGCTGAGTTTGCTCAACTTTGCTCTGCTCTCTTTCTCTCTCTCTCTCTCGCTCGCAATTCTCCTCACTCTTCTCCCGAGTGCGCTTATTTCGCTCCGAGCGCGGAAAGTACAACGTGGTGCGACGAGCTGATCTCTTACCTATTCGCAGGACGATAGACGCGTGCGACGGTCTCTCTCGGCTTCTCCCGTTTCTACGACTCGATCTCACTCTCCGAGACGACGACGATCGGGGACGACGATCGACGGTGGTACGGTGCACCTCGCGGACGAGGTCTTCCGGGATGAAGCAAAAGCTGCGTGGAGAACGAAAGCGGAGCGAAAGTCGCGACCCGGAGCACTCTCTGTGCGCATACGGGTGCACGTTACTCGCGTGAAGGTACCACGGAGCCCGCTATGTACAGGCCCATTCGACTGCACTTTCTGTGCGTTGAGCGTAATGAGGTGCAGGCGAGTCGCCGAGTGGCCGAAAAGAAAGCGACGAGGAAGTGTAGAAAGTGCAGAAAGTGCAGCCGAGATGAACGGATTTGATCGGTCTCTCTTCCGAATTCAAAATAAAATAAATAAATATATATATATACGTTATTATTATCAGAGAGAAGATGAGAGGGAAAAGAAGAGAGAATGTAAGGCACGAAAGAGGCGATCGAGAAAATTGTACATATACTATCGGTCATCACTTTGAATAAATGACTAAATATCTCGTTAATGTTATAAAAGAAATGGCGAACATATACATTTTTATTAGAAAAGAGAGTCCATAATGCTTTTCATCAATTGTCGAAGCATCTTTTTCATTTCAAATGGAGCGGTACTTCGTTCGGTACATATTTCAACGTTAAATACTCGCGGAGCCACGCGAGACGCAAATCTCTCGCTTTCGAATATATCGCTAAGGATAAGGCGCGCTCGCATTTAGCGTGGCGGAGCGATCGGGGGCGCAGGCGCTGAACGCGCGACTTTCGAAGGCAGGACGGTGTTCTATAGCGCACGTGTTCCCAGTGACTCATCGCGATCAGGGAAAATGGCTGACGGCCTGTCGGGACGTGTTTTGACAATTTTGCTCGATTGATCCCGATGTTCGACGAAGAGCTGTCTAACGTTAGCGGGCGCGATTGCGGTGTCGTCGGTGGCGCGTCGTCCCGGCCGTGATGTGATTCAGCGCGTCGCGCCTTCTATGTCGTGTGTCTGAGTCACCATCGGTTGCGGTCAAACTCGCCCGAACGTGTTTCGACCTGCCAGCAACGGGAGGAAACACTCACTCTCTCCCTCTTCCTCACTCTCTCGAGGGGCTGGTATCTCGTTTTCTCCTTTATTCTAACATCGCTCCCCGCGAGATTCACAAGGCAAGTCGCGTTGGCTGATACTAATTAAAGCGGAGGAACGTTGCGCGAGAGCGTCGCGTGTGCCCTCTCGTCGGTCTGCGAGACGAGAGCGTTTTTTTTTTTCTTTTCGTCGAACCGTCGCCTCCGTCTAGGGGGCCGTGACATAATATTTGTATTTCGATCCGTGATAACGCGTTCGTGAGAATGTGTCGGGGCACACCTTCCGTTCTCGCTTTCCGGAGTGCTCCGATGCCGAGCTACGGAGGTCGTTGAAACGACAATATGGAGATCTGTCGGACGATACGTTGCGTGCGTGTGAATACTCGTAAGCGGATATTTCTGGATATACCTTACACAACGGCCTTTCTGTTATTATAGGTCACAATGCGACGGGCACGTTGTGTTATCTGACGTAGTGGCATCCCCTCAGGCGGACGTGGTGGAATCTGCGAAAGAAAGCTGCTGAACAGTTGAGTCATGCTGTAGAGATCCTCTCGTGTCGTGTGTCCTCCGTAATTAATGTGATCATCATGGTGTGAACGGCGGGGTGTCATTAAGGCGATAAAATGCCTACCATTCCAGTTAATAATGGGACAGCACTTTGCTAGTCTCAGGGAGTTCTTTAGAATGGATGGTGAAAGACAGCCTACGGAGGTATGCGCCAGTGCATTTAGCCAGCCGTTGCCGTTGGAGATGGTGAATCGAGATGGCAGTGACGGCTCGCCCGAGAACGAGACTAACGGCAACGTGCCTGTCATGAACTCTAACATACTGCCGAACCGAGAATGCAAGCTGGAGGGGAATCTGGACAACGATCGTTTGAACTTAGACTTAGACAACCATAATTCTAGATTCGAATCTTTGTATAGTCAGCCTGTCGAGGCGCAGGACACCAAGCAAGTTGTTTGTAACAATGGCAATGTCGCCAGCGAGACGCCGTACAGGCAGCAAGAGGCCTGCTGCAGCAGCTCAGGCGGTAGCAACAGCAGTAGCAGTTCCGAGGACAGTCCTGTGAATCCACCTTTAAGAAGATCCTCCAAAACTTTGTCGTTCGGAAAGAGAAAAAGTATGTATCATGCTTGGCCTGTTATCTGTACAGTCAGCATCATACGTGCTGTATCATTGTCTAGATTGAAACTTTGTACTGTTACACAATTACTGGTCTTTCACATGTGTATTGCGTCGTAGCATATGCCTGTTGGTGGCTCCAAGGCTTACCATCATATGTCAATTTTTCACATATGTACACAAGGGAAACTTGGATTGTATAATAGGCTGTCGGTTATCCCCATTTTTCTTATTTTCATGATACTTCGCTGTGTAATGAACACGTCCTCTATCACTTAAGTGGCAGAAAATCAAAATATCAAGTGAGATACCAGTAAAAGAAGAAAGAGAGATATGGAATGTCATATGTCGCTTTTTTAATTTTTATCTATTTTTTTATCTAGCAGAGTACAAAGTTACTTTTAACAGATAAAGAATATGTGTTCGAAAATTAACCCACAATCGAATGAAAATAAAAATACTTTTAGAAAACATATGTCTAACCGACTAAAATGACTAAACTGACTGTACTAGTTCGGGAAATTAACGTACTGAAGCGTGAGAATCTCGTACGCTTCATATGCTTCAATTCATTCGTGTGTGTAAATTTCTTGAACGAGTCCAATTAGGCTAAGAGAAGTAGACCAATAATTAAAGGGTTGAAACATTATTATAATTCGTTATTTCTGCGATCTTCAACTTTATGGGGGTTACGTGTAAGGCTGAAAGTCGTGTAACTTTGTATCTAGGAAATGATACACCATACGTGATGCTGACTGTATTAACGTTACTTGGTGTCTTGTACAATGATATATATTCTCATCAGACAAGCCGCGCAATAAGGATCAAAGCCCGGTCTGCAATCATGTTTTAACGTCGAAGAAGAAGCGCAGCAACTGGGTGCTGAAATTCAACTGCGCCAAGAGCAAAAGCTCCAAAAACACGGACATCATTCCCGGCCAGGGGAACAGCAATTCGGACTGCGTATGCACCGGTTACAGGAGAACCGAGGAGCACCCTATGGGTGCGGGCATTGTATTTAATAGTCGTTCCGCGCCGCAGAGCCCCGTTCTCGGGCCCCTGCCACCCAGCCCCGTGATCGATTTATCGCGATTCAACCCCGAGGAGTTCCCTATGGAAGTACGTCTGTTACATCTGCCGTTCGTTCTCTGGTAACGCCGCGCGTTACCGATTCGATATCATCGTATCAGTTCCCTTCGTTTTTCTTGAAGGATTGCGACGAACGGGCGCGGATGCAGCGCGCTCGGGAGATGGAGGAAGGCGTCGAGCCGCCGCCCGGTTACAGGCCTAATTATCCTCCGGGAATCCAAGTTCATCCTAACGGGATTACGGTAGACAGTTTGGCGGCATTGTTCCAAGCACATGCCGGTATTCAAGCTGCCGCTCTCACAGCCTTATCCCAGATCGATTTTACTTTAATTCCGAATATCGAGAGGCCCGCCCACACGCAGGTAAGTGATCGACTCCGCGCCATAAGGGCTCAGACATAATGAATAAGGGCTTTCGCACACGAATAATCATAAACATGGGACGTAAATTCAGACTGACGAACCAGTCAGGAAATTGCTTTAGATTCCACGTATTCTAAAAGAAGATAAAACTCTCCCGCTTTCTTTCTGACAGTAAATTTGGCCGTAAGTAAAAGCAGGATTCGACTGGTTGGAATCTTGGTCACGCACATCTTAAGAAATTTAATTCCTCGTTCCTTGTTCCTTCTATTGTGTCTGAATTCTGACATGTCTCGCCATGCGCTTGTTGCGCGTCCCCAATCTTCGTGCGTTCACATTGCGGTCATTTCTCACGCAGGTCGATTACGTGCATTGTCTCGTGCCGGACCTGAGATCGATCACGGCCTGCTCTTTTTACTGGGGTAAGATGGACCGTTACGAAGCGGAGCGCCTGTTAGAGGGTAAGCAGGAAGGCACCTTCCTGCTACGCGACTCTGCGCAGGAGGAGTTTCTGTTTTCCGTAAGCTTCCGAAAATACGGGCGCTCGTTGCACGCGCGGATCGAGCAATGGAATCACAAGTTCAGCTTTGATTCGCACGACCCAGGAGTCTACGCTTCCGAAACAGTATGTATCGTACGTGTGGGACGTTGTGACAATGAGACATCCTTCACGCCAGGTATCATATATGTCTTAAGGGGATGCCATGTTGAAAAACTACCGATGCAATACTAAGTTCTTTCTGTAAAATTTACGGTTTCATCGGTTGCACAGAATTATAAATGCTTTTATACAGTGAAAGTACGCGCTAAAATGAATTGGGGCGTTTCTCAAAACGTGGCGAAAATGATTAAAAATTTCAAGATGACAATTCTAACTGTGAGTTAAACGGCTTATATCTTGTTTTATAAAATTATAACGCCGTAAAAATATTAATCATTTCATCTATTCAATCGTTTTATCCGATCTGAAAGATTCGAAAAATTAATAACGTGCGAATTAGAGAGCGTGAAAAATATGCTGAAATATCCGATGACGTAAGTGAAGTAATTGCACTATTAAAGCTTGTATATGACGCCTGGTATGCCGCGTAATTCTCCTCTTCCTCCGCCCTTAAGGCCGAATCGCACTAGCAACTATCAATTGAATCGCGATTGGCGATTACTTTTCAACCAATCAGAGCAAAGCAGCCACCGATTGAAATTAGTGACTGCCGTTTAGACGACGTTCTATTTTATAGTCGCCAATTCAATTTGCAAAATATGATCTGGCCTTTACAGAACGCCTAAAGCCGGTATCAGACGACGCATCGGATATTGAGATTGGCCATTCGAAGCAAAATTCACTCAATTCAAGTTTAGCGAACTTTGCTCCGATTGGCCAGATTTCAATTCAATCTCAATCCTAATCTGTAATCTGACACGGGCTTGAGGAATCGCAAGAGTCGTGATAAATCGTGATCGAATCTCTTATAAATCGTAAGAGTAGTATTCACGATTGGCGATGTGCATCTTTCCAGGTATGCGGTTTGATCGAGCATTACAAGGACCCCTCCTGCTGTATGTTCTTCGAGCCTATGCTCACTATCCCGCTGCACCGGAACTTCGCGTTTCCGCTGCAGCACCTCTGCCGGGCGGTGATAACCACGCGGACGACGTACGATGGCATCAACAAACTGCAATTGCCAAAGACGCTTAGGAGCTATCTCAAGGAGTACCATTATAAACAGCGAGTGCGTGTCAGGCGGCTGGACACGGAGAACGATCTACAGACGGACAGCAGATCCATATCATATTTACCCCTAATATGAGTCTTCGTATTTCGGTAGAATTTACGATACGTTGCATAATTGATTTCCCTTTAATCTCCGCGCAGCAGTCTCGTATGGTCGCGTACACCGCGCGAAGGCATACGCCGGCGACGGGTGTATCGTGCACAGCATACTGTAATTAATATACCGGGAAACACCATGACTCCGATACACAGTTACACAGACACCAGCGTCATCGCAATATTAGCAATAAAAACTAAAAGAATGAAGCGCTTTACTTTTGTTTTATGCGATAACAGAGAGACCCGGCGCCGGAGAAACGGCGTAGTTATGTAATTAAATAATAAAAATAAGAGCGAAAGAAAGAAGGAAAAGTGGGACTTGTGCGAATAGACGCCTACGTTTTCACTCGGAGAAGGGAAGTCTAGGAAAATCCCATGTGTAAATACATCAGAAACGGACTCACGACGCATACCACACGACGCGCGCACACGACATAACAGACGACACACGTTGTAACACACGAAAGACCGTTTTACTGTATTTCGTGAATTACTTGATTATCATCGCTACTGTTCTTATTATCGCTCTATTACTCTATTATTCTCTTTTATTTTATTTCTTAGGTAACCATGTTATCTCCGTGTAACCGCGTGTTATTTCAGTACGTACATATATATATATAATTTTATTTAATGTTAATTATAAAGTTACGGGATCAGTTTGTATATTGATAGTTTTTATAGGACGATACCAAAACCTACGCTTGCGCGACTGCAATTTAGCGTTTAATTATTAAAATCTACGGTATCACCGTCGAATTTTTAACCTTTATACGTAACCGGGTGGGTTACAGTCATTGCAAGATCTGGTTCATATTACTCCTATTGTGCCTATTTATAATGTTAAATATTATTAGATAAAAGCTGTCTGTGTTGATGTTCGTCATTACCAGATGCAAAAGTGTATAATTTGTGTAAATCATTTAAAAAATCTCGAAGAAAGGAAAAACGTGAGAAGATATCAAATGCAATGAACTGAATTTGGATTAACGATACAAATCAATCATTGAATTGATAAATTTGCAAAGTATATAATATTATAGTATGAAATTGTTAAAAAAAAAATATTGGTTAATGGTTACTCACATAATGAACTTCGTATTAAAAAATAAAAATTGAATATTTATTATGTGTGTGTGTATGTATGTATATATATATATATATATATATATATATATATNACAGAAAATACTTGTTTGAAAAAAGTTATCAGTTACATGATTTACATATATATGATTTTTTTGAAGATAATATTTTATATATCTCATTAAAGTATACGATTCTATAATTTACATATATTAATCTGCCAAAGATGGTAATAAAAGATGTCATTATTAGAAAAATATAGACCTATAATTGTATAACTTATATTTTTGTACTAATTAATATATCGTTTAAACAGAATAATAAGAAAGTACCAACACTTATCAAACTTATGATAGCTTGATTGAAATAAAGTCAAAATTAATAAAATTTGCAATTTCAATTACTTTTTAACCATAAATTTTATCGCATTTTTACAATGTCAGGTTCAGACTTCATATTAATTATTTCAAGTCGTCAATATTACATGGGAAGTTTCACCTTGACAAATTAATGGAATGTCACAATAGTATATTTACAAGCAGTAATTATAGGTGACACATAATGATAGGTAGTCAACGTTGCAGTATATACTGCGTAAAGGGCAGCATTACTGTGTAGTTAAATACGAAGAAGAGGAAGAACAGCACCAGAAAGAAAATGTCTGTTTTGTTCTTTTAGGAAAAATATGTGATAAAGTTTTTCTCATGAAATACACACATTATAAATATCACGTAACACTTCTTTTTTACACATTTACGATAGATAATGTTTACTATCGTAATAAATTGGTTTCTCGTCCGTATTCTTTAAACTATTTTGATTTTGATATTACGATAAATGCCACGTAATGCTTACCCGTACAGGTTATGATATAAGGATACTGATAAAATTTCTCTCCCATTTTTCCACCATGTATAATTCGGTGACGAGCATATATCGGAAGTACCAATACTTCAGAAAAGATTGTAAGCTTTGCACAGGATTAACCATTATAGTTGAATTATTATTACTTCTCCACTCTTGTAAATTGACTTCGGTATAAACCGTTAAGTCGAATGACTCATTCGCGTCTGCGCTATTCTTAAAGTGTAAATAAGCGATATTCATTCAACCAATGAATATATTCATTCAACGAATGAATATATAATTGTTTTTTCTACTAAAGAATCTAACGAAAACTTATATTTTGCTCTAATAAATAAAGATAAAAAGTCTATTCAAACTGTCATTTAAGTTGCAACTATGGACATGGAATAAAATATGTTTTGTAAAAAACTCCACTAACTATGACAAATAGACAAGATTCGGTAGTCTGTAATTCCTGCAAAAATAATGATAATAAGGTGGTTTAAGAATCATTTTAAAGCTGAAAGTTTCTAGTTTTCAGATATAACTTCGGGAATACAGTATATATATTTTTTCTGATGCTACATGAATTAATATCACGATCCGTTAGATGTCAACATTTTTTATAAAATTTGTCGAATTGCACCATATAAACAAGAAATTATATACAAGTGAAATTTATATTATTTGGAAGCATGGATTTCCTATTTTAATTTGCATATAAACAAATTGCTGTATGATTTTTTTTTCACCGAGTTATATAATGTTAAAGCAAAAAGTATCTTTCCAGATTTGATCAATTATAGAAAGTAAATGAAACAAAGTATGACATTCTATAAAAAATGAATAGGAAGCTTAAAATTCTCCTTTTAAGATATACTTGACAAATTTTACATCAAATTAAATTTTCGATGTAAAATCTTAATCAAAAGATGAGGTAGAAAATTGTACGGTTGTCATTCTTTATTTAAATAAATATATCTTAACAGAAAAAAACGGAAAAATTATGACATTAATATTAATAAAAACTAAAGACTTCAAGTCGTAGAATATTTTTCGAATTATCTCGATAGCATCATTTTTATCGAAGTTACAACCCGTTGAATTTAGACCATCTTTCAAGATAGAGTTGCCGAATGTCTGATCCGCCGTTAAGTAGTACTACTTCAAAAAGTTTACTCGTCCATCATTGTGTTATACCACCTCAATTCCTCAGTAAGGAAAGTGGCGGCTTGTAGCGGAGACTTTGGAACTAATTTGCAAAATTAATGGGTCTAAGAACCGGAAAACCTTAGACTTAGACCTGTTATTTTTGGCTGTAAATAAAGGGTCTAAATGAAGGATGTCGAAATTAATAGACCCGTTATTTTAGCAAATTAGTTCCCAAGTTCCCGCTACGAGACGCCACCTCCCCTTCACGAGATTGATGTCAGTGGTAGGAGTCAATAATATATCAGGCATACTTTACTATTATTCCAGAAATAGGCAACATAAAAAATCGTATTGCAACTTGTTTATACGTAAATTAGAGAGAAAAGTTCAAGCTTTTAAACTATACATATCTCTATTTGTACACAATCTCTCGTTTTTATGGTGCAACTTGACAAACTCCATATGCAATTTTGACATTTGACGAATCTTGATATCAATTCGTATAGCACCATAAAAAATATTCAATACCAAAATATTTAAAATTACACATGAAAATTAAATATCTTTAGCTTTAAAATGCTTCTTAAACCACCTTGTTATCATCATTTTCGCAAAAGTTATGGGCCACGAAAACTTTCTTATTTTTCGCAGACGAGAAAAATGATTCTATAACTTGATGTAGAGCGCATTGATATTTCTTATATTTTCCATATATACATATATCAGACTAAATTTTTATTAGTACTTAACATTACAAAAGATTTTCGCTTATATATCTGTCGAATTCGTTCAGCGCCTCCCGCATCTCGGAATATTTCGCCAAGTTGCACGCTTCGCGCAGCGGCAGCCATTCGAATGCTTGGTGCTCGTTCGACAGCTTCACGGACTTGCCCGGATCGATCAGCTCCGCCAGCCAGTAGATCACGATCTTCGGCACTCCGTTCACCTTGTACGCCATCTCCTGCTTCGCGTTCTCGAAGATTTTCAGGTCGCCCGGGACGAAGCCGGCCTCTTCCCGAGTCTCGCGCACGGCCGTCTCCATGTCGGACTCGCCGGGATCGACATGACCTGGACATCGATCGCGTGTGCGTACGTGTGTATATGTGATTATGCAGAGAACGCCACGGGAACGAACGCGAAAACCAGCAAATCAAGCTTCTTCCTCGGCGCAATACGCAAAAAAGCGCGAAAATCATGCGTGTGCATTCATTAATTTAAACGAGCGCGTCCTCCAGATTGTACCGTCGATTTCGTTGTTCGACAGTTTACGTTTCGTGCGAGATGATAAGAATGATAAGAACAGATGAGTCACGAGGGGTTTTTCTCGAAAACACGAGCGCGTTGGCAATGCTCGATCTTAACAGACCTTTAGGAGGCGTCCAGTGATGTTCTCCGTACGACGTTTGCATCAACAAATATTGGACAGTGTCTTGAAATCGGCGGAAAATTACGAGACCGCAAGCGCGTTGTTGCAGCGCCATGACTCGACAATATGACTATTGACAACCGGAATATTGCTTGAGAGGCTAATACGATTGCAGAGCACGTGGACAGACATGACCGCCGCGAGAGAAGAGGGAGCCAACGACTGCGATATCGCGCCACTAGCCGGAGTAATATCGATTTGATCAATCGAACTTCCCGTTTTTAAAATTTCGAAGGCGAATTTTTTTCCACTTGGGAACTTTCTTTCTTTTTAAATTGTCAATCACCGATATGAAGTTGGTTATGTAACAATATGCGCGTTAACGTGTGCGAATCGTTAAGTGACGAAATTGTCGCTGGTGTGAGCGTATACGTTTAGCACAAAGAGAGAAATGTAGCAATAAATAAGAATCTGAGACACATACCTATGTACTCGTCCATTCGAACGTTCCTCCCGAAGCTCTCATCTCGACGCAATGATCTTCGAGTTCAAGGGGAATGTAATTTTATTTCGCAACATTGATATATCGTATATCAGGAATGTTTTTGTAGGATCCAACGCAACATTCGTCCTGCCTCCCTCAAATTATTCAGCCGTTTTTGTACTTTTGTAAATTTATAGCTTTTATGTTGCTGAACGTGGAAGTGAAACTTACATATTAGAGAGACTACGACTAGACATCTGTCATAACAAATTTTTGCCTGCCCTTTTTATAATTCTAAGAAGCATATGTGTGTGTGATCCAGACGCGACGCCGATAGTACGTTCTTTTCAAGTGAAATTTCTCTCATATTTATACATCGTGTTATATATATATATATATATATATATATATATATATATGTGTGTGTGTATAACTATTATATATACACGCTAATTAACAATATTGTAGAAAAGAGGAATACATCCGTTCGTCTTCTCCGTGACGATTGTAGGAATATCGTGTATATATATATGTGCAATGGTATCCTGGGATTTCTCGATAGCGCATTATATGCGATTATTTTCGGCCAGCTGAAGATCGGTAAATGAAAGAAAGAAAGAAAGAAAGAAAACGAGATCGACGTGCCGACATGATGCGCGCTGACGTTTGACAGGAATCTGAATCGGGAAACAATGCGTGTTACCATTTTATTATAAACGTTTTGCTACATTTTGGCTAGATACCGATCACCAGAAAACACTTAGCAAAGCTGTATGTATGTATCTATCTACAGAGACTGACATGTCGTGTATGTGTGTGTGTGTCTGTTTTGTGTTTATGTATGTATATATGTATTTCGTGTGCATGGACGTAGACGTGATTTCATAGTTGGGAAGAAAGCCTCAATTTAATCTCTGCTAGTTCCAATTTTTGATTGAGAACGAACCGATTGAAACGTTTTCGCTACATTCAATTTCACAATAAAGGATTGATAATATTCTGTCACTAATTTTTAATTATAGAATATGTACTGTAGCGTTTTCTGTAGAATATAGATTTTAATATATCGGTTACATTTCTTTACTTTTATGATTTTTATAAAGATTTCATTTAATTTTGCATCTCATTTCTAAGATTTAGAGGTCAGCAAGCGCTCCCTCTGCCTCCACCTTTGGCTACGCCCATGCTTTTGTGTGTGTGTGTGTGTGTGTGTGCTGTTGCGAGTACGTGTATGTGCGTGGTGAGTAGTGCACAGCTGTACGGGCGACATACGCGAGAGAAATGTTTCACGGCATTTACATACAAAAAAAATCACAAAGGCTCCATGAACGACGCTCTACACGTCGAGCTGGATCTACCGTGTCGTCCGTACGGCTGCGGCTCTCTTTTTCTCTCTCTTCTTCTCTCTCTCTCGCTCTCGCTCTCTCTCTCTCTCTCCTCTCCAATTGTCTCGATAAATCTTCCTCCCACGTTAAAATCACGAGAATCTCCTTAAAATCTTTACGTCTCCTCTCTCCCGTTTAAGCATCTCGATCATCATTAATTTATACATTTATTTTTCGTAAAGCAAGCGAGCGTAGGGGGTGGGGTGGGTTTATGTATAGATTACGGTGTATAATTAATTCGCCTATATGCCGGGGATATACCATTATTTAACGCTATTTCACGGGGCCTTACGTTAACATTAATAATAATCGCTATTATGGTGTATGTAACTCTAGAGTCATTTTGTTACAACGACCGTTTCCGGATTACAATCTGCTCCCTTTTTTTTTTACCTTTCTGCTCGTCCTCCTCCATATTCTCTGTTTCTCGCTTCTCTTTTTTTCTTTACACGATGGCGATAACGACGTTCAATATTGTACTTGGTGAGTACTAACTCTGATCTGCAGGAACAAAGATGGAGAAAAGAAACTCTCGATCGTTACATTATCCTCTCCGGTCTAATTTTCTATAACAGTGAACGGGTCTCTCTCTCTCTCTCTCTCTCTCTCTCTCTCTCTCTCTCTCTCTCTCTCTCTTTCTCGGGGGAGGCGTGTGAATAACGTTGCATTTCAACTCTCTCGACTCTCTCTCTCGTCTTGTAAATCGATAGCATTATTACTCTATCATTATATTACATTATCTTGCTTATTGGTTCATGGAGTAATCCGACGACACGAAACTGCACGTGTGATATACGTAAAGAAGATAAGTCCCGATGCCAGTGCTCTGCGCGCGCGCGCGATAATCATTAGCACTTAGAATTTTTTTTTCGTTTTCTCCTTTTTTTTCTCCGTCAGGATGTTCGATACAGACAATTGGCGCCGATACTTAGTTGCTATCAGTCGTTTCACGATTCGCAACACGATGTACACGGATCGTACACGGTGTCGTGCGCTGAAGTTACTCTGTAGTCTCGGTGTAGCAAGTGTTAGAAATGTGAAAAATCATTGAGTTTATAGTATGTAAATAAATTAGTCATTGCCTATTTTAGTAACATACTTCATTAATCTTAGGCAAATATAAAAAGTTTGTTGATACTTGAGTTCCGAAGTGTATTTTATGATCTTGGTGTGTGTGAGGCTCTGCTCTCCTGCACTCTCGTTTCTCACCCTTATTAATTTAGTACCTTTTCGTAATATAATATTTATATACACACCAAGTCTCCCTCTCTCTAGTTCGCCTCTACGTGTTTACGTGGTAAGATCCCTAATTTTACGTCACTCGAAACTGCGAATTACCTCTGCGATTGAAAGGATTAAGTAGTAGTAGTAGTACGGTATAGCCAATTACAATACTTAAATTTAACATTATCGTTTATCCGTCCTTTGTGTAGAAACAACAGATCTCGTTATTACTGAATGTAGTTTAGATTATAATTCCAACTCTCTGCGTGAATGAAGTACTTTGTGTGTGTGTGTGTATTATTCACATGAAACGCGAGTAATAATAACTCGATGATATTTCCTAAATTATGTTAATAACTCCTCTGCTTCTACCTTCATATCAGCATCGCGTACTATATTACTTGTCTCGCGTCTACGATAAAAATAAAAATATTATATTAACAATAATAATTATTACGTTTTAATTAATTAGCTAATGTCTATAGTGCATGTGTATGTTCAAACTTATGCTACAGATAAAAAAAAAAGAGAGAAAAGTAAGGTATCGTAAAAATGTTCGAAAAGAAGTAAGCGGCTGCACGTGCTCGTGCAACATTAAAATAGCTCATTACTTTCGGCTAAAAAATGTCGATGAATGAAGGTAGACTCTTAATCGACAGAACGCTACGTATCCCCCTTTCGTTCTCACTCGCTCTCACTCTTCCTCTCTCTCTCTCTCGTTCTCTTTTTTCCCAACGGGTTTTTCGAACTCTGTCTCAGAGACAAAACCTGCTTGCTTTTTGTAAAGTTTCACATATAAAACGTAAGACCAGAGGGAACGGGAAGTTTACAGAGTAATCTCTTGACGTTGCAGATGTACTGTCACACATTCCTCTCTTTCTCTCTCTCTCTCTCTCTCTCTCTCCACCTCTCGCAGGATGGCAAAATGGTCGCGTTAGTTTACTGTATAAGGAACACTTTTCCCGTGAGAAAGGTCGTGAACGATACGTGAATGATACTTCGTTAGGCACATTTGATTTTACCAATTCCCTTCCTCACAAAACCCCTTGTAATTTTCAGTGTTTTACGATGGATATAGCAACACACACACACAGCGCGCGCGCACGCGTGCGATATAAGCGCGCTCGGACACGTCCCGAAGACATACTGATTCGCGAGTGCAGACAGCTTCAACATCAAGAATACACAAGACAGATAATACTGTTTGGAAAACTAAGCGGGTGGATGATTCGCGCGATCGGTGGACTGTTCGAAAATCGGGAGGGCGGGTCAACGATCTCTCGTGAAGCGTGACACACACGTGATTACTTTCGCTCGGATGCACGTTTTCCTGCTTATCGGCAACGATAACTCGAAATTAATGAACGTAGATTATTGTGTCTAAATCCAGCTCCTTCGTACGGTCGATGGGTCAGCTGGTCCGTCTCTCTTGCTTTCTCTGTCTCTCTCTCTCCTTCTCGTTCTTTTTCCCTCTCTCACACACACACGCACTTTCGTACTCTCTCGCACTCTTTCGTTCGCTTCCCTCTCTCTCTCTCTCTCTCTCTCTCTCTCAAGGCGTTACGAGGACCCGACCTAGTTCTCCATTTTGGCACTCGGGAGTATTTGAATACGTATTAGCCGTCACGGATCACAGTTTCGGACTTTTCTCAAAGAATCGTTACAGCGGTACCTCCAACGCAGAGGAGACGGTAAGGGCGCGTCTTCCTCTCTCTCTCTCTCTCTCTTTCTCTCTCTCTTCCTCGTTCGCTTTCGCTTTCTCACATTCACTCTCACTCTTTCTCACCTTTTCTTTCTCTCTCTCTCTCTCTCTCTCTCTTTTTCTCTCCCGTCCTTTCTCTCCACCACGTTCTCTCTTTCGTTTTCTCTCGTGCTCTCCCTCTCATTCTCACCTGACGACGACGCACGTCGACTGGGACGGAGGAATCGTTAAACGAATATCTCTCGGGTATCGGATTCGGAGTCGGAGTCCCAGAAGAAACAAGAGTAAAACTCCTCGGTGACCGCCACTTGGTGGCTGCGCTCACGAGGTCGTTATGGATTGGCGCGGGCGGCTAGGGCGCCTGTGGCCGACAGTCACAGCTTGAGCTCGTTCGCGATCTTGCTGGCGATATTTTTGAAACCGATCGACGTGCCGGAGATACGCTTGAATCGCACCCCGTTCAGGGAGAGCCGCGGCAGCTTGCACACCTCGATCTCCCACTGCACTTGGCTGTCGGTCGCCGCCTCGCCGTGCGCGCACAGCAGGAGGAATCGCTCGCGTTGTTCGTATTGGCATTTGTTTGCGTCCAGGACCTGGAAGAACGACGGTAACAATGAAGCGGGTCCGCAGCACTGCTCCCCGCACTTGGAGCGTGCGTGTTCTTTTTTCCTTTTTTTTTTTTTAGATCACGTTGTACACGACATGCCGATTCCGATCGTTTCCGAGAGGAACGTGCACGCGCAACCAAAAACGCCCAGCTTCTCGAAACAACGTTGCACCAGCCCGCCCCACATTTCTCGTATACTTTTGCGAATTTAAACTGTATAATTCAACTGTATCTCACGAATTTTGTGAATTCACTTTTGTGAATTTAACGTAGCTCGAAAAGTAGCGAACATTTCGCTGGAAGAGCCAGAGCGCGCTTTCCTGGGGAAACGGTGGCGCAAACTTGGAATGGGAACGCACGTACTCGAGACGAGATCGAGAGGGAAGTTTTTACTTGGCAAAAGGAGGCCCTGTCGAACCGTCGGAACCGAGCATGTCGTATGCCACAGATCCACCATACAGATTATTACGCGAGAGTCAATCTTATGCCACTAATCCTTACGAAATTTAGCGAACGTATCGCCTTTTTTTTTCGTGTTACGTATATCTGCTAATATAAGTACGCTTTTCTCGATACCTTTCGGATCTCAGACATAATTTCGTTAGGGTCTCGACTACTGGTAGTCTTCATACTCCACGTGAAGCGTAGACTGCGTGGTTTAACCTGTTCGTCGTTAGTGGTAGCTCCGCTGTAACAAAAAGATATCTTAAACCCGTCCAATTACCCAAAACAATGCCAGCGATAAAAAAAATTTTTTTTTTTAATATAAAATCACACAATTACGACAACGGTTTTCGCGTGGTACACACACACAACTCGTGTAGCGATCTCCCGAATAGATATTCCTACTTGGCAAATATTATTTGTCTGGCACGAAGTAACAAATTTGTAACACAGACTTATAAATCTACATATTTCAATCAATTTTATCCCCTGATCGTCTTTACTTCTCGATTTATTATCCTCTCCGTGCTGGAAATTGGAACGTTAATAACGTGGTCGAGTGAAAATTCGTGAAATGATCTCGAGAGTTATGTGAAATGTAAATCTCATGAGAAATCATCTGTGGAATATCGAAAGAAGCTTGAAGCTTGCGACTGCGTAAAAATGTATTCTCAACTCATTCGAGTCAGGGATACTCTATGATGTAATGCACTGTGCTGTATATCTCTTGCAGGCTGCCCGCGATAGGCAACGTTCGAAAACATAAAACGTAAGAGAGTGAAACTTTCTCAGAACCAAGTATCCCAATAATCGTAACATACATGCGTGACATGCAGTTCACTTGCCATCATAACTTGAGGTCACAATCTCAGTGCTGCATACATATTTACATTTAGATAATAAAGAACACTTATATAAAGTGAGTTACACGGAATATTGAAGTTAAACGTGTAAAACGACGTATATCGCAACCCTGAATCTATCTATATTTCAAGAAACTCTTATATGATAATAATAATAATAGTACAATATGCAATCTATGAGAAAAATGCGGTAGAAACTTGCAGTCTATACGTAATTCGTGAAACATGTAAACAGTGGGACTTGTTCTCTCGCAAAACGGCAAGGCGATCGAGAACCAACATTCTTCATGTTTCAGAAATGACCGGTGGGTATATCTTACATTGCTCGCTATGTACGATTATGTGGAACAATTTGTCTCTCTCCAAGAACGATATTTTTCCCCTCCTAGATCGCGACGACACAACTAGTGAGAATGTAATTCTGTCTCGTTCGTGTAGCTGTCGCAAATCATCTTTCAGAGCAATTGTCGAGCCACTTTATGGAATATGCATGCTATGTCACAGGGATTGTTTTAACCATGAACATACGTGCACCAAATAATATTATACCAAATAATCATTGAATGTGAGTACGCCCGCCACGCGTTCCCGTTAAGATGAGAAGAAAGAATACAAAACGAAAATAAAAAAAGAAGAATGATCGAGATCGATCGATCGATGAGCAGAAAGTTGGATGTACGAGAAAATTAAGGAGATGAGAGAGCGTGAAATTAGAAACACGGATCGTGGTATTATGGTATGCAGCAACGTACCTCACTACTGGGTGCTTGGGGGGTACGGATGGGTCCATGGGGCTGAAATAACAAAACAAAGGCAGTTGCTAACAAACACTAAACATGATAAATTAATCAAATTTTTATATGTATAACAACCATCACCATTCTGTCACCATTGCACACTGGATTATGGCACAGAGAGAATTACGATGTGACGTGAGTCTACGAAAAGATCTCGGAACTTCTGAATGGAAGGGGGGGGGGGGGATACATAGTAATTTGAATTTCCTTCGACTCTCTACAAATTTTCACACGTATATAGGAAGAAAAAAAAGTGGAAAACAGAGCACGATGTTGCGTGCAACTCTATCGTGGACAAACGAGAGCGGTTTTTATACTCGATGGGATCGTAAACGTTTATATCTCGCACGGGAGAATTAAGTTTAACGCAAACGGCGATCGCAGTGTCTCTTCTTCTTATTAAGGATAGAATGGATGCGGCGTGTTAAGAGACAAATTTCCATATTACCGTGGTTACGTGTGAGTTATACAAAAGAATTCAATTTATACACATAACACTCCTAAACGAGTTACATGCATCATAAACGTAGTGAGACGTGTTGTTGTTCTCGCGTAGGCAAAATGTTCCTTTTGTACGAGGATTCAGAAATAAATTGATACAACATATACAAGACAGTTTTGACATATTTATTAATGCGAAATTATTACTATTATTGCTCCTTAAAATTATTAAATAATATTTCTATCCTGTTTATACATATACATACATACATATATACGTATATGTATATATGTATATATGTATATGTCAGCTATTTACTGCCCTCCAGAACGTAACGTTTAAATTAGAATTTTTCTAAATTGGATTCTTTTAAATAATAGATTGACTATATAATTAACTGAATATCCTAAGGATCCTCTGGATATTCGGACGGGCACGTAGTTGGAGTGCAGCAAAGAGCATGGTCATTTAAAGGCATGTTATATTTATATAATTTGCATACACAAATATTTTCCTCTTCATATACCTCATACTTTGATATATTTAAGATGACGTGGTCTAATTCGTTCGATAATTCTTTCTCTTCTAGCGTTTCTCAATTTCATACACATTAGTTCATTGGGTGGCCTTAGGTATACATCGTTAGATCTTTACAACTTTCTAATATCACTTATATGCATCGAATATCGGTAGAATGCAATAAAAAAAAAAAAAAAAATTTAACCAATACATTCGTTGGGAATATATTATATCAAAAATGCTAAATATTTATAGGTCAGAATACATTAATTGTGCAATCTCCTGATATGTAAATAATAATGAAAAAAAATGAAGAAGTTCATTAGAAACATCTATATATCGTACAACAGAAGTAAATATGTAATTCTTTAATAACCTTTATACACAAGAGAACGTATAAAAAAAAAAAATTAGCAATGTCTTACGAAATCAGAGATAAATATACCAAGTTTCTCTGATTTTCCTGCTAAAAATAAGAAATAACATACTTTCAAAGTAGCCCAAGACCACTCTGTAGGATACGCCATGGTTTGTTATATATATAATAAACGTATAATAATAATAATAATAATAATAATAATAATAATAATAATAATAATAATAATAATAATAATTACTTGCCGTATATAACATGTAGATGCTACTGTGTTGACCAGATATTTATAAATGCTATTGGCAATGACTGTGGAAGGATTAGTGCATCGATTTGTCGTGTAACTAAATATTTGAAATACACAATATCAAATAGGAGAAGGCACGTATTTCCGATATCGGGATAACACACACGGTCACAATTCTCAAATTCATAATGTATCCAAAGTGTCAATATCTGCACTTAGTATTAAAACAAGCTTGGATTTAAAGATGCTATTCTTCTTTCCATAGCTGCATTTTTACATATAGCACGAAAAACTACATATAATATTTTGTTTCGAATTCAAACATTAAATACGGCGGAGAAATACATTTTTTTTCCAACACGGGAAAATATATATTTCTGCAACAGACAGTTCAAGTAGGAAATATATAATAAGAAAAGATTTACGATAGAAAAAAAAAATAGTGTACAATTATAATAGAAATGAGATAGTTACATATACTTTAGTTGGAACTCTTTTATACGTGTCATATTGTACTAAGCACAGTATTGTTCTTTACCAGAAGATTTACAGTCACTTTTATCTTTTGTATTGACGACCAGAATGACGAGCAGAAATATACGTGCTTGAATATTGTATATTTCTAATAATTAAATAATAGTACAATGTAGATCGGGATACATTAATCAATATACAAATAAATGAAGTACCAATTAATTATGGCCTGCCTTGTTCGAATAATGTTCTATTGTATGTCGGTTTCTCAATAAATTATACAATACAAATGAATATTTATTAATAGAATAAATTAAAGCAAGGTGGGTAAAATTGAATTGCCGTTCATTGCAATCAAATAGCACTCTAAATCTTAATTTATTAGTCAGTTTTGAGATCAACATTGGAACAGCGTTTATAACTGCGATCAACTACAGAAACAAGGAATCTTTCAGTACGCTAAACATGAAAACATTTCTGTACTTTTCTGGTTGCTATTTGCTTACAGAACTCCCCGACAGTGTGGAATCTCTGATAAAAAATAAACTACACCTTTAATTTTTCGTAATCGCATTTAAAAGGCGTGTTACATTAAACGTAAAGAAAAGATAAAGTGGAATGCCTAATTTCTTACATATCTTCACTTTTGCTTGTATCTGATCGAAATCGTGTTTTGTATGTTTCTCAATTTGTGTCAACTGAGTAGTATTCAAAGTATAATATAAATGCAATCACTATACTGACATTGGAGATAGAGAATATAAAATGTATATAGGAGAAATTAATTAATTTAGAAGACAATATAAAAAGTATGAAATACGTTGAAATCGTAAGACTATCGCGCACTCTTAATACATTGCAGATGAATTGAGTTAGTTTCTCCGTCTGCTTAAATTCATTCATTCATTCTTGCGGAAAAGATACGTTATCTATTCTTGCTTCAAAATTATCCATAAATAACTACGAGGGTAATGAAGCTGTACAAAATATTTTACGAGAGAAAATATTGTAGCTATGTCAATATCTACACATTTTGTATGCATATAGTAACATACATATCCATTCGTTTTAAAGGACATATTTCCTTGTGAATTTCGTTTACACCAGAGAATCGATACAAGGAGCCAATGTACGTATATAATTTTCGATGATGAGAATATAAAGCCAGATTAAATTCCACGCTATCTTTGAGAGGAGGAACCTATGCTGGATACCAAAACAATTCCGAAGAGAAAAGTAAAAAAAAAAAAAAAAACAGTACGCATTACATGTCTCAACTTGGTTGACCACTTTGTTGTAATTTCTTAACGAGTGACACGAGTAGAATATACTGCAATAAAGTTGCATTAAGTTAAAAAATGCAATGCAAAAATCTCGAATAATGTAATAACTAAAGTTTCGTTTTACACCCAGGCATGCGGACAGCCGATGCTGTGCATTGCACGAATTCTAATTTCATCACCGCCGTCCGTTATCCAACATATTTTCCTGTGGTAAATAAAAAGAAAGAAAGAAACTCGCGCTACACACAATGTTACAAAATATACAACATTATATCCCTATAGTTCTCGATATAATCCAGGAGAAACAAGGTGAGAGAGATAAATCGAAACGAAATAAAATAACACATTGATGGAAGTTCCGCTAACGCCATTCAATAAAATTTGAAACATTTTGCCCTAAAAGTGGCTGCAATTTGTGCCGCCGTGGCGCGATATATCTGCATGCGGCTCGCTCTCATTTCGGCTCGGGGGAAACAAGGCGAGACCTCAGCCTTCGCTTAAAAAAATCTGTCAAAGCACGAACAATCATATGTACTCTATTATCGCACTAAATCCGCCTGTTCGTTCGATATAATTGTTTGTGTTAGTGTAACTATATATTCATTTTCCTCACACTCCCACCACTCAAGGATCGGTCGTTATACGACCGAAGAACATTCTCTCACGTTAACAAAAACACATCTGTCGACGTGATCGTTTCTGACGGCAATACGGAGAAATGGACATTAGAATATAAGTATTTAATACAAAAAGAAAAGAAAAAAAAACGGAAGGAAACAAGGAACATGTAAAACGTGGTCTCACCGATTCACGTTATCGCACGGAGTTGAAATGTTAAATGTCCGCTTTAAACGAAGTACGAGTAGTGAAGTCCGCGAGAGACTTCCGCGCGCTATTTTCGTACACATCCTCGTATGGGATGTACGGGTAAAAACGGTCGTCTCATCACATTTGTGGGAGCTCGTCGCTGAGCTTCAATACGGAAGGAAAAAAAAAGAGCGATCCATGCCTGTCACACATTCGCCGCTACACCAAAAATAATATGCGCGCTCGGTGCTTAAATGTAACGTAATAACGTGTCCAAACATTCTTATTCTTAGATACTTTAGTCAGCTAGATACACTTTACGTCGGAAGGCATCTAAACTATCACCACACGATCCACGAGAAATGCTTCTTTTTTTTTTGCACTATTCACTTCTTTTTTGTATACTCTACAATGAAAGCGAAAAGGGAGAAAAGAAAACCAAGTAGGCTACAAGACTATCCCGCACACGGTTGTGAAAAATGTAGAAAAATAGAAAGAAGAATATCAGGTTTCTTTCTCCACGGACTGGACGACGTAAAGTATACATATATTCATTAGAGAGGCAGGCTGAATTAGGAAAGGCACAGATTTCGAGTGCTATATCTAAGTGCGTAAGGCGGCGATTTCCTGCTTTTGTGATTTCAGGAAGACGTCAATTTCTTTTTCTTTTTTTTTTTAATAATTATATAACCACGTATATATATACCTATGTGTACACGTAAACGTGTGTGTGTGTGTGTTGTGTGTGTGTATGTGTACGTGTTCGAATTCGATGCGGCGATACCACGCTATTTATACACATACACATACATCGTGCGTATGCTTGAAGATAACGATATACTCGTTTATCGACATGTAAAGGTCCCTAAAAAAGTAATTACACGCAATCTTGAGAACCACAGAATAACGGAGCCAAGAGTTTTTGTTTTGTTTTGTATCTCATTTACGTATGCATCACAATATCCATTGAGCGGTCGATTGACAACATTGGACTCTTTGCCCGACCCGATTTAACGTGTTAGATGCGCCCCGGGCATGCTGCATTTTACTCGACACTGTCGGCACATTCTCGGCTGTTAAAACTCTCGTGTCTCTATGGCCTTTCGCTTGACGGAACCCGAGAGATGAAGCGAAGCTTATACGGTTCACGGCCTGCAGCATATAATATATATATAACCGGTATATGAATTAATTGTTTAGAAAAAAAAAAATAAGAAAAAGTAGAACAACGTTTCAGGGAATCGTTCTGATGCACCAATGGCTATGGATGCCGTCAATTCGCACGCTTCACAATTTATCCCGTGCTACGTTGGTGATGAGTACAGTGACCATATCATGAAAGCGAGAATAACAAAGCGGTTCTCTCTCTCTCTCTCTCTCTCTCTCTCTCTCTCTCTCTCTCTTCTCTCATTATTTTTCTCTCTCTTTCTCTACTCGGATTTTACAATACTCTCGTTATTCTGCAGTCTTCCATCCTCAGTTCCAAGTACTTTTATGTACGTGTGTACAGTATGGCGCTGTCGTTTTGCATTTGAATGTGCGACGTAATAATTAGGTCCCATATATATACGTATATATGTATATATGTATATATGTATAAGTAATAAATCAAAAATATGCCTCGCTACAATCAAGTGAGAGAAAAGGGATGCACAATGAGTATGCGAGGTGGCCTGAGAACTTCAGCCGAGCAGTGTGTGTCGTATTACTTTCACGTTATTATTGCTCTGAGATTCGAGAGAATTTTTGCCTTGAGTTTTGCTAATAGTCTCACGACTGTTATTTAGGCGGATATTCTGCACCTCCGTGTCCTTTATTTATTTACTTTTTGACAGTTAGTTGATCTCGAGAAATCCAGGAGGCGATATGTTATATTCTCATTATATGAATATAGAACGACTAACTCTGTGTAAGGACAGTGACGAAAGTAATTTCTACGTAGAATTCAGCTAAGAAAAGGGTACGATCTGTCAAGCAAATATTTATGGGACGAACAAACAATACAGATAGACAAACGCGATACGCTTTGAGGATGAAAAATATGGTATGTAAGTAAGTGAATAAAGCTCTATATATATATGTATATATATATACGGAACAAAATGCAGAAGCTACGTATCCTGTGTCTTTCACTGATAATGGTCGCTGCTGGCTCATCGGATTTCGTAACTAACGTTATCACGCATATTAACGTCCTTATATCAATATGTATCTCTATGCATCATCGATATATAGAATTTCCAGAATTACATAGTCATTGTGCATCCTTAAAAAACAGAAACATCATTTTGCATGCAAACAATCGGTACAATTTACCAAACTATGTCAGTATGATATATATATATATGTATGTATGTATATATATATATTCAAGTATATATATTAAAATTTCAACACACTTAAATGTTTAAGATGCTAAAGCATGCACTGAGGGCCCACTGCAAAGCTACGATGTTTAATATGCTAGCACTCTCAGTCTGTACTTGTAGGATCGAATAACGAGACAGCATGAAATTGTCAAAAGTACTCTTTCTACTACTCGGTATAATGAGAATAAATCGACAAATGGATGTGTGTAATCATAAGTAAAAACTCAGAGAATGGAACAAACATGAGGAACAAAGAAAAAAAAAATAACGATGTGTATGTGGCGTAAAACTTGCAATTTTCATGGACCTTTTTTACGTATGTGTGAGAGATTACTCCGTTGAGATGTAGTTAGAGGTAAGATACATGCAATTATATGAAGAAAAAAAAAAATAAAACAATTAGACTTGGGTAACTCTCTCCTAGTGACTGCGGCGATTCACGACTTCTAAAACACACATTTCTCTTCTGAGTTAGTTTAACTTCAACACTTTCACTATCATTGAGACATTATCAACTATGCTCACGGAAATTTTTCACGGGGTAACAGTTTGTTAATGCCAATTAGGAAACAATCGTACGATACATCCCGATCGTCATCGTATATAGTAAAATAATCGGTTCGACAATCACAAGAATAAACGGTATATAAATACGTGTTACGAAAGAAAAAAGAAAAGAAAAAAAAAATAGGAAAAGAATTATTCGTGAACAGACGGTGATTCGTATTACAGTCGTACACGTGTTAACATGCTGTCAAATATATATACACATATATATGCATATATATATACTGACGTATCTCGCTAAAAGGTAGATTTGATCTGTCATGGAACTTACCGTTTGGAGAACTTCGACGATAATTTCGAGAAGAAGGACGGCCTCGCTAGAGGGCTAATTGCATTCGTGTCCTGCGTTTGTGTGTGACCCTGGAAACAGGATATTCATTTAAATCAGTCGCGACGGCGCGGCGAGGCGGCTGTCTTTCTCACACGTCTTTTAGCGCCTTTTCTTTCGTTACTTTCGTGCCTCTTTAGGCTCAGCCGGACTCACCTGAGTGTGATTTCGCTGTGCTCGGTTTTGGCCAGAATGGAACGTACTGCGACTCGGAACATTCCGTGGGAATGCCGGGGTAGTGGCTGTGGGCAGTCTATTGCTTGCGGATACACCCAAGCTAGCAACAAATAACGATTTCTGCTTTGGTAAAGACTGCAATCATGGCGAGACCGTGTGTGTGTGTGTGTGTGTGTATGTGTGTGTGTTCGTGTGTGTATGTGTGTAGATAATGCGTACAGGTCGATTTACATCGGCAGCTTTACTTTCAAAGTACTAGGCGGCGAACCGTGAGGAGTACGTCGGAGCGCGCGCACTACGATACATACTGTGTTACCCGGTTTGGTTTGAGTAAAGCTGGCGTCAAGATGCAGAAAGAACGAGTAGGTAAGTAGACAAGTTGTTATTGTTGTTTCAGTGCTGAATAATGCGTATTATTGGAGGTATTTCGTTGCAAAGAGTTCACCAACGCGCGCAAGCAATGTTCTCACAAAACGAAGCTTAGCGGTTAGAGCTAACGAAGCGAAATCGAGAAAGAGAAAGAGAGAGATAGATAGATAGATAGATAGAGACAGGGAAAATTAGCTTGTACCAATAAAAAGTCAGTAACAAGAGTCATCGTATGGATGAGAGTAATCTCTACCGTTTGATGTCAAATGCGCATGCATTAGTAACAGATTACTTCGAGAGCGCAATATTGTGTTTCTTTGTAATGTACGTTTTATAAATGCTACGACTGTAACGATAATAGAGGAGGGAGAGTTTCTCGCATGATCATGAATGGTGATAAGAAAGTAATTTTCTCGACGTGAAAACTGCACGATACGTCGGAACCTTGTGAATAATTGGACTATGTACAATTAAACTTAAACAGATGAAGTCCGATGATAATAATATCATTAGACAGGTTGTACTGATGGATCATATATCTCTTAAGTTCTACTTGCATGATAATAAGATAAACGAATGTTAAAAAGAAGATGTTATGTATATATATATATAAAATATAATCGTATAAAATATATATATAATATAATCGTTTATATATATATATATATAGCACCGGACGCTTATTCCTGTGCGGAATCAGTGGCCGAATTGGCGTATGTGTTTTCCTTCAACAAAAGCATTGACATTACGACGATATATACAGCCAGGTAAGATGTGTATCGTCACAATGCTCAGCATGTTAACAGCTCACCAATCGATTGAGAGTCAAGTTTCTTTTGCGTTTAATGAAAAGTCCCTTAAAAGTAGCCAGGTGAGTGAAGTGTGAGCATGTCAGGATCATTTATACATGAGTCATAATGGAGCATGTCATTTCAGCAGTGCCGTAATCGGACCTGAATGATTCGTCATGTAAATAAAGAGGGATGCCCGGAAGCTGTGATGCAATTAAGTAGAAATCTAGCAGAGCTTAAATCATGCAAATAAAAAAAAAGGAGATATATATATATATATATATAGAGAGAGAGAGAAGAGAAAAAAGGAAATAAAAAATGAAGAGAATGACCAGAAACTATCCTAGAGGAACCTATATGTCGACGATTCACAATAATTTCTCACAGAGTATTCGAAGAGAGACAGATGTTGTACTGTCAAGAGCTCGAGAGATGACAGAAGTTCCTCTCGTCGCTCCGTTCCGACAGGTGTCTGTTCGCAAAAGACTAGTCGATAACACCTAAGTTACCCTAAGAGAGTTAGTGGCCTGAGAAAGAGGTAACCAAAACGCAAAGAACAAATGTATCCGAAATATTTAAAACAGATACAGGATGCAGGTATCTTTTCGTTTCTTTCTTTTTTTTCGTTTCTTTTTTCTTTCTTTTTGTATAGGCATTGGGGGCCTGTACCTCTGCCTAAGGGGGTCAGCAGTGGCGAGTAAGGAGTTGTTGCGTGGTTGAGGGTCCAGTAGTGAATGGTCGCTGGGGGGTACGCCACTTGAGGAACGGTGACCTGCGCTGATGCTCGCAGACTTCGTGTGACCCCGCGTTGGTCTAGTGCCCTCGCCCAGGCTGTGCATAAAACTAATCAGCAAGTTGCCGGGCCCTATCTTCCGCAAGTTTAATCCTACTTTCTCCCCCTTTCGTTTTCCCTCTTCAATTCTCCCCCCACCCTTTTTTTTTAAACAAAGAAAGCGAAAACTTCTCGAGGCCGTATATGTATAGAAGCTCTAACAGGGCCGGATGTCGGATTCGCAAGGCTTGAGACGAATATGATATCAATGACAGGCTTAATTCGTGTAGACGCGAAGATAAAGAGAATCTCGTCGGAAGTTTCCTTCCCTGGCTCGCGCGTATCGAAGCTTGGCAATGCTGCTTTTACTCTCTCTCTCTCGCACGTTGTACATTACGAAAATTAAGAAGAAAAAAAAAAAGAAATAAATAATCTCAGGAGATTCGCGCGTATACGTGTACGTTAAACATGATCGCGGAGATATGCATTTCGGTACAACAGAAACTCTCGTTAAAGGGAGGTGTTTCACAAGGACATCGCCGGGGGATGGGGAGAGGAAAATGATATAATACTAACTGCGGCTAACGTAATTTCGCGAGACACTTGAATGGTAAGAGAAACAGAATGCGATGTTACAACGTATGGATGAAAAAACAAATGTATGATGATGTTAATGAATGTGTCTAAACACCTTCTCGACTAGATCTATTATTTCGAGATAACAGAGTAATATATAATATATATATGTAAATGTGACTGTGGTCTGATATCGTTTTCAGCAAGCGTCTGTACACGTATAAAAACGTTAAAATCAGACTGTCCGTTCGATACATCTGTCAAGCCATAAAGAAAGTGATTCGCAATGAACGATTGGCAGGCAGCAGCCAAAACATGCTAAGAGCGATGCAACAAACAAATAAACTCCCCGGAGCTTTTAATGACAGACTTTGTTATTATTCACTCGAAACTGCGAGACTGTTTCTCGAGTCGGTTTAGTGTACTTAACACACACAAGTAATCAGTTGTCTACCAGTTAGTGAAAGTAAAAGTGTTAAGTTCGGCGGAAACTGTAGAAATGCCGTCAAACGAGAGATGCACTAATCTTATTATATTATCGTATCGTTCACGGATAATGAGATACTGGACTTTGATCAATCGGGAGATTGATCGCTCAAATTACGAATCGAGTAACAATAAGTGGAATAATTTCATCGGTCGGGTCAACAGTGAAACCGAATGCGTCCAATATCCCACGTGTCTAGTATCTATCGAGAAGTGAGAATGCACAGAATATAACGTCAGAGAGGAGAGTCTCCAACCGAGAGAATCTCGGGTTAGCGTTGCGAACGTTTCTTTCTATTGCTTTTTTTTTGTTCCTCTTTCTTTCTCCACGTAACCCGCATTTCGTGAGTTATATTCATAACATATACATATGTTTGACTTGATTTATATTCTCTCTCGTGAATATAGATCGCGTATTTCGTTTAAGTATAATTGGATACCACTATACCTGGGTACTTCGTTGGTTCGTTCGGTTGATGAAGATGACGTTTTCGCTTGATCATAGGAGATGGTACTACGCCGACCAACAGAACCAGGAGCAGGTGAGGTGAGAGGCCGACCACCACCTACCCCTGCGTTCATAGTGTTGCTCTTGCCTACCCTTGCTTTACCACCAGGACTTGTACCCACGCCTAGAATGAACATCGTCACTGCAAGCCTCATTAGATGTGGTTCAACACAAAACAAAGCGAAACATACTTTAAACTATAACAAACATCGGAAACGATCATTGAGAAAGGGTTCTGAGCCGCCAAAACCGTCTGACCTGTTTCTGTATCGGAGGGAAAAAGAAATGATCAAAAAGTTCCAGAGAGCAAGATAACATCAAGTCGAAACTATCTCTTGCACACGCAAACATATCACAGACGGCCACAAACGACGTAAACGCCGTACTTTATATGGATACATATATTATATATAAATATATAGTATGCAGTAAAATAACGGCAATATACGATAGTGTTTCCTTCCTTGCAGACATACACGAGAAACAGGCACGGACGATTCGAGATCAAAACTGTGTAAGGCTAGAACTTCCGATAACAATCACGACTGTATTCACAGAAATGACTACTGCAAAGACAAAAAAAAAACATACGCAGAATAAAATAACGTAACATCGGATCTGTGTCTCGTAAAAACATTGAGTAAGGTTTGTAAATTAACAAATCGGGACGAATTCAGAGCTATTGGACTCGCTGCGACCTTATCCAAAGCAACCTCATCCAGAGAAGCGCCGAAGCGCCACGAAAACAGCCACGCGACAAGTAAGTCAAGTAAGATCCGTTAACAGAGGGGGGGGGGGGGGTGATTTCCGTCGGGGGATAAGNCAAAATCAACTCACTGGTATCTAATTGCCCGGGACTGTTTTTAGGTGCAGAGGGTCGGCTTGCCGAGACACGGGCGCTGTTCTCCTTGATTGTGGCCGCGTCCACGGTGTTTTGCCGTTTGAAATTGCTACCGCCGCTGCCGGTCACAGTGCCGCCACCGGTCACCACGGTCGCGTGATTGTGATTCGTTGCATTACCCGGACTGGGTGCGCCTCCTAATGAGGAAAGATAACAAGCGTGATAAAACCCTCCCCGTCTTCGAGACGCAACGCGCGCGCTCGGTATTAATAGACACGTCACAATATACGATCCTGATTTTTGTTGCCGTTCCAACGTCCGTCACAACATACGACACTTCTATTAAGGCATAGAAATATTTCAACGACGCAGTGCGCGTTTACTACACTCTAACTAATCGTAGTTACGGTCTCCAGTCGACGGGCAACCGATACAAAAATCGTAGGACAGTTTCTCAATTTCTCAGTCACGTTACAGGAAGGTACCACATGTGCGTGTGTCTTACCCGGAGGAGTTTTTGGTAAGTGTCTCCTTATCCACGTCCGTCGTCTGACAGTTAAAGATTCAAAGTGCCGCAGCGCATTAAGAGTTACAGTTCGAAAGACGACGTTTAACACTTACGAAGAGTCTCACCACCGGACGAGGCCCGCCTACTGGGTTTTGGATTGCTAGCAGAAATACTTCTGTGAACACCTCTGTGCGATGGACTTTGTACCGCGCCGCCTGTCCCTCCGCTGCTTCCTCCACCACCACCCGAGCCGACTTGAGGCGGAATGTTGCGCAGCGACAGCGAGCTACCCGACCGTGACCCGTCGCTTTCGGGCTGTAGAGCAAATAAAAAAGATGTAGAGAGGAGAAGGATTTTTAGTAGTACGTCGGTTCTGAATGCGATCTTGACCCCATTTTCCTTACGGCCGAAAAGCAACGATAATAAGGTTGCCCGAGCGGAATCTAACGGCGCGTTACGCGCGGTGTTTATGCCGTATCATCTAACCGCTGTGAATTCTATACTGGAATATGCTAGGTGCCGTATTAAGAGGGCGGGGTACGTCGAGGTAAAGAATAGGTAGCACAAGAAATACCGTTTCCTTCTCTGTCTAATGATTTCTGGCTCGTCAGCGATACTCTACGATCTTTTCTACAGACATCCGAACGTACTAATTTACCTGTGAAAAGTGATGTTCGAAGTTCACAGTGTTCATAGTTTTTACTAGTTTTACGGCGCCTTAACACTTTTTGCTTATCCTGCTCTTTTCCAGCAATATTATAATTTTATCGATTACGGGGGGTTACGAACGTGATACTTTGAATGAACCGATATTTTCAACTGGAACGAGTACGACGTTAGAAAAAGGATACAGATGTTATTTTTCTATTTCATTTCGCTCGTCTTTTAGCACCTTGGTTACATATTTGTTAGTTCGACTAATATCTTTGTATCACGTATGCATATCGCAGGTTTATCTTAGATTTGGTCCAACGCTCGGAAAGCTCTTCGATATCCAGAATGCGTTTCGTAGACGTGCGACTGCACAGTCGCTCTCGAATAACGAAAGGGTTAAGACGGTGGTATCGGCGCATACTTACGTCTGTCGTTTTCCTGCCCAGGAGCAGATACGTGGCGAACACATCGTCATACTTGGCTTGTCCTAAGGAGTCTTCTATTTCGCTCCGAGTGTATCCCAGACTGGCTAGGGCCTCTGAAACGGAAACGCGTTGCGGCATAGTCATATCTACTTGGAACGATCTTTTCTTTCCACACTCACAAGCGTTGGAAATTAAGCAGAATAATGCAAAACCAAAAGTGAAACCAGCCTCGCTAACGTATCGCTATAACAGATACGGTCTCAGTACTTTGTAATACATTTGCCATTCTTAATGAGCTAATCGAACTTATCGTCTCTATGACGTACACGTTCCGCACACCGTTCGGCACTCATTAGAGGTAAGTCGGTTTTAGTACGGTTTTAAATATTAGCACTGGTTAATGACTTCACTCTTCCGTCCCGAGAATATCCTCTCATGCAATAATTCCAAAGCGGGTCCACAGATGTGTCCAGATACGTAGATGTATAAATATATCAGACGAACGAAATGAGATATCGGGAAATAAGCTATATCGGTGCTTCCACGCTGTGCGTAAAATTGTGTGCACAAGTTACAAGTCTCTTACTCGAATACGATTTAGTAAAACGCCGATCATGCGTGTCGCAACAGATCCCGTACTTGCTTCCTGATAGAAAGCTACCGCACAGTGCGTATTACTAAATAATATCTGGCAAGGCTGTCTGATATATTTAATAGTATTAATTTTAGTGATTAAATACATTGCGCAATTCCTCGACTACCAGGAAACACCCGACCATGAACATCCTTTACACAGAATATCTGTGCTGAAGTGTACATTAAAATGTACGATCGCTCGAAGTCTCGCGATGTTACGCACCTACGCTTACCGAGGCCCGGCAGAAACTTGACTTACGGAACGCAGAATGTTCATGACAGATGTCACACATTATTAAACATAAAAACGGTAAGTAGTAAGTGTTATGTACATACTGGCAGACTCACCTATCCTCTTGTGATCTCTATAATCAGGTTCAGGTTCTAAGTACGGTTTTAATTCGTCATCCTCATATCCCATGTTCATCCATTTGTCTTTCATTATGTTCTGCGGCAATAAAGATCGTTAAGTTGCTGCTTAAACGCGACATTTGAGCGCGGCTAAAGAAATTTCGCCCGCTCCACGTGTGGATAGATAAAGGCGTCGATGTGACACCGTCGTGGTGAGATGAACAGAATCAAAATCAAATTAAATCAATGACGAAGAGATCTCGTTTAAGGGGGAAAGCATAATTCAAACGCGACGATCCATCAGGCCACTTACCTCTAATGAGGCTCTCTTCGTCGGGTTGAGCACCAAGAATTTCTTGAGAAGATTTTCACAGTCGGTGGACATATAAAACGGGATCCTATATTTCCCTCTTAATACTCTCTCCCTCAATTCCCTCAACGTCGAACCATCGAAAGGCAGTGAGCCGGATACCAAGGTGTACAGGATTACACCCAACGACCAAACATCCACTTCCGGACCGTCGTACTTCTTTCCTGCGAACGAGAAGGTCGGAAAAGTGCGCGCGTGATCGTGTAAGGAATTCGAGCCTCGTAATCGGCGCTCTCGCGATCTCGTCTCGTCTCACGGCGAGAATGTACCTTGAAAGAGTTCCGGCGCAGCGTAAGGTGGCGAGCCGCAAAAGGTGTCTAGTTTGTTACCGGGCGTGAATTCATTGCTAAAACCGAAATCGGCGATCTTGATGTTCATTTCACTGTCGAGCAACAAGTTCTCGGCTTTTAAGTCCCTGTGGATGATCTTCTTTTGATGGCAGTATTGCACAGCAGAAACGATCTGCCTGAACTTCGCCCTCGCCTCCTTCTCCTTCATCCGTCCGTGGAGGACCAGGTAGTCGAAGACCTCCCCGCCGCTGGCATACTCCATTACCAGGTACAGTGTCTTTTCAGTCTCGATTACTTGGAACAACTTGACTATGTTCGGATGGTCGAGCATCTTCATTATCCTGACTTCACGGAACAGCTGTAATCAATCAGGCGTGTCGGTATATGCGTCACGGACGGCTCACGTGTGCGAAACGTGCGCGCGCGAGCTCGTCTAATCGATAAAGTTTTTCCCAAATCAAATTATGACTACGCGACTTGTGACGCATAAGCGATGACGGTATTTTCTTCTATGAAAATATATTAGCCGGTAAACGTAAGAGATGAGTCGAATTTAATCTATGTAATTAAGGTAGTTGGCAGACCGTAAATTCATTTTCTTGGGAGTCTCTCGAAATTTTTACAGCATGTTCATCGAAACACGCACGTCTGGAATAAGAAAAAGACTGACCACGCTAAAACCGCGATAACTGAAATCAAATTTAGCCCTATTTACATGTATCACAGATACGAAAACGGCTTCCGATATTACGTTTTTAATTCTAGCAACTACTCTTACGGGTTTTAATGAAACACGAGGAGACGATAAATGAGACTTGGAGAAATATTATTGAAAAATTACAAGATCGTTGATCATCCAGTTTTCCAGAAATTGACGTGCAAAGAACATATTGGTTGAAAAGTAATCGCCAATCGCGATTTAATCTGCGACCGCCGATAGTGTGATTTGGCCTTGACATAGACAGAGTCCCAGTCGACAATATATTATATGTTAAAGCGGGGAAAACGATTATTTTTTTACAACTTTTTAAACATTACATAATGTTTGATTAAATTCTCTTGCTATAATGTCAAAGCTATATATCATAAATCATGCTTAATAACATTTAGCATAATCGTTTAGCATAAATATAGATCTGTCGAGTTTCTTCATGTTGTATTAACTACTACTTTCTTAATAGCGTCGTCATGGACCAACTAGACCTTAAGACGGTAGTTACGCGCCCTCGTATGTTCTAACTTCTTGACAAACTACGGACGCACGATGCGTCCAATAATAAAGTTGCAGTTTTCTACTCCTGCCATTTCATCGAGAAAATTTGACCAAGGAGGAGAATAATAAAAATATGGTGTTGCGAGTATTACCTTTTGAAGGCTACCGGGATTCAACTGAGTCTTATCGATGATCTTGATGGCTACCTCCTTCCCAGTGGGCACGTGCTTAGCAAGTTTCACCTTGGCAAAGTTCCCCTTGCCGATGGTTTTCAGTAATTTGTACTTGCCGATATGAGGTTCCTCGGAAGTCCGGCTCCTCGACGAAAGCCGACTCCCGCTACTCGACACCCCTACGCCATCCCCCGTCTGCAAACAAGCGAAAACACGCGGAGTTAGGGCTGGCTCCGTTGAACTGTCAATTGGGCGCAAGTATATCCCGCGAAACGTTGCTCCATATATCGCGAGACGCAGCGAGTTCTTTCCGCGCTGTACACGGCGGCGCATCGTGACGTTGCGTACGATAAACAATTGGAAATGAACGAATCAATAATCAGTCAATAATGAGTAATCTCGGAACGCAGGGTGGGAATATTCGGCCAAGAGCAAAATTGAATTGAAATTTCTCGCTCGTGCCGGACGTGCGTTCGAGAATTCGCTCGCGCGCCGACGATGATATCGCATTACGCAATCGTACGTAAAGCCGATCGAATTTTCGATCCCGAGGCCCGTAACTTTCGCGGATGATTCTCGACGTCTCTCTCGCGCATCATCACGCGTCCTGGCTTATTTCGAGAAACGGGAGAAGTCGCGGCGCGCGCGAACTCGCGTCGTAAATAGCCAACTATTTCAGAAACTTAGGTCGCCTCTCGCCGCGAGCACGCGGCGTTTAAAGCTGCGGAATGGGGCAAGAGAAATACGGGGCAAATGCTCGTTAAAGCGGCGCGCATTCCTCGAGAAGCGCATCGCGTACGAAGAATCGCGAATCTCTTTCTCACTCTCTCTCTCCCTATCTCTCTATCCTTCTCTCTTTCTCGACTCCCTGCTTGCCCTCTCGTTCGCGCAACGCATCTCGCGTTTATTTACGCGTTTACGTACCACGTACGTACATCACACGCGTTCCGCACTTGACACTCCCATGGACGGCCATTGTCAATGGAATTAATTAAAGCTCGTTAAAGTGTACCAGATACAGATTGTTCTCAACGGAACACGCCGGACTTTCTCTCTCTTTCTCTCTCTCTTTCGCATTAGCCGCAAGGACAACAGCTGTGGCATACCACGCGTCCGCCGGCATCGAGCGCGCGATATACTTCTCTCATTGCCGTCATTTCTAACGAAGAAGGTAAAATCGATGCACGACGGACGTATCTAACGAGCCCCGGGATGTTCGGGCACTCGATAAAACGGAAAGGCGCTTTTGCACTATAAGAGACACTTCGGGCCGCTTCGAAGGAAGAACCGTTCCACGTGCACGTGATCGTCACACACTGCGTAGGTTGTTTCCATTATTTGCAAGTATCATTCTTCAAAATTATGTTACTTTCGAGAGAATTCCGGACCGAAAATGTTTAATCTAAAACGTACGATCTCACGGTTGGTTTTCGTGAATTTTTACTTTTCTGATTGCTTTTATATCGACTGTTAATAATAATAAGAAAACAACACACAGAGTTAGAGAAAGAAAGCGAGAAAGAAAGAGAGAGAGAGAGAGAGAGAAAGCCTTGATGATTAATTCCCGTAGGATCGCATTACCCGCAGAAGGCCACGCGTGACCATCTTCCGCGAGTTGGCGGCCGCAACCTTGGAGGCCGCCAGTTTGACTGCTCTCTTCGTCCGTCAGCCACAGTAAAACAATCGATGACGAATGATCGACGAGCACGGGATCCCAACGGGGCAGATCGCCCTCTCCGTCGGATGCGATCGCGCACTATCAACTTCGTTCGGCCGGTTGACAACGGCGGAACCGCGAGTTCGCGCGGCTAAGTTCACAACAACAAGGCGAAGACTGTGGAGGATCACGCGGATCACCCACGATCTCGTCACGTTCGATCTTCGCGTCGCACCACGGCGACCCTCTCCCGGTCGCGATCGTCGCGACTGTTGTCCTTATCCGGCGTTCCCGCGAACGACGAGAGCTTCACTCTCGGCCCATCGACGACCGGGCGTGTTTCCTCGCGAGCCGGGTGCTTCCTCGTGGCCGGTCGTTTTGAAAAGTCGACCGATGAGTCAACGTGCGGAGCGTCTCGCCGCGTTGGGTCATTTTACCGGGATATGTACGCGGTGTGTCGTGCGAAAAGCGCGACTAACGCTCCGACGGTGATCGCCGTGCATGCGTGGTCGCGCCTGGTCGCCGAGGAGAGGACACTTCCGATTTCCGTCGGAAGGATGAACGAACGTACGAGCTCCGCGTACAAGAACGCGTATCAGCTGCGGATCCTCGGATCCTCCCTCCCCCGGTTAAACTACTACGTTGGATTCTTTACAAAATATGGGAATGTGATTCTGCGAACGCGCCGATAAATCTCATTAGGCACTCTTTGTACTAGTATTGACGATTGAACCGATCGATCCCTCGGAGACGATGCTGCTCGTGGTGGCTCTCCTCTGTCCCTGGGGTTCGTCATGTTCAGGCGCCGGCCGAGGGGATCCGTTCGAGCATCTGGCACGAGTTACGACGACGCAGAGGTGCGCGGAGCTCGGCACTCGCCGGTGGATTCCCGATTCTCGCGGAATGGACGATCGTCCGCGAACACTCCCCGTCGAAGGCGCGCCACATGTACGTGACTCGTCCGGGCGATCGCCGCCGACTCTGGGTCAACGATAGCGAGGGAGGACGTCAGCACCAGCACCATCTCGCCGCGCGCCTAACATCGATCCGCCGATAGTTCCGCCGACGACGACTCATCGAAGCACAAGTCAATTAGCGACGCGCGCGTTACGAAGAGGCTCTCGCGGAACCGCCTGACCGAGGTGATCGAACCGTCGCTGGAAGCCGCTCGCGCGAGGAGAGAGCCCGGAATATCACCGAGCAGACCCGCGCCCCCCTCGACCGTCTGCTTCTGCCAAGGACAGGAACAACAATGTCGCCGTATGTGGTGGACACTTTTCTCGTTTCCGTGTCGTGCTGTACTCGTCCAACGACTCGCCGCCTCCTTCTCTTCGTCGTCCCCCGCGGGACTGACGGGAACAGGGATCGAGGACAACGATGACGACGACGAGGTCGGTCGGTCGGGGCGGTTGCTGCTCTGGTCGTCGTCGACGTCGACGACGACCGTGCGCGACTGCCTTCCCCCTTTCCGCCTGGGGACGAGCCGTCCGAGGGGGAGAGGGGGGAGAGAGAGACAGACCACAGTCGTGGGATGCGAGGGCAGAATCAATACACGGCGCCGCCGCCGTTCCCCCTGGTGGAAACGTGGAAGCGAACCACCCTTGAATGCCTGGCCTCGTCGCCTACCCTCTTTTCTCGCTGTCGCCGATCCGCGGGACGCATGCGTCACGGAAAGTGGGAACACACCGGCACACACGGGTCAGCTCGCTCCAACCCTTCCTCCCACGAGTGTGTGTGTGTGTGTCGTGAGCGACCGAGATAACAGAGAGAGTCTTGGGCTGGTCAGCTGATCGGACCGGATGTTGCGGAGCGCCGCGATCGATGGACGCGTTTCCGCGAGGAAAATGATATTCCCCCCTCCGCCCCCCTCCGGACTATACGAGGAAAATAAGGATTCGGATACGATGAGAGGAATACAGGAGGTATTAAATATAGAGGAACGAAGAATTAAATGTCGACATACACAGCGAAGAAATTCGTGCTACAAACGGTCCACTTTCTCCACTGGAATTTTCTGTCACCTCAACACGGGGAATGTGTGAGAAAGTATACAGATATAATGCTGAATTCGACGTATGTCAACAAGATGAACGTGCTCATTTAATTTAATTATATCTGTGTACTTTTCAATTCCCCGTGTAACGTGAAATTTCAATGGACCGTTTTTAATACAGAATGCTTTAAGGTGTGCGGATAAACATGCTACGCGATCCACAATAAAGGGACAGGGAATTAGGATTGGAAACACTGCCGAAATTCTACTCCTTATAACTTGTGTACTTAATAGAGTTTGGTAGTTGACCGAAAGTTAACGTTGAAAATGTCTAATGGTCATTAATATAATAAATGAAAGTCAGTTTGAGCGAATCGATAATTATCAAAAAAATGATAAAGGTGTTAATGAATGACGGTAGAGGTTTATTGGATAATAGTAAAAGTGGTGATCTCACTTTTAAACGTTCTTACATCTTAGTTCTTTCTCTATTCCTCTTATTGCTCGTATCAACCCCTTGTTCCTTTTTCCTTTCATTGTGTCTGAGCCCTAAGTCTGTCGTCACGTTTCTCCTTGCGATCGTCGATGTCGCGAGAGCAACATAAGTGTGCGTTCTGTCGATACGTGATCGACTGGATCGCGAGATCAGCGTTTCCCAACAAAATGAGATGATTCCGGTGTCTGTTAGTTTGGGAAAGGATAATATTACGAGCATATTCGATTTCCCGTCCCCATATTGGCTCTGCGATATTGATACCAACGTTCTTGCACACGTCATTCGCGGAATATAAAGAGTGCGGCGCGCTGGATTCACCTTTGTCCTCCTATCCGTTTTGCAGGGGTAGGCGTTTCCTGGATCGACGACGGAGACGGAAGAGCTTTCGCTCCGTCAGCTGATCGAATCAATTGACGAACGCGAAAAAGATTGCCACCTTGCACTCCGGCGTGACGAAACTGATGAGTATAGTGAAAAAATGAGTTCGGTCGAATTTATCTGACAATGGACAACCGAATGCTTTTCGCCCGAAGGAAACAGAATTTCCGACTGTGAGAATCAGATTTGATTCGTGAGAACTAGTAATCCCCTTTCCTTCAATCAAATTCATTTTTAGTTGTACACTGCCTGTCGGTGAGCGCAATAGATTGAGTTCCACGAGTCGAAACCACAGTTTTGTTTATAATCGCATGAAAATGCTCGATATGTAAAGAATCACAAATAAAGAGTTAATTTATGGTCCCTATCTATAAATATGTATTTGTGTATAGTTATAAAAGAATAATTAGAAAGCAGAACTCGTGTGGAATACCTTTCTCCTCCGCGTCATTATGCTAATAATATCATCTTCATGTAAGATTAAGAGATACGCGTGAGACAAAAAAGAACACCTAGATAGATCTCGATCACAACGACAATTGGGACGGGTATTCGGTCATAAAACGTCGCGGAGGCGGCGTTGAGACGCGTTGTTTTTTTTCTCGTCCCGGGGAAGCGCTGATTCCTTTTTTTGTCGGGCACTTAAGACGGGATTCTCACGAGTGTTGGAGAACTTTTCTGAAGCGGGTTACAGAAGAGCGCGTCCGATCAGCTGATCAATCAGCCGAGAAAGCAATGACAAGAAACGAGAAGAGAAAGAGGAGGAGGAGCGGGAGGATGAGGGGAGTGGCGCGGACGAGCGCTCTACGTGAAAGGGAGATAAGAATAGATCTAAGAGTTGACGCAACTTCTCCGCGGAAAAAGAGATTGCGTACACGTGAGCTGGGGAATAAATCGCGGGGATCCATTCGAACGTGCCGTTGAATAAAAGAGAGCCACGGCGCCTCCCCCCCCCCTCCCAGCGGCCGATCATCCACCCGCGTTCGTTTCGTTCTTACACAACATTCCGCTTAATTATGAATTCATTATACCGGGTGTCGCATCAGCACGGCTTTGACGTTGGGTTATTTATGCATCTCGCTGCGAGTCGGGCGGATGAACGCACCTCGTGTCGCAAATAGAATTCACCATCAGCAGTTTTTTACCTCCGCCGTCATGAATAGGACATGAATAGGGACGGTATATGCTCGGTGACGCGCCGCATTAATTTTGACAGGAAGAGAGAAGAAGAAAACGATCGCGTTCGTCGCTACGCACCTCGACGGATTAATCGATATTTTCGGCAGACGCTAATTGTTATCGTCCGTTATCGCAAATAGTTGCCTTTTTTTATCGCGTGTGTGAGAGCATATCTTTCCGTTATAATTGGAAAATATCCACTTTAAAAGCGATCCGGGACGGCAACCGCTCCCGGATTCGCGGGATGTTTTTACAGACGGAACTGCTGATGCCGGATATTCCGCGGAGATTATGATTTATGCGTCTCCATAAAGCAGCGGCGGGAGCGAAAACGGGAAGTAGCGGAATACACGAACCGAAACAAAACCGGCTCTTCCGCTCGCGGGGTGCATGCGAAATTTGCTTTACGGCACCGTCGTGCTTTTTTTTACAAGGCTTCGCGACACACGGGCGTGAAACAAAGTCGCGTCATAGACACACCGCCGGCTTATCGGCTCTGCATGGCGTACGATATTAAAAGATTATATCTCCCGATGCTTTTTTTATCGCCGCCTGTAAAAGAGCGGCTCTGCCAACGGGAAAACTTCTCGTAATATTTCAATCTTCAATCTTTTTCACATCAATTACGCCGGATAAGTACGTCCCTCTTTCACGCGAAAAATGACAGAGAAATATAATATAATACTGCATCGTTGAGGGGAACAATAAAAAATATCTCATTAAAGCGGGAGAAATAATGTGCGTTTTGCGCGGAAAATGTGCGGAATATGCTTGTGTGGCTCGCAGATTTCTATGCTCGGCGGCATATTATGCTTGACAGGGTTCAATACTCTTACAACCGGTAAATACGTCGGTTTAATACGCCTACGTCCATTTTCGATTGCCTCCGCATATCCGGAGAGAATTGCGAGGAACCTACCGCGAGATATCTCAAGTTCGCGACACCTCGCACACCCGTGACGGGGATTAATCCGACGAGTTACGCGATCGTTAGGCGATACCGAGGTCCGAGTGGCGAACGCGGCCCGGCGGGGGGAAGCCATCCGGATTATTTCAGGCCGAACGGATGAGCCGCAGACTGCACCGGCGACGAGTCATACATGACGTAAGCGTGGAGGAGGTGCATCTACGCGCTGCCATTCGTTGCACTCGGCTCGTTAACTCGAGGGTGTTCGATACACGGCGCGTGATCGTAAAGTAGCGCGGCGAACGATCGTTTCGGACACGCTCGCGTTATCTCCATTGTGGGACGCGCGTTTGTCATCCACATGTATGGTACCTAAGTATCATAATTCGCCTAACACAGTCGTCGACGATAGTCGCGCAAATGACTGGGAAATGGTTAACGTTATCGTCGACGAAGCGTCTCTCTACTGTAATTTCAATTACAGTAATTTCAATTACCATGTATCATAATTACGATATAACCGTGGCGACACGACGGCGATTTCCTCGCGTAGCGAAATTCCTCGAGATCTCAGCACCGTGTTACGGAGACTCTTTCGGGATTGAGATTCCGATCCGGCCCGTTCGAATGATTCCCGATATAAATACAAGAGAAAATCGAGGGAATAATTCAAAGATTCCGATTGGAATCGATTCCGAGCAATTTAATAACAGGCGCCCTGGTCGAGATCCAGTTCCGACATTAAAAATGTAACTCCGTTTATTACCCTCTTAATCTAATACTCGGTCAACTCAACTTTGGCGATGACGGTCGCACGCATCCCAAACACGGGACAACAATGGGATTTCCAATTGATATCGCAGTGGGATAACCTATTTTGGAACAACTTTAGGTAATCGGAATTTATATTGTACACAGTCTGTCTAATGAGAGCGTGACCGGGCAAATTTCTGTTTAAAAATCGTTACATCGGAAACTTTTAAACGAGCAAGTAGAACTTTTCTCCTACGATGCATTATACAGAAAGGTCGCAGTCATTACTCGACTCGCGCTCGTAAACGACGTGTTTAACGGTAAGTACCGTGTACGGAAAAGATTCGAAGCTGTTTTTCTCTGGACGCGTCTGAAAGGATCGAAAATTTCACGGGAAGTGGCCAAGTTCGATGTAAGGTTTACCCCTATGAGCAAATTTCTTCTTTTCTTCCAAAAGTAGCTTCGAAGATGTCAGGCAATAATTGACAACAGCGATGATTGGACAACTTATTAATACAAAAACGTTATAGCACTGATTGAGTATATATATAATATTTTTATGTTTTTATAATCAATAGCTTAAAGTTACACCGGTCACGCCCTTATTAGACAGATTATATATGGAAAAATCTGAGTCTCTTTCTTTCCGAGATTCTCCTCACAATACAGTTAAAAATGACCGTATCGGCGAAACGGTCATCGATAAATCCACTTATCAGCTCCCCTGATAATGTTGCAATGATTATACGACTCGTTATAAGTATATACCTCTGTACGTATGTGTGTGTGTGTGTGTGAGTGTGTTATATGCGTATGTACCTCCTTATCGCTTGGAATACCCTTCTGCATGACGTCCGACAACGGCCTGAGTGGAATGGTCGCCGAGTTGTTCTGCTGTTGTTGTTGTTGTTGTTGTTGCTGATGATGCTGCAGCTGCAGGTGATGATGTCGCTGATCCTTCTTGGTGACGATCGGCCGTACGAAAGTGCGAGCTTGTTGTATCCTGGACTGACCCCTGAGGGGCATCTCCATCTCTTGTCCTCGCCGCGTGTCCGAGGCGGTCCTGGACAACTTGACGGCGGACTTCTTCGGCGCGATGCCGGCGTTCCCGGTGGAGTTCCGCGTCGCGTCCCCACGGTGCAGCGGCGAGGCCCTTCGTTGACGTTTCATTACGATTCGTCATGATAATTCTCCCCTCGTGTAGATTCGGTGTTTTCGGACGCGGTGTGTCGCGCGTTGTGTGCACACGGCGATTATGAATGAACGGGTGAGCGTGTGTGTGTGTGTGTGTGTACGTTTCCGTGTGGTGGACTCGAGTGTTTTGTGCGGTATCGCGCCGGGTGATAACGTGGTCCGATCGCTCGAGTGGTCTGGATGGATGATTTTCGTTTCGGCAGGGAGAGCGTTCGGAGGCGGACAGAACCGGCGAAAATACGACTGCGTGTCTTCGTGATTTTCAATGCCGAGTGTGTCTCGGTGCCTTCGAGTCTCACGTCGAGATTCTGTCGAGGCAGAATTTGGAAATAAAGCTAAGAGCGGAGACGCGTTATTAACCCACGCTGAAAAAAGGATTCGGTGATAAGTACTAAAATTCGGTGAATATTTGCCGATGAAATACTTGATTACCGCAACTACAAATCATACATAACAATATTATAATATTTGGCCTGAGGAATTAAATTATTTGATTGCAGTGATCGAATATTTGCTTGGCAAATACTCGTGAAATTTTCATACTCATTGCCGAATCCCATTTTCAGCGCACTTTGCGTACTGTCTGCAAATGTATCGGGTCGATTAAGAAATGAAACGAACTTCCGCGCGTCAATGCAACAATGATTCGCGCGAGGCCGTTTACTTTCCGACCGCTCGGAACTCGGAAGTCATCGGATACCCGGATATTTCCATTGACCAAGTGATTGCTCGCGGAGGGAAGAGACACGCGTAATACTCGTTCCGTTGTTCGGCGTACACCCGGTACACCTATCCAACGGAACATCTGTCCGTGTGACACGCTCCGCGCTCTCCCCCGAACTCTCTCCCGGCTGGGCGTGTAATGAATGGCGACGGACCGACGGAAATCACGGGATGAATCGGCCGGTTGCGACATTGCGTAAACTAAATGCCAATTGTATCGAAGAAAGGGACACGCGTGGGCGTAACGAACGGCCAATTGTGCGGATCAAGTGACCGGTGTGTCAAGGTGGTGGATTAGGCGGAGGTTGGACGATTGGTTTCCTCAATTATCATTAAGTATATAATTATCGCTCTGGAAATATGCCGGAGAGTTTATGTACCTATATGTGTATATATGTGTATGTGTGTACACGTGCAGGTTCTCACGGATATCGACCGATTGAAATGCCGCGACTCCGACTTCCCGAGTGGCGATTAGCGAAGATTGAAGAGACTCGCGTGGATCGGTATTAAATTCCGAGGTAACCCGGGCGTAAACCACTTCCGGAATCCCCATCGAGAGGCAAGTGAAATCATCCTCGAGACTCGTTTATCCGAAACTTTCGACTCCGCCGCACTCCCCGTTCGAGGAATTCGACGTCCGACGAGGACGATCGTCTCGCGAATCATCGCGGCTCGAAGAAGAATAATCCCCGGACGCGCGATTTCGCCCAATTCGCGAAGAGAGCCCGGAATTAGACACATGGCTAACGCGAAGGCGGTGTCGAGGATGTGTGTACGCGCGTGTGTAGGTGATGACTGACTGATGGAGAGACAGAATGCGTGTTTTACCCCTCGGCCTCGTCGTCGGTCACGTTCCGCAGCAGGTCCTCGTGTTCCCTGTATCTCAGCTGCACTTCCTGCCCGAAATCGGAGCTGTTCTCCAACTGACGCGTCCTCCCGGCGATCGTGCCCAGTTCGATGGCCATGACCTGCTGCTCCAGCCGCTGCAGCATGTCGGTGCTCTCGACGATCGTGCTCGTGCGCTGCTTCAGGATCAGATCGAGGCTGAGCGGCGTCTTCAGCTCCGTGGCCGGCTGTTCCCGCTGCTGGCCGAGCGGAAGCCCGACCGGTTGGACGATCTTCGAGTCGTTGAAGACCCTCAGCTTCTCCTCCAGACTGGCGTCCATGCCGCCGCTCTTCTCGGCGAACCGCCTCCCCGAAACGGGCGTATTATTGTACAACGGCCCGGCGATCATCTCCTTCGGCCTGATGGGACTCAGAGGAGCGCCCGCCCGTTTCTCCACCACCTGTAGACCCTTGTCATCCTCCACCAGCTCCCACTGCTTCAGGCTCTCCAGGGGCGTGTGCGGCGCCGATAATCGCTTCGGAGCGCCCGGGCTCTTCATTTCCGGCGTCGGCTGCCGGCTCACCGTTAACTGCCGCGCCTTCTCAGCCGTCGGCAGCAGCAGGAACTTCTTCCGTCCAGCAGGCTGCGGCCGGATCAGGCTCCTGCTGGCCTGCGACCGCACGAACGGGCTCTCTTGATCGTCCATGATCGAGGTGTCCCGCGGACTTGAGCTGCTCCTTCACTTTTTCCCTCTTTCTCTCTCGTTCTCTCTCTCTCTCTCTCTTACGTGGGCACGAAGACGAGGAGGACCGGCAGTCGCTGCTCTTCGGGTTCTCCTCGGTCGCGTCGCGCGACGATCGTTCGCAGATAACGCACCGAGCGCCGATAAGTCCTCAACATCGAATCAGCGGCCCGATCAGTCGACGACGACGATGACTCTGCTCGGGGGATTTAGTTTCTGTCAGGAAGAAGACGCGTGCGTTTTAAAAGCTGGCACACGCCGAGCGCGCGACGGCCGTCACTGAACACCGCGATCACACAAAGAGACAGAACCCAGAAAACCCCGGGAGAACGAGAACCCACGATCCGTGAGACGACCACGGCGAGTTCCCCTTGCTTCCCCACCCCCCGCGCACCTATACACACTCTCCCGCGGCACACAATCACACACGTATCGATAAGCGGCAAGCGGCACACACGTGTACAGGCATTTTTAGACTTCTTTTTTGTTTTCTTTCTTTGGCTGGAGAGACGGGGATATCAAGCTGGGTCGAACGCGACGACGCTGTCGACGCTGTTTCGCAATCGTGACGATGTGGGTAATAAAAGCGATAGATAGCGCAGGAAGGTGATCGCGCGATCAGACGACGACGACGACGGTCGGATGAAACACGGAGAATCGTAAACGCGTTCCCGTCCGTGTGATGTCCGTCAGATGTCGGTTACATAACGACGAGACCCTAACTGAGGGCGAATTGTCTCTCTCTCTCTCGCGCGCGTGAAGTCTCTCGAGCGGGCCGAACGTGGAGTTCGGAAAAGTCTCGCACTGCGTCTACTCGCCTTGAAAGTCCAGATATTAAAGAGAGCTATCTACTAATCTGATACACGTGAAGAGCGAGATGGCCTTCGAGACGGTGGAAGCGAGAGCGCGCGATTGCCGATTGTGCTTTTAGATTAAATACGATACGAAACTTGCGTTGTCTCGTACGTAACATTTTTTTCTTCTTCTATCCGCCGCGTTGGGACGAGCTTTCCGGGCGCGTCGGCGAATGCGCAAATGCGGTACAACATTGATTTATCGAGTCGCGCGAGATATCCCAAATCTTCGAGATTGGGAGTGAGAAAAAAGTATTTCACGCGCGGAATACCCAGTGTGTTTATCGAACGGGACGATCGAGAGCATGCCGAGATATCGAGCTGAGAGCTCGGCACGTCACAGCACGCGTGCTGATTTAAGTCGACGATAAGAACGCGTGTGCTTGTGAGAGTGTCCGCGAGTTCCCCGCGATTCGACGATCCGCGGCTTAACTCGGCAACGGCGCGGCGACAAACATTCCATCAGTGGTTCGACGTTCGCAGACTCGCGAGGACGCTCCGTTGAGTACTTCGTGAATACGCAGAAGGTGGACGCGATGTGTGATAAAATTCCATCCTAGTCGTAACGCGTAATTCGTGTTGCGTCATCGGACGGTGGTCATTTCTTACTACTCCGAACCGTCGAGGAAAATCTTATCACGTGTCCGATCGACCGGACGAGATCGTAAACGGTCGAACGGTCCGTGAATTTTTACGGTCAAAACGGACGGGACAGATCCGTCCGCTCGTTCGTCGGTTCCACGTTCGAAATGAAACAGCCGGGCGGAAATTTGCTCCGAGATCGAATCGAGACGAAGTCCAGAAGGGGTAGAGCGGCTCCCCTAAGCGGAATCCACGGACGATGTCAACGGGAGGGTCGGGGAAATGCTCGTCCAATGGGAAATTGAACCAGCCATTTCGAGTGTATGTTTCGGCGAAAAGCCGGCGATTTGGAGACTCGCCGGCCAGACGGCTTAATAGCCGACGACGATAAATCGTTACTATAATAACGTTATCTACGGCGTTAATCGACGCCTCTAACGAACGAACGTCGCGAACACAAAACGAATTGAATCGAACTTGATCGTGTGTCGAAGCTATAGTAAGCCTGATAAATATTTTGTCCCTCTTTTCGACCGAACGATGCAATATGTTTCGTTCGAATTCAAGTATTAGCGCGTACAGACGATTCTAAAACGTCGCGACGAAAGCCAATGATGATGGTAACATTTAAACGTGACCCCGATCGTTAGTATTTGTAAATGCGGGTCATAATTTTCGAACTCGTTGAGTCGAACCGACACTCGGAACGGACGTTTTTAATGCGCGATTTCCGCCATCTTTATCGATGGATTCATAATTATCCCAATCGCGCAAGATAACAGCGCGAGATAACGATTTCTTTCCGACTGCTGAGCGCTAAAAATAGAATTGCGCAAATAGGTTTGGGTTTGACAAAAAGTACCGGCGGAGTTAACGAAAAGAATCTAGATTATGCGCGAATGAATTTAGAATCGCTCGGCAAAGCGAACTTCGAGGGACACGATTGGCCGATCAATTTCGCAGATCGGCCGAAATTGCCGATCATTCATCAAGGCGGTATGTACGAGCAATTCGTCGCGGGGGGTTGTCAAAGAGAACTCGTCGAACGACGTGGCACCGACGGTTGTTTTTCGACGGGGCGATAAAGCCATAAATCCCGAACGGACGTCCGGACAGAGCACGGCGAAAGAGCGTAAGAAGATTTATAGACCGGCGGCATTTTATACGCGACGCGTTTCAACTCTTCCCCCCGCAGTTTCTTTCCGTCCACGGTCTCTTCCCGGGCACTTCGCTGCACGCACACCCACCTTCGCATGTTCTTAACGAGCAGTCTTCTAAGTTTCCTCGCAAAAATAACCGTTGAATCGAACATTTCTCGAAACGACGACTCGAGTCAGGATCGAAGGGAAAACAAGAATTCGTTATTGCGATTTCGAGGTCAATTCGTGAAAGAACTCGATCGATCACTGCTCATCGTGAATCACTGAGGTGTGATTCGCGAGATGTTTTCGTATTCGTTCACTTATTACACACGGAGAAAAAGATTTCTTTAGATTTAGTGTTTCTATTGATTTAACTAAAATTTGTTTCATCGCAACAACATATACGAAATATTTGAGTAAAATTTTTATCCCATTCAAGAAAACTCTATTACTTAACAGAAAGGACAATATTATTCAAAATAATATCTTTTAACCAAATAAAATATTATTTGGTTACAATAAATATGTGAAATGAGACAAATGGCTTCTCTATAAGAAAATCATCTTTCGTTTCAAATAAATTTTTTATTTAAGATAAAGACACGCGTTCGTTGAAAAGTCTAACAATCGTACTTATTCATCGAAACGTTAGTTTCTTTGGAGCGTGACGGTGATGAAATTTGCTTGGATGCGATGAAATTTATCAAATTTGAAGAAATCTTTTTCTCAGTGTGCAAATACGTCACATCGAGGAATCGACGACAACGGACGCGGAATATAGTTCGACGCTCGAGGACTCCGCGACACCTCGGATTTCTTTTTAGTGCAGATTCGCATTGCGCGCGAACGATAATATCAAGGAAATTTTTCAAGGAAATTTTTCCGCGGAGGCTGGGAGTTCCGGCGGAGCGCATAATTGCACGAGGCGGAGCGCAATCATCGCGACCTAAGGCCGTTCTTAACAAAGGCAAACTGTGATTTCCACCGTCGTCGGCGGATTAATAGCCGTACGGACGTTCAATAACAATGTGGATTTCCCATTGCTTCGTAGAAGCGACCTCGCGACGATGGACGCGCTCTTCCCTTCCCGCGATTACAATTAGGAGACGATCGGTATCGCGAGTGTTTTCCCGAATGACAAGCAGCAGTCGTTTCAGCCGCGCGGAGAGTTCGACGTAATGTAAAACGTCGAATGTAATTTACGTAGTAATTACGTGGTAAGTGCGACAACAGCAGCCTCAAGGACGAAGAAAGAAGGGAGATAAAAGTCTCGATTATCTCGATACTTTGTTCGAAAGTGTCCGAAAGAGCAGTGACGCGAAATAATCGACGAAAGCACTTCGAGGGGACCTTTAACGTCGTCTATCAAAAAGCATGATACTTAAATCTTTTCTCACGATCGGCAAAATTTTAATCAATATTTAAGCCCACTCTATAAGACGTAGCTAGAAGAAATAAATCAATACACAAATAAAAGTAATAATAATATATATGCAGATGACGAACGAAAGATTTCGATATCTGTTCCTACGATGTTTATCGATAAGATTCCAATCGAGCAACAAATCTCGTTTCTAAAGAGGATAAGAGCAGAGGGACGTTACACGTTAACACTCCTCGTGGAAAACGGTTACGTCAGCGTATGTGATGCGAAGGAGCACACTTTCGACGAAACTCTCCTCCCTTCAGCCGAGTCCGTCGCCGGAACTCGGGAGGCGCACACTCGGCGGATGCCACTCGATAAGTGGCAGTGGCGAGATGCAAAGGGAAGGTTTTCTTTTCACGGGATTCTAGAACTTCTCGCCCGGAAGAAACATACACGGCCATTGAGCGGCGTGGGCACGTAAATTCCCGACGATTCGCGCTATCAGCAGCGGCGTCGCACACGCGATGCGTGCGTACGCACGCGCACACATACACACTCACGCACGCACACGGTACACAGTAATACGCGTATTTCCGCGACACACGCGTTGCATTTACACCTGCGTGAAAGAGCACGAAGGAGTCTCTCACCGAAACGACACGCGAAGGTTCATTATTTTCTCGCGCGGACCGCATCCGCTCTTTCTCTCCCTCTGTCTCCCTCGCTCCCGCGAGAAGGCCGCTTCGAGGGGGGAAAAAAAGCGAGAAAGAGGAAATGGATGAGCAGAGCGAAAGAGAACGAGCGCAGAGCGACGACCGAAAGCTTGCGTGGACGGCCGGTCGAGCGGGACGACTGTGTGTTCGGTTTCTCGGGCGGCGATAAGCGCTCGGCCGGCCAGCTCGACTTGTTATGTCGTTATCAGCGGTAGATGCTGATAAGCGATAGCGTCAATCTAACACCCGGCACTGACGCGACCGAGGATTTCATATTTCAGGGGAGAGCGAGAGGTTTAGTTGTTAAACGGAGTCGGGTTGTTACACCTGATATATCTCTTAAGTGATAAACAGCAACACCGTGGAAAACGAAGCGTCGTGCGCGAAAACACGCTGATAATGTTTCACTGTTCGCTTCTCTGAGTCACGTGACGCATTATCCGAGATAAATAACGTGGCTTTAATGTCGGAACGGAACAAAACAGCGCTGCTTGATGCTTAACCGTCCGTCTTTCCAAATCAATTTATTATATTGTGATTTGTCAAGCGTTCCTTCAAA